ATTTTGTGATATCGAACAAGGAAAAGGTTCAACACTAACCAAAAACGCTCCTTCCATGACACGCAAGGTAATGAACGCGTACACGTTATGTCGCACGATAACTGGTGTGACTAAGGTGAGAACTGATGAACCAAGTATTGCAATACCCAGTAGGAATGATCCCTTATATTTAAGACATAGCACTCCCGCTGGTATTTGTAGAGCAGTATAACTCCAAAATAACGATGCTAATATTGTACCTAGAGGGTGATGAAAATATAGGTGCCTTAATTATGGCGTTGGGAATAATCTTCACCCTTGCAGAACAAACCTTGCAGTTGTTTACTCCACTTGAACTCTGGTTCCTAGATGAAGAAAAATTTCTATGAATTTAGGCGTTAATGTTTAGCTGAAAACCAATGAGTTAGAGTCTAGTCTACTTTACAATTTGGTCTATTTTGTTCTTTATTCTATCTGCACGCGTATATTGCATAAACGCAACATGTAAAGGCCAAAGTAATCGCTCATTACGTCGCAAAGCGTGGTAGAATAGAGCACTTAATTCACGGTTGCAAAATAGTTATAGTTAACAGTGTACCTCCAGATTAAGAAGGTGTGTAAATTAACACACCCTTTCTGTCACATGCGATTCATACCTATTCAAATTCTATAGACAGCCGTTACAAATTCACTAAACGATTCCCAAGATAGTGAAAGTTGCATGTACGCTGTCCCCTGGTTATTTTGGTTATTTTGACTACTTTTGATATATACCTACTCACCATTTCTTTGGATAAATGCGGCCCGGAAGTATTATAAGACTTTCCTTCTCCATGAGTCATTGCCACAATGGTAACGTTAAGGCACATACGTATGCAGCACATATTCAAGTTGGCCAGTGCAATAAAGGTCAGAATGATAAAACGTTTAGGGATGACTGCAGTTATGGGTATCCAATTCGAACAATTTGATTCTTCAGTACTAGGGATGAGTTGGCTACCCTTGTCTATATCACTGTTCATATTCAGAGTCTGTTTTCTTTCACTAAAGTAAGGAACATATTAGTGTTATACATCAAGGCAATGATATGGCGATATTAGCCATTTTCGACCTTTAACTACGTCCAAAGGTTTTCCTCTATATATTATTATAAGTAATATCATGACATGAGGGAAATTAGTGATTAAATGCCCCGAAGGCGAGGGAGGTTTGTGTAATTACACAAACCTCCCGAGCATGATATTACACAACTATATATCCCACATAAACCGTACAGGTTTTCCTCTACATGTTTTCTTCTCTATTTCTTCTTTCTAATGCAGAAGTGTCATCTTCAAAGGAATATAATCCCATGTTTGAATGAAAGCCATATGGCTATGACCATACATGCAGCAATGTAAACCAAAATGTCGTGCTTTGAGGACAAACAATATATAGAAACGATATGCGCCGTCGAATTATTACAATATGTGTACTGCATGCCATCAGTAACTGGTATATAAATCTCCATGCAAGTGATTATAAATTTTCCTCCATTTTCACTGGGTAAAATTTACGGTCTTTTCAATTAACCTGCATTTCCTATATGTGCTCTCATGTCATTGCTAATATACTACATGTAAGTATAACGTATCATGACCTGAAATCACTGTGAGTTCTTTCGTCTTCCGCGTTTGTTTCTGATTCGCTATCTTGTGGCTTTTGTGTAGGTCCATCAGGCTGTTCTGCTGAAAGCCACTTAGTTCGATCGTTCTCAAGTTTATCACTCTCTTCGTCGCACTTCATCGAAATATAAGTTGTTCAACACTTGCTAGTACCTTTACAACAACATAAAGTATCTAATGCAGCCATATATAATCGTACAGCTATATTATCATAGCTATAGGAACCTCTTTCCAGACCCCAGGTATTGTTTGCTCCCTGGGAAAAAATACACTTTGTTACACGATTTGTTACATTTTGTTACAATTTGATTTAAATTCGACGTATACGAAGCAGTGTAATTAAACTATATACGTGGGCAGCAGCATAATTTGAAAGTTGGAACAAATTGATACTTTGATTAAAGAATATCGAGGATTTATAACCTTTCCACAATATTCTTTTATGCGGTCAAAAGTGTTAAACTTTGCATCGCGATTGCATCAACATTGATGATTCAACAAGCTTCAACGACATTGTTAACAATACTGTTCCCAGGGCGCAGCATAGCATTGTTCGCCCCTGATGCGACAACTTGCATCAACAAGATGATTTTTACGCGCGTATTGAAGATTCCTTCATGTTTAAGTCGCCAAATACGTAGAGTAGCTACGATATTATTTTATATAGCTGATGAAACAATTCGAATGTAAATAGCTATATTTAAAAGCTTCGATCAATAATATCTCAATGTCCTTCCAAAAGAGGCATACTGCGAGGGGTGAACAGAAAACATCAGAAAACCTTCGGAGAAAAACAATATAGAGCAAAAATATATCAAGAATTAAGATTTTTTAAGGACTTTTGAATCGTTCCTAACAATGAACCTTTCATTTTCACCTGTTCTTATTATAATTTTGGTAATCAACGGATGAGTTCGTTCAATTGTATTTACTAAACAACTTTAGTATAGCTACGTCGAGCTATAAGCCTATGAATTCTGTAACAGTTCTCGAAGACGACCTTACCAGCCTAAAACGGAACATTTTTTTGTTCAAAACGTTTTAAACGAGTTACATCTTCAAGTAATCAATATTAATTACTATATGATACCTGAAACGTAGTTACATGCACTCCGAAACTTTAATTATGTCTGTGAGCTAGGTCGTTTCACAATCAAAGAACTATAAATCATCAATCTGTGTCAAACATAAGAGCCCATATGGCGAGTAATGGAGGTTTTCATCAAGTGGAAATTAAATGCCGCTCAATTAATTTTTTGCATTCGCTTTTAAAATATGAGCCGTCAAGGCCATCTAACAAGATTGTTCCGCTTGTCTGTTCCTGTTTAAGAATTAAAACAGCGACCGCGAGAAGTCGATCAAGTGACATTTTTAACGAAATGAAAACCCACCTTAGATATCATAGGATACTCTCATGGATAGATGATAATAATTATGGTAGATTTATTAGGTCAGTATACATGACATTCGTATATCTTTCTATAGTTCTTTCTATATCGTTATAATTTTATTTTACATTAATTGCTTTACAAGATCTATTCATCGACGTCATGCCATTTGATAATATTATTATGTAATACTATAGTACTTAATACAGTAATATTATATAAAGCCTATAGCTGCTATCCTGTATAGATTTACCTTTAAAAATCGAAAGGTTTATTTCATTTTTAATCCAATACAGCCGGCTTGTATCTAGCTTGTATATTCTGACCATTCAACCTTAACATCTCACGACGTGCAATTTTAAAATTAATTTCTCCGGAAATCTGATTGGTCAGAAGATTTAAAATAAAACTTTATTTATATTTGCGTAAGCTATGAACTTTATAAGATTCATATCGCTACGTATATTATGTCGTTCTAACGTACAATCATCATGCATGATCATAAAGTTTCTTTGCTGGGCAGATAAATGATTTCGCAAGTTAACCTGCATGTCAGTTTATTTCTTATCTATCGATGTCTTGAATTAAATGAGGAATATATTAAAGTGTTCGTATAGATCAGATGTCTTGAATAATTGACTTGTATACTTGCATAGTGGTGTGATCTGCGTAAGAGGATCTTGACGACTCTTACAATCAATCGAATGGTATATTTGTTTCGAAATCAATTGTATATTTGTTGCGACAACATTCGATCATGCATGCATGCAAGAGAAAAATGCCACATGCTACAGCTCATTGGCACATGCAGCCTTTACAACCTCGTACCCAGTATACGCGAGCCCTGGGTACGAAGTGGCAGTCTATATAGGTGTAATAAGCGCAATATCAACGTGTATTATGCCTGTTTTCCACTAGCGATATTTTTCGCGCGAAGTGAATTTATTCCTTTGTATTTGAGCAATTCGTTCCAGATGGTTGCAGTTGAGAGCTCTGAAACAAAAGTAAAATTAATGTCACTTCGCGCGAAAATTATCGCTGGTGGAAAACAGGCTTTAAGCCGGTTTTCCACTAGCGATATTTTTCGCGCGAAGCGACTTTATTCTTTTGTATTCGAGCAATTTGTTCCAGATGGTTGCAGTTCAGAGCTCTGAAACAAAAGTAAAATGTCGCTTCGCGCGAAAAATATCGCTAGTGGAAAACCGGCTTTAGACATTGCATAACGTTTCAAGATTCCAATAGAGTACGTGCAGTCGTGCATCATCGTGTTCATCATCGTGTTCATCATCGTGTTCATCATCGTCGTGGCATATATAAAAGCCACAGATATATGAAATACATTCTGTAATATAGTCGTTAAAATTTAGAATTAAATTAATATCGCTCTGCCAAACGGTTCCAAACACTCGTGTAACGAAAAAGAACACTCGTATGTGCATACTATATAGGTTATTCGGGGAAAGACGGTTGATGCATGCATGGGTATTATACTATATAATTATGCGTTTCAAATGCTCCAAATTCTGTATGTTACCTTCGGACTTCAATTACTGAATTACATTTCTACCTTCGTGGACGTGTACAATTGATATGAAATTAAAATAAAATGCAACTATAGAGTTTCACAAAAGAAAAATAACATTTTCACACATGTTCCACATGATTTTTTACATGTTCCACATGATATTTTACATGTTCCACATGATTTTTTACATTGCACAGATACATCGTAGTGATTTTGCAAATATGATGCGTTTCAAAATAGCGATTGCGTGATGAGTGGGCATCTATACATAGGGAAATAAACTTTACTTAAGTAAAACTGTATCATTGGTAATATACATTGATGTAGCTACGTCGTTTTCAATAACATATAGCTACACGATATGACAATATATCTGACTTCGTCTTACAATCAAAGGAAAGTTTGTTCTTCGCTTCTAGAGCCTAGCAACTTAGTCGCGCACACATTTGTTTTAAGCTCCTATATCATATATCATATCTCATGCCTTTTCGTCTCTTCATCAACATTCAATATTTCCGGTTCTAAACCCTAGCATCGAGACCTAACAGATACAACACGAATGTACTCTAGCCTGCATGCGTAATGTGTAATAAGCAGGCAGAAATATCTCTATATTTCCAGCAATTGACAAATTAGTTTACATTCTAACCATTATATAAACAAACGGTGAATCACCACATATGAAGATACGATTGCAAATAAATAAGAGACAGATTTTAAGGCCCTCTATACTGTATTTATGTTTTTAATTACACTGTGGTTGTACGATAGTCTGCTGCGTACAAGTTTGTTTCACACAAACCATAACTGTTTTTATTGTCGCTATTGATGATCATATTTTTAGCGTCCAAACGATCTTTCCATAAGTCGGAATGGATGCATGGCGATGTGGGCCGATTTCTCTTCGGAGAACAGTGCGTGGCTTCACAGGCGACATTGCCGTTTTTGTGGTTTGTATGAACAGCAGAGACGTCGTTTCGATCTTTCCACAAGTCGGAATGGATGCATGGCGATTTTTGCCGATTTGTCTTCGGAGAACAGTGCGTGGCTTTGCGGGTGACATTACCGTTTTTGTGGTTTGTATGAACAGCAGAGACGTCGTTTCGTCGTTTAGATTCACGTTTACGATCGAAACCTTTGCTTTTCCGATACAACTTACCTATTGCTTTTCTGAACAGTGGATTAAGAAGAGCGTACAGAAATGGATTTACAACAGCATTGACGTGCGTTAACGTCACTGCCGTAACATTAAAATACGATGGTGTTCCGTCTGGTAAAAGTATTTTTCCCCATACCTTGACAAATACCGGAGTCCAACATATTACATACGCGATACTAATGACGCTGAGACGCAAAGATGTTTTAGACTCGGACACTTTCATGCGAGTCGCCTTGCATGTAAGCCGACACTTCTGCTTCCGTATGCTTTTCGCATGCTTGTATGCTACGATGAATATGCTAATATTGGATGCAAACATTACTATGACAGGCAAAATGTAGATTATGACGGATAGAAATATTATGTAGGGAATATTATTTCGGTCTGTCCCTCTTGCTAAAGACAGGCCCCCAACAAAGACTGCTCCAATCCACGAGACGAGAATAGCGATTTTTATCCTGACCGAATTAACATTGTTCGCGTACCAGTAAGGAAGAGTGATCTTCAATGCCCTTTCCATGCTCAGTAGGGCACAGTTGAAGATAGACGCGGAGCAGCACAGGATATCGACGCTATAATGGTAGTAGTGGAGATCTACTTCAGTCGTCGAGTTTGCTATCCACAAAGGAATTGAAACCATGCCAACCACGAGATCCGAACATGCGAGACTTCCGACTAACATATTCGCCCGATTTCGAAAAGACTTCTCCGCTACAAATACGACCAAGATTGTGGTATTGCAAATTAGACATGAAACCAATAAAAGTACTACTATCCCGAGGAACCACACGGCAGATTCTGGTGAAGGATGAACAGTCAAGTTGGCCATTGTTTTATTATCCATAAATCACTGCAACCCGAGCTCTGTTGAAACAACATGTAACGAACAGTTACTAATTTATAGATCTAATAGCGGCTTAAAATAATCATGCAATAGTTTGCCTATCCAATTTTTTAATGCTTTTTAAAAGTATAATTACTGTTAGCAATTAAAACTACATGCAGAAAAAAATACAAGGCAATTACTGATGCATTTTATAACTTTAAACCGCGTGCATGCTATATTACTTACTTAAGGATTAAATGTTAAATTGCAATGTAATTGAACATATGGTCATAATTATACACTGCAAGTGCCTATCCGTACAATATATTATTGATGAATGGCTAAAACAGACCAGTCAGTCAAACCTGTGGTCAACCTAAATTTATTTCTCAGCAGTCTTCCTTTTTTACTCATTTCAATATTCGCTCGCCGTAACAGACATTACCTGGGTCATTACAAGTTGAAGCGCGTGCACCTTGCAATATGTATTACTTTGCGTATGTCCATAATAAAAAGCCATAGAAGTTGTGAAATCAAAACTTAATTAGAAATTCGAGGAGCATACATGCTTATATATATTAACAATATCTACCTGCTTAAAGCTAGTTTTTTTCTTGTTCTCTCCCAATTCCACTTAGTCCAATCTCTCGGTAAATTGATATGATCCGGCATACAACAGCCAACATGCCTTGGAAAGTATTGCCCCTAAAATATAATTCGGCCAAAGACCGCATGGAATATATAGCGTCCGTCCTGTCTGTTTTTTTTTCTTTTGTCACACCGCTAATATGTTCAGTAATCAGCCATATCAATTATTTTATCTTATATAGTCTACGAGAACGTTTTCAGCAGTATATAGCGAGTGGCGAACCTAGGATCATGCATGGCCACAGATATACAGCTTGATGGGAGCATTCACTTACGTTATTGTTTGTATATCATGACAAAAATGCTTTATTAATATCTTCATTAGCGTATAGCCATGCAGTCTATACTCTATCGAGTCCCCGCCATCGTGCTAAAACTTACGCCTGTATTCTAAAAGCTCACTCACTCTCAAACTCATTGAGTGGGAGATTTCAATCTTCTCATAACTTCTCCATGACGATATTTTTAGCCAAACAATGGCTTGATTTTTAAGTTAAAGTTTTACCTTAAATCTATTCATTATAATTGACTAAAAAAGAACTTTCTTATTGATCAGTAATAATAACATTTCTATGTCACACTGAGAGAGCGTGAGTGTGAGTGAGCTTTTTGCATACTGGCGTAAGTGTTCATGCATGTATACATGGCAGCGAAAACAATTAATTCATCGGCCACTGTCCATCCTCACTCGTTTAGCGATCATGATATAAAAATACACTGACTATATCCACCCTTAAAAAGTGGCGGTGTGTAAATTCATTTTGAGTCATTTAAAAAAAAAATTGAAATTTCAGGTAAAGTCGTTGTAATTTTTGATTTGGCAATCTGCATGCAATTGAATCTAGAGATACTATATTGCTGTTGCATCATCACGCCGTCACGTTGTCGACCGCGTGGCACGGTATAAAGTCTTGACTTAAGAGCTTTAATGCGACTTTGGAAGGATTAAAAGGAAACAGATATTTTAGGGCGCAGAATAGAAACAGCGGGTTAGAGCCAGATAAAAATAAAGGGGAATCAATTATGCAAGCACATTATGCAATCTAACACCGATTTTAGATCATACATGTTTTTTTTCCTTTGGCTTTGCTCTCTTCGTTCCCTAAATACATTTAGCTAAATATATTTAAGACCGTTATGAACCCATGGAAACTCAAGCCACCTGTAGATTAAACAATCAAGCATTTTCGTAAATATTTGGGTGTTGGATTTCTATCATATCGGACACGTGCTTCGATAATTTTAGCTCCACCCAAGCCGACAAACATGCAAATTGTTCTCCTTGACCTGAATTATCACCACGGACTTTATGATTGTTATCTTCCAGTCGTCGTCATGCACCATGTAACATGGCCATGCTGCAGCTTCTTTGTATATGTTTGACCCTGCATTCCTCGTATGAAAACTATATTATTATATGTCTCAACAATCAATAATACCCAGGGCCCGTGTTTGCAGATTTCGTTTAATAATACATGATTATTTATAGATACCATATATATAGCTAGTTTCCATTTAATCGTATAAGTGCATGTCGTGCTGATGTGAATGTTTCTGTGACCGATTTGAAGATAGAAAAAAAAGAAAAATTTACACCTGCGCTATATTTCTCATCGGTGAAAACAGGCCGTTTCCAAAGATCTAGCTGCTTATAAGTTTTTTTCGTGCACCTCACCGCTGTAAAGCTGATATCGTCTGCAAACATCCTAACCGGGTGTTGTATCTTTGAGATAATCTGCAATTTTTTTTTGAATTAAATAATAAACAGAAAATAACCTATAAATAACGAACAGAAGAAGTATGCTTCCTTGGGTTGGGGGATACTTCAAGATATTTCTTCCTGATCATAAAGCATTAGTGAGCTTATATAAATATTACGTAACGATATGTAATAGTGAGCTTAACGCGAAATATACGAAGTAAATCAAGTTAAGACCTGGTTGCTAACACCAGCGACCCTCGCCTTCGCCCGCGAATTTTTCGCCTGTTTTCGAGTTTTTCTCTTCGTCTTCCGCGCGTATTCTGTACCTACACATACCCCGCGCGCAGGGCCGTAACTAGAACGATAATTGGGGGGGTGTTTATTCATATATTCAGTTCTGCCCGACGGATTTCTTTTGTAAGTGCAATAGCTCACAATGGAAATCCGTCGGGCAGAACTGAATATATGAATAAACACCCCCCCAATTATCGTTCTAGTTACGGCCCTGCCCGCGCGCCTTGTATGCATGGGCGAGGCTGCTACCTTATTTTGCAAAACTGGTCCAGACGAAACGAATTCAGATGTGATAGGTTTCGAGGTTTCATTGGATAATGCGCGCAAGAGCTTTTCAGAGCCTCGCCCAGTTACACAGATTGGATCATTACGAGATTGGGATTCCTGTGGCGATTGGCAAACTGAAATTGAAAATGGAAGTTGTTTCTTGATATTACATGGGAAGTATACCATGCATGCAGAACACGATACAATACAATACAATGGAGCATTTGCTCATTGAATTATTACTAGAGTGTGTGATAGCGTATATTTTCACGGAAACTTGTGCATATTGTTGGTGACACATACATGGCGTTTTAACAATATTAACATAATTGAAATTTGAATATATTTTATGATTTTTTAATTCTCTCCCAGAATTTTGGCCTCCTCCCTGTTCCACAGTCTACGCTACTGTAAAACATGACAGATTCTTATGTTAATAATCGGAACCTACAGAACTGTGACTTCCCACTATCACCAATAAACGTGGCGAGACTTTATTATAAACTCAAGGAGTACGAACACGTTCTAAAGTAAAGTACTTAGTGTACTGTACGCGAGGATAATAATATCAGTTGGATCACCACTTAATGTCTCATCGTTCAAATTCTTCCGAAGTTGACCTACTTACTTATTTCTTGTAACATATTAGTCGAACACGAAATTACGACAAATGTTACTCACTTTTTACCTTATTCTTAAATATTCTCGATTACGAAGAGAAAATTTTGGACGCGAATTTCAACAGGCAGTCTGCTCTTCTATAGATGAGTGTTGACCTGGAGACCACGCGTTTACCTGCTTCGTGTGTTGGCATTTTTATGTGTCACTCGAGGAAACTTAAGTGCAACCATAAAATATTACGAGAAATGTTTAGAGTGTCGACAAGGACAAGCCATAAGCTTAGCCGACCATTATCAGTCAAAAGCTATGCTAGCAATAAGGACGACAATGAGACGCGTCTTGGATGAAGTTGGTTTGATGAAGAAGACTTGTATGCACGATTGCATTCAAAACGTAGCGAAGATAATCGCTTTCATATAATTTATATAGTCATAGAATCCTCCTATACATCGTTAATTCTTTGCAAGAACGATCGTCAATAGTGAAGCTGTTGGCCATTTGCAAGATGTTATTCATCAGTCAACCGAATTAAGATATGTTTATGTATCCCGTTTACCGACAAAGACAAGCCGTGTTGTTAGATGCATGTTTATAAGTCGTGAAATCAAAGTTCAAGGCTCGTTGACTTTGCCATTAAAAGTTGTTGCTATCGGCTTCGGCGTCTAACCGTAAACCGTTATATATAGTACCACTTTAGTCTGTGATCGTGTGTAGCTCCGCGTACGCACCTGACTTCCCATGCAAACACGTGTTTGAAGAGATTCTAGTAAATATACTGTATACATTTGACTGGTTGTATAGAATGAGAAACCAAATTATGAAAAGCTTTCAAATATGGATATACAAGACACGCAATGAAGAAAAAGTGCAATAATCAACAAACGTTCTTATATACAGGGTGTATCAAAAAAAACGCAACCACTTAATATTCTAAAATTCATATTGTTCATAAGCTCAATAGATTTTATGCCCCTGGGATTTTAAAATGGCTTCTAATCGTACAGTTCAACTGCTAATGGTCAAATCAGCTAAACTAATAATGGTGCAGCTAACAACCGAACAACGAGTTTTTATTGTCGACCTTGTAAAATAAATTGTAAATAAAATTTTACTCGTTAAATACTTTCAATTCAACTCGTTGGTTTACGCACCCGACTTTGTTTACCGACGATTGTGCCGCTAGAATATGATTACAAGCTTTCTCGCATTCCAGGGGCCAAACGTCTTTTGTGTTGTAGAACAAAGAGGATATTCATGAATATTAAGTGGTTGCGTTTTTTTTGATACACCCTGTAGAATATGTTGCGACATTTGTCCCAAAGGCAAAGCATAATAATAACAAAATACAAATTGTCAGCCACGCTTATAAACAGAAAAAGTATCATATAATCATAGCCATTATGAAGATAATTTAAAGAAACAAGTATAATAGCTGTCTTTAGAAGTGCTAAAGGCGTTAAAGTTGTGTTCATGATAGTAGCCTACTGCGATGGAAACCTTTTAGATATACATATGTAAAATACTCATGCGTTTAAATCTACAAGGAGGGGTCAGTGCTGCCTAATTTCTAAATAATTATTCCTTATTTTTTTAATAATTTTAATCCCCCTTGCGGGCATCGTTCATCTCATGTGAACATTCTTTATCCTCTGGTGAGCACACCTCAATCCAATGTGTCCCGTTCGTCAATGTTGGTTGTAAAGTCTTGTGTGTAGGATCGAACTTAATTTGCACAGGGAGGTAGGATGCACTTTTCACGCCATTTCTGAGAGAAAAATAAGATAGCTACAGTCAAGATTAGTACCTAATTTTTCACTTGATATTCCGAAGGCTGCATGAATCATGTGCGTGAATTTTACAATTAATATAGGGAGTTACATGCGTGTATATATTATATATACCACAATTTCAACCATTACACCAAGAGAAACAGTGTGTTTTGTTGATCGAAACTGCCGTTGAAATGGAAATGGCAAAAATTCAACAAATTCTATGACAAATGACTTTATATATGGCATGCATATACGCAACAATGATCAAATTTCCTCATTTAAGGCCAAAATTAATAATGTTTTTATTAAACAATTGCATGTTTAACCATAATCGTTTATAAACAACATTGCATGGTATTTAGTGTTTAAATTTATTTACAAAAATGCGTGCTTTTCAGATTCGCGACGGCGTTACTGACAAGTCGATCGAATCTCATAAATTGCAATGCCCGTGCGCATACGTGTGATCATCACGTGTATAAACATGAAGATTTATCCCTTGTCCAGTAGTAAGCCAGAAAAAAGAAAGTAATATCTGTATGAAAAATACACATCACAATAACCGAGAAACACAACTTTTATTCCCTTTTTCTCGAGTATTACTGATTGCTGCAAGAGTTTTAAGAAGAGGAAACCTATTATTTTGCATCCTATGTATAGAATTTTGCACACTAGTTTTCTTAGACAAAGAGAATCCTAGATTTCTTAAGAACAAATGGGAACCAAGCATGAAAGCACATCTTACAAGTTCAAGAACAATCATAAGTGAAAGCAACTATTTGTTTCGCCAGAACGTGCGCAAGTTTGAAAGTGGAAAGCGGGTATCCCATGCAGGACAGGGCACATGTACCTGATTCGTGGAAATGATCCAGTTCAACCAAGCATACGGGCTCAGTCTTTAAGGACTAGAGTCTATAGATCGAGTACTTCATGCATACTGGGCCAACATACCTGTGGCGTGTCGTATTTCCCAAAATTCATGCCAAAGCTTCTTATTCCAACATCGGCCAGAGCTTTGCTGGTATGATTTACTGGTTTTTCACCAAAGTCGTTGAGATGATTGTTAGCCAGGCTCATGACATCAAATCCAGCGAGCCTGAAATGTACAAATATTAAGGCCGCTTATCCCGCAGGACGTAGAAAATTACAATCACTTTTTGAAATCATCAAGGGATATTGATTTATTAGAGAAAATCAAAAACTCATGCTGACAAAACAAATAAGTCTGTAGATTATAGTCACTGATGGATCCCGGCGAAAATACCAGAATCCTCTATTTTTTTCTTCAATACGTCCACATCTCGAAATTATTGACTCATTCCATCATCTTAACAATCAAGCAGGAGCTCTAATAAAGAACATGGAACTTGGTGCAGCTGTTGTTATAAAAATGAGGTGTGCAAACTGAAGGACTGTTTAACGCCTGTAGCGATAGAGTATAGAGCCTAATTTCTGCCCTAATTTCTCTTCAATTTTCTGGTAGAAATCAAGGGGGATGACAAGGGCTTGTTTACCCCCACACGCCCAAAGCTATACTTTCACTAAATTAGTTATATCAACGGATGCCTCGTCAATGCCGTCATCTTCAACAGATCATATATACCTAAATGATTGGTTTCAAATAAGAAACTTACCGAAGCGCAGCCGTACTATCAGGATAAGCGTCTATGAAAGCCATTTTCTTTCTTATGTAGCCATCTTTCATCATTGCTTTCGTCACATACGATGACTCAAGGTTGCCAACAGCAATATCAGCCTTTCTGATAGGTCCAGCTACTTTTACCATGGTGTCATTGTAACAATTGTATCCATGTTTGACATAGTGCATGATGCAACTGCCGAAACTTATGTCACCAACAAATATAATAGAGACTGCATCGTCTTACAAGAATAAAGATTTAAAAGTAAATAAAAGCTAATTATTTTATTCCAAGTCCGTCCATGATGACCTCATATTACCTCATAGGCATGCACATATATATGGTTTCAGCCTCATTTATAATATATCCCTAACGTGTCAAGAGTAGCGTATATTTGTAATTCGAAATTTTTAAAGACCATTGCACAAATCTAATAGAGATTCTACAGAAATGGCACAAATATTTACATAAATTTATAAATGTTATATAGATATATCGTCTGGATCATTCTCTCAACTACCAAAGAGCTTCGCGATATGATCGTTATATCAAATTTTAAACCATATACGCAGTCCTGTCATCGTGTATCTGACAAACATGACTGTCCGACACACATTAAGAATCCTAAACGCGCCTCTACCTATACTTCGCAATGAGTTTTAACAAAGAGCCTAAGCGCCGAGCCTCGACGAATATACACCTATCATGCATGTGGCCTGGTTCACACTAGTTTTCTCTATATATAGATGGAAAATACTGTACCTTTGGGACTAACAACGTTCGGAAAACCTTCCATTTGAACTAATCTCAACGCCATAAATACAAACAACATGTAATCCATTTCATCTCATGCAGAAGAATTATTTCTGGAATCGCATGTGAAAGCGATATAGATTCTCTCACGTATACCTTCACTTCAGGCAACTTCCCTACTGTGCATGAATATATTTTGAATAACGTACCCGTAAAATTGCAAGTATTGACAATCAAGGAACCACAGGTATTGAATGTGAATTTTCCAGAGATCCCGCACAGCCAACTGAATGGATTGGATTTAATTTGATAGATTTTTCGTGCGTGATTCAGGCGCTAAGATGGTTTCCTTCTCACTATTAAGTATACAAGGGGAAATCACCCACACTTATAGTCACTATATAATCTCAGCTATAAGACTTCATTCACACCTCGTTGTTTTTTAAAAATGTGTACCAACTATAAAGGCTTTGTAGCAACTATAAAGGCTTTGCTCTTGCGGTTAAAGTAGGTTGATCTAGAATCAACTATATAATATAACTTATTGCGTTTTAAAGTTTACCTATATTGTGACTTTACTTTATTTTTTTTAAGCCTATAGCGCTTAGAGTCTGTGAAAAATATTGATTTTTTGGTTGAAAATAGGGAATAGGGATGTCTTGAATTGAAAATCTTTGGATTTCTTGAGGCTATACATTGCGATATTTGTAAAGCTGAAAAGAAATATATTTCGACGTAGGAAAACCGATCAGAAGATATAACTTTCCCTTTTGAAGGGTTTTTCATACTAGTTGTTGAGCAGTTTGACAAGCATACTGGTTGTCAAGTGCTATCTCGTGCCGGCAGGTTACTATTTGCCTATGAAAAGCTTCCAGTAGAATTAAGATAATTTAATGAATATAATTAACAATTAGTCGCCGAAGGCGAGGTGATTACAAGCCTATATTCACTGAGCCGAAGGCGAAGTGAATATAGACTTGTAATCACCGAGCCTGAGGCGACTAGCTAATTGTTTTAGTATAATTTCAGTATTGAAAAAGTTTTATTTATAAATACAACTGATACACGTGTTTATTTTATGAATATAATTTTGATTTTGAGTATTTTCAGCCATGTTTTTTTGGGGTAAAGCAATAGTTACTGCTCAAACTGCTCTGAGCAGTAACTATTGCCTCAGAGTTACTGCTGAGGGAGCCAATCAGAATGCTCAAAGGCCATTTTTCAATACTGAAAATATACTAATCTCGTATAGTCGTACTCGTACTATAGATTCCGTAGTCGTATGAATCTAAAGTTCACCACTGTCGTGGTTGTAACCTCTTGAATATAGATAAATGAATCCACGTAGCGTCTTTTAATATCTGTCGGAGTGTGTCGCCGGCGATAATCTGTTTTACAGAGCTATATATTGCTGCATATTTTAGCCTTTACTTTTAACCTTTACTGTTTACGTCGTTCGTGCGTGAGCATTCTTTATCCTCTGGTGAACACACCTCAATCCAATGTGTGCCGTTCGGCAATGTTGGTTGTAAAGTCTTGTGGGTAGGATCGAACTTAATTTGCACTGGAAGATATGATGCACTTTCCACGCCATTTCTGAGGGAAAAATAAGAGAGCTATATACAGTCAAGATAAATACCTATTTTTTCGCTAGACATTTCGAAGGCAGCATGAATCATGCATGCAGGTGCATGAATTATACAATTATTAGGAAGTTAGATATATTATAATAAATTATATATACTAAATTATATATACTATGTATATAATTTCAACCTTCAAACCAAGAGAAATAATGTGGTTTGTTAAAACTGCCGCTATCACATCTAGTGTCAAAGTAAAAAAACTGGCAAAAATATATCTGTGGCAAATACTATAGTTATGACTTTATGGCGTATAATGCAACAATATGAAGATGACAAGAATTCAACAAACATTCAAATACAGTCAAATCCCCTCATTTACCAAATAATTAAAAAAAATATTGATTTTTGTAGAACCGAACGTTGTCGGAAATCCTTTTTGCCACAAATTATTACTAAAGCAAATTCCTTGTAAATAATATAGTCTATTTTTAATCTATATATCTTTCTTGTCGTCTACCTTATGTAATTTAACCAATTTTACTGGTTACCCAGTCAGTTATTTCTAATAAATATGAAAATAAGCCAGAAAAAAATAATTTTGACAGTAAATAAGTATCTGATGATGTCATAATGACATAAAATACATGAAGTTTTTAAATAAATTCGTTTTCCGTTAAATGTAACAGGCGAAAATAGCTGGAAAAAAGGGTAAATTACTGACTTAACTATTAACAAATTATTTGTGGGGGGAATTATTCCAATACGTAGCATATTTGATCTGTCAATATATATATATATATATATATATATATATATATATATATATATATATATATATATATATATATATATATATATACACCCATTTGCAAAAACGTTGGCCGCAGATAGATAGATAGATAGATACTCGAAGTCTAATTAGAATTGCATATGATTACATTTGCATGGGATTTCTATAATCATTACACAACATATGCAATTCTAATTAGATTTCGAGTATCTATCTATCTATCTGCGGCCAACGTTTTTGCAAATGGGTGTATATATTTATATATATATATATATATATATATATATATATATTTATATATATATATATATATATATGCAAATTTATTAATTTTAAATTATCTTTTATATACCTGGTGACACGCAGTCTAAGAATCCTGGAGAGCGCTGTTGGGCCCGTTAGAGTCGAGGCTGTCCTCTCAATATCAGCAATCCTTTTCTTTGTTAGTTTCATTACTTTACGGGTGAGTTTAGTCCGGAACATCTAAAGGTATATTTAAACTCTATTCATATTTCTGTCCTGCCAAACGTAATGTTACTGCAACCAATAACGGATATAAGAGCTAACGGACTGTAAAGCAATTGAAGGGAAAAAATTATCTAAACCGAAAATGAATGACCGTCTTCAAACTATCTATTCACAACATGTCAAATTGTAGGGCCTATTGTACAGTTTGTTCTCTCTTTACTAGGAAATTCATTTATCGTATTAGCCATGTTGTGTTAGCCTTGCAGCCTGAATTAGGAACGCATGCAGGAAAATATTTTCATTTTCTTTTATTGGGGTGTCCGATAAGAAAAAGACACTTAATGCAGACTTTAACAAAACTCGTTAGTTTCGGTCAGACAGATCATTTCAATGTAGCTACATGGCGCATGGCTTATCATCCTCGCTCTGGTATATGGAAAAACGAATTACTTACCCAAAAGTCTGTATTATGTTGGGGAAATAAGAAGTTTCCAAGACTATAGGCAGTGAGCTGATTCTTCGTTTTATTGTGAGGTTGTAGTGTATGACTATGTGCACCAATCACAGCCGAGACTCCGAGTGAATGAAGATATTCAGCTATACGCTGTTGTCTTCTGTTAGGACGGAACGAGTATTCTCTCCCCCAGTGCATATAAACTAGAACCACATCAACGCTTTGTCTCTTTAAAGCAAAATTGAACTTTTAATCACATATTTTGACAAGAGCATCAAATTTGGCGAAATTATGAAATTAATTTGTTGTTCTTATAAAAACCAATAAGATTGTGAATTCGTCATTGGTATACTTTAATATAATATATATATCAGGTATACCTTTACCCATTACCTTTAGATGCTGAACATCCATTTTAGCAATGCGATCGCTATAAATAGCTGGTCCGGCCTTGAATGCTTTTCTTATCTTCAAGCAACTGTTACCTTTAATTAGATGTACATCACAATAACCAAGAAACCCAACCTTTATTCCCTTTTTCTTCAGTACCACTGAATGCTGCGAAACAAGTTTAAATGAGTGTGGTTGCGGTTAAGTCCAAAGAATGTGTCAGCCTGAGAAAACTGCAGGTGCATGAAACATCAAACATTCACCCCGCGAGATATTCACCACGGCAGGCTGGCGTTTTCGTGTAGGCTGGGTTTTTCATGGATTATGCATGCCGCGCGGTCAGCAATGTGTTTAGCCATGGTTCATATTAGCGTCTAAGGATCGGTGATCCATTGTATTATTTTCTGTTAGACAAAGTATTCTTCGCACTAGAGACCTCAGACAAAGAGAATTCCAGATTCTTAGTATAAGTGTGATCCATGCAGGCTTTAATGCATATCTTAGAAAATACTACTTGTTCCGCCACAATGCAACGTGCGTAAGTTAGAAAGTGAAAGACCGAGTATGGTACAATTCCATACCATTAACCTTTAAAGTACCAGTTTTCAGCCGGGCACATATACGCGAGCCGTGGAAGTTATTAAATTCGTCCAAGCATACAGCAAGGTTCAGTCCTCAAGGAAGAACATATACCTGTGGCGTGTCGTATTTACCAAAGTTCATGCCAAAGCTTCTTATTCCAACATCGGCCAGAGCTTTGCTTGTATAATTTACTGGTTTTTCACCAAAATCGTTGAGATGATTGTTAGCAAGGCTCATGACATCAAATCCTGCGAACCTGAAAAGTACAAAGAATAAAGCCTTTTAACCTGGAGGACGTATGCAGAAATCATGGTTTATTAGAGAAACTCAAAAACTCAGACAAAACAAAAGGAGTCTGTAGATTAATCCCGGAAATACCAGAATCCTCTATTTTGTTCTTCAACGCAATCACATCTTGAAATTTTTGTCTTACCCATCATCTTAATGAAACTTTAGATTCAGTTCCTAATTTCAGGGTAATTTTCTGGTAATAATCAACTAAACTACGAGTTTGTTATGAGCCAAAAACAGGTGATCGCTATAAGCGGTCTATTAGGACTGCATTTCAACCCTTAGTTTATTTCAGCCGTAGATTGATTATGTATACAACTTGATGGCACATTTGTACACTTGAGCATAAATTAGAGGGGATCGATAACTCAGACTGGGGGAACGCTCAGACCAGCTGACAACGTGCTCAACGATCCGCTATTCACACATGCGCAATGTAACGAAGGGGATAACTCAGACTGGGAGAGCGCTCATACCGTGACACCGGCTATACGTACTTGTGAGAGGGGAGTGATAAGGATTTGTTTTCCCACCACACACCCACACTTCGACCAAAGCTACTTACACTAAATTAATCAATGCCGTCATCTTCACTCTTTAGCATGCAGATCAGTGTTAATTAATTGATAGGTTTCAAATAAGAAACTTACCGAAGGTGTTAATTAATTGATTGGTTTCAAATAAGAAACTTACCGAAGGTGTTAATTAATTGATTGATTTCAAATAAGAAACTTACCGAAGGTGTTAATTAATTGATTGTTTTCAAATAAGAAACTTACCGAAGGTGTTAATTAATTGATTGGTTTCAAATAAGAAACTTACCGAAGGTGTTAATTAATTGATTGGTTTCAAATAAGAAACTTACCGAAGGTGTTAATTAATTGATTGATTTCAAATAAGAAACTTACCGAAGGTGTTAATTAATTGATTGATTTCAAATAAGAAACTTACCGAAGGTGTTAATTAATTGATTGATTTCAAATAAGAAACTTACCGAAGGTGTTAATTAATTGATTGGTTTCAAATAAGAAACTTACCGAAGGTGTTAATTAATTGATTGGTTTCAAATAAGAAACTTACCGAAGGTGTTAATTAATTGATTGGTTTCAAATAAGAAACTTACCGAAGGTGTTAATTAATTGATTGTTTTCAAATAAGAAACTTACCGAAGGTGTTAATTAATTGATTGGTTTTAAATAAGAAACTTACCGAAGGTGTTAATTAATTGATTGGTTTCAAATAAGAAACTTACCGAAGGTGTTAATTAATTGATTGATTTCAAATAAGAAACTTACCGAAGGTGTTAATTAATTGATTGTTTTCAAATAAGAAACTTGCCGAAGGTGTTAATTAATTGATTGGTTTCAAATAAGAAACTTACCGAAGGTGTTAATTAATTGATTGATTTCAAATAAGAAACTTACCGAAGGTGTTAATTAATTGATTGGTTTCAAATAAGAAACTTACCGAAGGTGTTGATTAATTGATTGATTTCAAATAAGAAACTTACCGAAGGTGTTAATTAATTGATTGGTTTCAAATAAGAAACTTACCGAAGGTGTTAATTAATTGATTGATTTCAAATAAGAAACTTACCGAAGGTGTTAATTAATTGATTGTTTTCAAATGAGAAACTTACCGAAGCGCAGCCGCACTATCAGGATAAGCGTCTATGAAAATCCCTTTCTTTCCTTTGTAGCTTTCTTTAATCATCGCTTTAGTCACATACGATGACTCTAGATTGCCAACAGCAATATCAGCGTTTCTGATAGGTCCAGCTACTTTTATCATGGTGTCATTGTAACAATTGTAGCCATGATTGACATAGTACATTATACAACTGCCGAAACTTATGTCACCAACAAATATGATAGAGACTGCATTGTCTTACAAGAATAAAAAAAGTAAATGATTAAAAGCCACTGATTTTATTCCAAGTTTTTAGGTTGACTTCATATTATTATACAACAGCAAATCTATGGTATCATCCTCGTTTAATATATCCTCAACGTGTCAAGAATAGCGTAGTTGGAATTTTTACGTAAATGGCATAAATATTTACATAAATTTATGAATGTTATAATTAATGATCTATCGTTTGAACTTTGGATCATTCTCTTAATAACTAAAGAGTTCGCGCATGTGATCGTCAAAATTTAAACCATACGAACTCCTGTCATCGCGTGCATGTATCTGACACGACTATTCGACATGTATTACCGGCAAAGAGAAAATATTAAAAAAGTGAAATTCACGGTTAAATTATGTCATCTTTAAGCCTCATGAACGTGCCTCTGTCTAGTTCGGACTGAGTTCTAACAAAGAGCCTAATATACTATATAATTTTCGCTGATCAAGCGGTTTAAAGCAGAGATGGATCACCTGTCTGGTGTAGTTTGGTCCTGAAGAATGATTCTTCTGTTTGACAGGTTCATGCGTAACTATATTTTTTCTTTGCACAAGGTTTTCGAGACAGATGATCCGTCTCTGAAATAATTCAAGTCACCGCGATGTGGCGTTAATATATATGAGGCTATATAGCTGGTCCACACTTGCATGTTTTCCTTATATATATAGATGGAACATACTGTACCTTTATGACTTATAACGTTCGGAAAACCTTCCATTTGAACTAATCTCAATACCAAATACAAACAACATGCAATCCATTTCATCTCAGAAGAATGATTTAGGGAATCGCAACTCCACAAGGTATTTGAAAGCGATAGATTCCCTCACGTACCCTCACTTAAAGCAACCTACCTAATGTTCATGAATATACTTTGAATAACGTACCCGTAAAATTGCAAGTATTGACAAACAAGGAACCACAGGTTATATATAAACGTTAATTTTTTAGGTAGATTCTGAGATTTGATAGATTTTTCTTGCGAGAAATAATTTCAAATAGACTTTGCAGATGTACCTAAATGTAAATTTTTTAATTTTTATTAATTGGCAAGCGAAGCTAAGCTAAAATCTACTTATTGTGACTTGTCTTGATAAAAAATAATTATTTTTATTTTAAAGACAGGTTACAGCGGCTTCTGCGCATAAGCGAGCTTTGTTTACATTTTTGTTTTGATCTATAGTGCTAGGCCTCTGTAAAAAATCTTGCTTTTTTGGTTGAAAGTAGGGAATCATGTGATATCTTGAGACTACATTGCGATATTTGGAAAACTGACTTGACAAGTGGCAACACTGATACACTTTAATTATTGTCTTCACGACGAACTGAAAATATGATTCCATAATTTTAATACTAGCTAATGAAAGTATATCAACCGCAAATAAAACTTTTTTTGTGAATGAATGATGCGCATGTTTTGAATACGGCTTCTTTAAATTTAATGCAAATTACCTTATACAGTGATGTTTATGTCCTGTATATATTAAAGGATATTGTAGGACGGGGACATGACGATGGCGGCTATCAATACAATAATTCATTGAACGAAAAAATGATACAATTAAAGACCTAAGGGAGTTTTAGTCCTCCTCGACGTACTGTTTACAACGGGAAACAACGATGTTCACCAGTGCTTTAGAACTAAAATTACTTGGTTTGCAGCCCGGTATATTGCAGAGAGATACTGTCGTGGTTGTAACCTCTTGAACAGATATAAATGTATCCACGTATAGTGTCTTATAATAATCGGAGTGTGTCGCCTGCGATCATGACTACTTTTTTAGAGAGCTATATAGAGTATATATATATATATATATATATATATATATATATATATATATATATATATATATATATATATTTTTTTTTTTTTTTTAACTTTTACTGCGTGCGGGTATCGTTCATGCGCGAACATTCTTTATCCTCTGGTGAACACACCTCAATCCAATGTGTGCCGTTCGCCAATGGCAATGTTGGTTGTAAAGTCTTGTGGGAAGGATCAAACTTAATTTGCACAGGGAGGTAGGATGCAGTTTTCACGCCACTTCTATAAAGGCAAAAAAGATGGCTACTGCATGGAGTTGCGAAGGCTGCACGGATCGATCACTGAAGTAAAGTTTACTCTTATTTACAGAGATACATGTATGTATATATATAATTTTAACCTTTACGACCGTAGTGCATGTGAAGAACGCGGCATATAACGTGAGCCGATTTAATAAAAGGGTTAATTAACATATTAGCTATTGGATTGATCCTATAACACGTATTTTCCCTTTCTAAATTTACTATCTGCTATCTGGTTTTACATACCTGGTGACACGCAGTCGAAGAATCCTGGAGAGCGTTGTTGGGCCCGCTAGAGTTGAGGCTTTTCTTTCAAACTCAGCAATCCTTTTCTTAGTCAGTTTCATTACTTTGCGAGTTTGTTTAGTCCGGAATATCTAAAGGTACATGTATATTTATTAAACTTTATTCATATAACTGTAGTGCCTAAAGTAACGTTATTGCGTTCAATAAAGCTTATATTTAAAGAGCTAACGGACTTTGCAGCAACTTAAGGGATAAAAATAATTTTCATTCTTTTGAAAACGTGTCAAATTGTTGAGGTTTGTTAACTTTGTTTCCTGCTAAATTGTAAGTAGCCTGAGAACAGATTATATATTATAGCAAAAATTTAAAAACGTCGTAAAAAGAAAATAAAGTTCAAAACCAGCTACTTTGCCATAATATAATTTCTTATACATGCAAATCCTTCAGTTGGTACGGAATTAAAGGGAAAAGTACTTTCTTTGATAGGAAAATCACTGATGGCTAGTGTTATAGCCATGCAGCCCTGAAATCACGTAGGAAAGTAGGAAATATTTTCGTTTACACTTAATGCAGGTTTTAACAAAACAGCTCAGTTTAGGTCACACAGAACTATGTATAGTACGAAACATTAATTTCAATGTACGTGAGGTGCATGTCTTATCGTCCTCGCTCTGGTATAAGGAAAAATGAATTACTTGCCCAAAAGTCTGTATTATGTTGGGGAAATAAGAAGTTTCCAAGACTATAGGCAGTGAGCTGATTCTTCGTTTTATTGTGAGGTTGTAGTGTATGACTATGTGCACCAATCACAGCCGAGACACCGAGTGAATGAAGATATTCAGCTATACGCTGTTGTCTTCTGTTAGGACGGAACGAGTATTCTCTCCCCCAATGCATATAAACTAGAACCACATCAACGCTTTGATTCTTTAAAGCAAAATTGGACTTTTAATCAATATTTTGATAACAGCTTTTTTTATATGACGTGTTTTAGGATAGGAGTTATTATGCTTCGTCTTTAATGGTGCAGGTTTGCAATTAAGTAACTCTGCAGATAGAGATAGAGAGATAGATCGCCTATATTATAATTATTATATACCTTTAGATGCTGTACATCCCTTTCAGCAATGCGATTACTATAAATGGCTGGTCCAGCTTTGAACGCTTTTCTTATCTTCAAGCAACTGTCATGATGAGTTCGTGGAAAATACACATCACAATAACCGAGAAACCCGACTTTTATTCCTTTTTTCTCTAGTATTACCGGTTGCTACAAGAATTTAAAAAGAGAAAACCTCTTATTTTGCATCCTATGTACAAAGTATTTTGCGCACAAGTGACCTCAGACGTTAGTAGGAGAAAATGATAACCAGGCTCTAATGCACATCTTACTTGATCAATAGCAGAACAATCATAAGCGAAGGTAACTTTTTTTTCTGCCAGAACGTGCGCAAGTTTGAAAGTGACCGACTGTGTTCAATTCCATACCATTTAAAAGTATCACAGGAAAGGGTCTGAGTCGCGCGTGGTTGAGGTTACTAAATTCATGCAAGCATACAGCAAGGCTCAGTCCTCAAGGACTATAGAGTACTTAATTCATGCAGGACCGGCCAACATACCTGTGGCGTGTCGTATTTACCAAAATTTATGCCAAAGCTTCTTATTCCAACATCGGCCAGAACTTTGCTTGTATAATTTACTGGTTTTTCACCAAAATCGTTGAGATGATTGTTAGCAAGGCTCATGACATCAAATCCTGCGAACCTGGAAAGTATACTGAAGAATAAGGCCGCTTATCCCATGAACGACGTAGGCGGAAATATAAATTCTGGCGCCAAATGAGGTTCCTGTAGCCTGAGTTGCGCCGCTTGTATTATAGCCTGTGTTCCAGTCCACTGCGCGATTTGCTACTAAATCGTGCAGTGGACAGTGGACTGGAACACAGGCTACTTGAATACTTGTATTACGGAAGTGTAATTATAATGTAAGCCTTCAGGCTAATGTGTCGGAGACAAGATGCAAGAAGTTTGCAAGCAAAACGGGAAATGTCATCTACGAACATCTAAGTCTAAGAACAAAACGAATCAAGGGGTCATGTGCAAAATCATTTATGATGAACCCTACTTTCCTGAATCGAATTTTTATACGATTGATCAGTTGCAGCATCAGATGTCTGAAATTATTAATTGTCACTACGAAAAGAAATTATATCACCTTAATATAATAATAATGTTCTTATTAGGGAAAATGGTTACTAGTAGAAATGAAAACTCAAACAAATTGAAACAGTCTGTAGGTTGGCACATGCACCCATTGTATCGTCAATAGGACAAAAAGACGATTTTTGTCCGACCTCTCGACCAAAGCTACTTAAACAGCATCCTTTTCCGCTTTTCGATATTGTCTGCCATGCAGTACGAATTCAATAGTTTAAAATAAGAAACTTACCGAAGCGCAGCTGCACTATCAGGATAAGCGTCTATGAAAATCCCTTTCTTTCCTTTGTAGCTTTCTTTAATCATCGCTTTAGTCACATACGATGACTCTAGATTGCCAACAGCAATATCAGCGTTTCTGATAGGTCCAGCTACTTTTACCATGGTGTCATTGTAACAATTGTATCCATGATTGACATAGTACATGATGCAACTGTCGAAACTTATGTCACCAACAAATATGATAGAGAATGTATTGTCTTACAAGAATAAAGAAAAGTTAATGTAAGTTATTTCACTCGAAGTTGTCTATGATTCCATAGACCTCATATTCCTACATACGAAGGCATGTCTAATAATTCCCTATAATTTGTTGATTATGTCCCTAACGTGTCAAGATAAAAGCATGAATATAAATAATATTTGTAATACAAAAACAACCACTGCACCAATCGACACAATTTACTTGACTTGATAGAATGTGATATCCATCTATCGTTTGAATCATTCTCTTTATCGCCAAATGAAAATAGCCTGAGGGTACACACTTTTCTCTCTGCAGATGGAGCAATACTGCACCATTAGGCTTTATTTAATACGTACCATTACCGTTCGGAAAGCCTCCCGTATGAACTAACCTCAACGCCAAATACAAACAACACGCAACCCATTTCATCTTTGGAAAATGAATTTGGAAATGGCAGTTATTTTGAAGCGATAGGCTTCAACTTACTAGCTGTGAATATACTTCGGTAAACGTGTCTGTAAGATTGCAGGTATTAACAATGAATGAATGAATCACATGTAATGAACGTTATTGTAGATGAAGGAATCTTCTGCTTGTTCAGTACATGATACTCACTGATATTTTGAATATGTCGTGCATGAGTCAGGCTCCAAGATGGTTCCCTTCTCACTATATGCAAGTATTTTACACACACTATAGGCTCAACTGTAAGACCTAATTGACACATCGTTGTTTCTTATGAAAAGATACGCTAAGCTAATGGCCCTTGCGGTTAGAACAGGTTGGTCTCAACTGTAAATTCCCGCACTTTATAATCTATCTATTATTTTAAGCCTAGTGCCAGAAGGCCGGCTCTGTTGACGAACGGTGGAAAATCTTTGTTAAAACTTGAAAAAATCTTGGTTAAATCTTGGAAAAGGGAATCATGGCATTTTTTTCGAGAGAGGACAATTGACTCGACAGGTGCCAACACTGGTGACCTTGTGCTCACGACGAACTGAAAATATGATTCCATAATTCAATACTAAATAAAGAATATTAAAAGCAAATATAACTTTTTGGGAATAAATCAGCTGCATATTTTAAATACAGTTATTTAATTCGAACTGCATATCGTGGCATTCAAAAAAAGGAGAATACGAGTTGGTGTATAGACTTGATTTAATGTCTCCTCAAATTCAAGACTCAAAAGTATACCGACCTATATCATCATTAACTGACTGCTTGGCCTTACAACAAGACTTAGATCATCTTGAAGTTTGGAGCCATAAAAACAATCTAACTTTTAATTGTACCAAATGCAAAATTCTCACAGTTTCAAGAAAAAAGAATTCTTGTTTATTTCCATATCGTTTGGAGGGAAACGAACTTGCACGTCGCTTAGAGGAAATAGATCTGGGGATAACGATTACTTATAATCTCAAATGGGATTCTCACATTATGCGTATTCGATCCACGGCAAACAAATCCTTAAGGGTCTTGAGGCGGACCTGTTATGAGTTAACGGATACACATGTGAGGAGAATTTTATACTTGTCCCTGGTAAAGTCGACAGGAAGCTATGGTTCCCAAGTATGGTCTCCACAAACTACTAACTTGATGAAAAGCATAGAGGGCGTACAGAGACGTGCTACGCTCTGGATTTTGGGAATAAAACGAGGAGATTTGTCTTACGTAGGACGCTTAAAAAAGCTGGAATTTTTACCTCTTGCCTACGATAGAGAGATCAGAGATTTACTGTTCTACTACAAATGTAGAAACGGTCTTATTGACCTTGACATGGGACAGTTTACGCCAGTTGTCTGTAGCCGAACTAGACGGGGCTCATCATCTTACCTACAGATACCCTATTGCAAAACTAGTACTTTTAAATTGTCATACTTTAATAGAATTGTTAATTTGTGGAACTTTATCCTAAAAGTAGCTCCTCCCGATACGTTTTCAACTATTTCTAGCTTTAAAACATTTCTGCATAAGATTTATAAGGACCTTCTTTCTAAGATATTTGATCCAGATTTGACGTGTACTTACTCGTTGTATAGGACGTGTTCATGTCATAGTTTATATACTTTTAATTTTATTTAACTTAATACTGTTATTTTGTATTTTGGGCTGACACCTAGCATGGGACCTCATCCCGTTCGTGTCCAGCCTTATTTGTTGTTTTTTTTATTATCAAATTAAAGTTGTTAAATTAAATTCGTCTTTCTCTTAATTAAACTGTTACTTACTAGAATAAATACAGTCGATCAGCAAAATTGCTTCAAACACTCTTTCAACAACATCGAACGCACTACGACGCCTGGTATGCACCGAAAATTGGTGAAAATCACGATGCATTGTTTCCTTAAATGGCATTGATCGTGGATCAATGCCATTGTTGACGAGCACGTTGCGGATGCCGGTGCCCATAGGCGTACGGGGCAGGGGGGGCTGCCCACCAAAATTTAGAGAATCATCGGCAAGAAATTCGGGCAACGTTCAGCCAAAATTTCGGGCAAACTGAAAAACAGTTGCATATAGCCAGAATTTTTGAAACCAAATTTTGTAATATATATTACATATATGTATTCTATTTGGTACGTCACTTACATTTTCCTGAAAGCACATCCGGCGCTTTGCCGCAGAATCAGTTTTCTTGCCAAATAAGGTCACTACATTCTTTCTGATAATCGTTGTTAAACCAACTGATAAAATGAAGTTTATTGTTACAAATCTGGTAAAAGTTAAAATTCGGCCACATTGTATAATAATTCAAAAATTTGGGCGATTTTTGACCACCCCCCCCCCCCCGAACTTGCCCTATGCAGGTGCCGTTGAATTTCTCCGAAACTCTCCTTAAATTAATTATCAAAAAGAATACTTGTCTTATATGTCATCCTATAAAATTTAGTACAATATATAATAAACGTCAAAGGCATCATTTAAAGGTATGTTACAGTCGCTAAACGAACACTTTGCTTACATTTTCAATATCTATATATTTCTAAACATGTCAATAACGGTCAGAATGTTTGACATTATTTTGGTTCACTATAGTTCTAAATGATTTTGAGTTGGTTAGAAAAATAAGAGACATGCTAAATTTCAGTAATTTTAAATCAAGTAGTCTAGTCTATGATTTGTTATTAGCAGAACAGATGCGCAGAAACACTTTAAAAATGGGAGGTATTCTCCTAAGCTGAATTTCTGCGCTGACGCATATGCCACCTACCGCCGGCTCGAGCATTATTGTGAGGATACACTGATGAGCAGGACCGGTTATACGAAGGCTGGATGGCGCTATTCATGGTGCCATAGTAGTTTTCCAAGTGCTCTATTATTGCTCGTATAGTATCTATACGAAACCTTAGAAATTTTAAATCAATGTTTCTCTAGCGGGGCCGCGTCCCTCTTGAGGTATTTACACTCGCAACCAAACAAATATTTTACTTCTGATATAGCGTCAGACGGTTAGTTATAACTGCATGTGTGAGGTGTATAATGGCCAAACATGCAAGATAACTAAAGACAAGAACTTTTGCAGTTGTCTATGTATGCGGCAAAAGCATAAGCAGCCATTAGTTATGTTGTTTAATTGAAATAATGCATTAAAAATTTAAGCAAAACTAGTGTACAGTCCTCGGTGTGTTTTTCCTAAATAAAGACCTCGCACTCAGGTATATACTTATCTATTATTTATACGTTTCCCTTATATGCAGACATAGTGCCGTGATTGTAACCTCTTGAACAGCTATATAAATCCATGTATTGTCTTGTATATAATATCGGAGTGTGTCGCCGGTGATCATCCTTTTTAGACAGCTATAGGTGCAGATTTTTACCCTTTCTGCGGGTATCGTTCATGCGTGAACATTCTTTATCCTCTGGTGAACACACCTCAATCCAATGTGTGCCGTTTGTCAATGTTGGTTGTAAAGTCTTGTGTGTAGGATCAAACTTAATTTGCACAGGGAGATATGATGCACTTTCCACGCCTTTTCTACAAGGGAAAATAAGATGGTTACTTGACATTGCGATTGAATGAAGTAAAGTGTACAATTATTATATAATTTATATTATACCACGATACAGGAAAAGCGCGATACATACATGCATTAGGCGATTCAATAAAACGAGAGATTAATATGGTAACTCACTAGGAATTTATTTATATAGCGAGGTCTGAATCCTTTTAACCTAAACCTCCAACCTAATAACCTTTTATAAACCGAAAATTAATTCCTAATGCGAAAATTTTGCGATATTATACTATCATACTGTATATACTCTTCGATGAATGTCTTTATTATGCATGAACTTTTTTAATTAACATCTGCTAGCTGTCTTTAAATACCTGGTGACACGCAGTCGAAGAATCCTGGAGAACGTTGTTGGGCCCACTTGAGTTGAGGCTTTTCTTTCAAACTCAGCAATCCTTTTCTTTGTTAGTCTCATTACTTTACGGGCGTGTTTAGCGCGGAAAATCTAAATGTGTATTTATTCATATTAATAGCTGTCGTGTCCGAAAAGTAACGTTATTGCGTTAAATAAAGCCTAAGTCAAAAACGAAATCCCCCTTGTTGCGCTAGAGCAGGTTATATATAGAGTAAAACGATTCAAAACGGGGTAAAAAGAAAATCAAGTTCAAGACCAGCTAAGATATCATTTCGTACATGCAAATTCTTCAGTTGGTACGGAATTATAGGAAAAGTACTAGTTTTCTTTCATAGGAAAATCATCACACAGTAGCTAGTGTTAGGCATGAAGCTCTAAGGGGATGCGGAAAAATATTTTCGTTTACCGTGATTACATGGAGTGCATGGTCGTTAGTTCAAGTCGCACAGTCGAAAGGGTTTTTTTCATCATTAAAGATATGGGCCACAAAAGGACGCAATAAGAAACGTTTCAATGCACATGAGGTACATGGCTTATCGTCGTAGCAATGGTATAAAGTGCAAAGAATTACTTGCCCAAAATCTTGTTCTATGTTGAGGAAATAAAAAGTTCCCAAGACTATAGACGGTGAGCTGATTCTTCGTTTTACTGTGAGGTTGTAGTGTATGACTATGTGCACCAATCACAGCCGAGACACCGAGTGAATGAAGATATTCAGCTATACGCTTTTGGCGTCTGTTAGGACGGAGCCTGTATTCTCTACCCCAGTGCATATAGACTAGAACTACATCAACGCCTTGACCCTTAAAAAAAAGAAAATCGAACAGTCGCCGTTACGAGGTCTATTCGCATGCATTATCATCCTAAATCCACACTAACTACGCTCGGCTTTTACCTCTGACAAGAGCATTGCACTGTCGGCATCGCTATAAGGCCTATAGCTTCGTTTTTCTGGCTCAAATTTGAGACGCGTATGATTTCCATTCGAAATTATGACTCTTTAATCCTCCAGTAAGCAATTATATGAAATTATATCGTAGATTTTAATTTAAAGGTTTCTGGTTTTTCTATTTACTCTACCTTTAAATGCTGAACATCCCTTTCAGCAATGCGGTTACTATAAATGGCTGGTCCAGCATCGTACGTTTTTCGTATCTTCGAGCAACTATCACGAGTTCGAAAATACACATCACAATAACCGAGAAACCCAATTTTTACTCCCTTTTTCTCTAGTATTACTGATCGCTGGAAGAATTTTTAAAAAAGGGAAACCATTATTCTTGTATCGCAATAATTTTAATGCGCCGCAGTTGTTGTATTGTTTCTGTTATGCTATTCGCACTTGAGCTGTGGCTTTGAGGACTGGCGCCTGACGTTTACGAGCCTGAGTAACATGCGACATCATCACGCATACGATGAACAGAAATAGACCTCCTATAGCCTGCGTTCACACGGAACCTCGGACAAATTTGGTAATAGTCGAATTCATATATTAGAGACGGGAAACTTATCGAAGACGGGAAACTCGTCTGATTCGTCTGATGTCAATCCGGCCGAATTTTCCTGTCTAACTTTCCCGTCTAAACAGACGGGGAAGTTAGACAGGAATCCCGTCTGGACCAGAAACTCGTCTTAAATTCGAATTAGTAGACGGATAAATCCAACGAGTTTCTGAAAGAAAATAAACAAAATGATTATATCCTAATAATTACGATTTCTTAGCATTACCCGCGGCCCATCACTGATAAAGTCCTGCTTCACGTAGGAAAAGTATACCTGTGGCGTGTCGTATTCGCCGAAATTCGTACCAAAGCTTTTTATTCCGACATCGGCCAGAGCTTTCATTGTATAATTTACTGGTTTTTCACCAAAATCGTTGAGATGATTGTTAGCAAGGCTCATGATATCAAATCCAGCGAGCCTGAAAAGTACAAAAAAGCAACACGCTTATAAAACGCGTTTCCTGGCGTGAAGCATATTGCTCGCAATCAACAAAGGCATCCACAGCTAATTACTTGCAGTCAGTCCGAGCCCAAGTTGTTCCTCTCCCTCTCACTAGCCTTGCAAATGACAGTGTATATGGACAACGGTTGGATAATAAAGTACAAAGATAGCCAACAAGGCATGCTGGAAAACACGTGTAAAAAAAGTACCCTTAACCACAGAATACGTATTATTATTACCATCCATCTTTTATCTATAACTAACTCTACAAAGGCTTTACCCACTTCAATTTTTTTTCACAACATAGGAAGTGTACATTAAGACAATCGATGAGTCTACTATTTCTAGCTCTATCTTAACAGCTTGGGCAAGTCAACTATTCCATCGTAGCCTTCCTAATTCTCTGTCGGAAGAAATTGAATGTATCCAGAAGCGTGCTATATGCGAAGTGGACCTTTAGTCGACGTAGCTGGGATTTTCGAATATTACATAGCCTCTTTTAAACGTCAAATTCGAAAGGGAAGTGGGCCGACGACATTCGATGTAAAACATTAAAGATAAATGAAGAATCGTCGCGGCGTATAAAGATGTCAAAGCGGCTTACAAAAGTTATTACGCAGTTAAGAGGCCCACTTGTCATATTACTGGGCATGCCAAGTTATTCTAAGTAAAAGAGGGTTGTATAAATGTGCTGTCACCATAGTTACGAACACCATACGCAACCATGGATGGAGCCTTGAAGAAGGCATGTGTGCGGGAACCGTATTATACGCACTCCACCTGAAGTTTTCTGATTTCCCTCACACCTCAATGCTCAAGGGACCGAAAAAGTCATTACTGATTTCCACATGCATGACCATCCCAATGACCCAATCTCATTATACGTAGGGTTTTTTGCCTTTCACAAAGCCTGCTCGGAGTTGACCGAGAATTGCATGGAATGCATGGAATTGACCAAGAACAGCATGATAAACTGGTTAGGGTCACCCTTTACCTCCTCCAAACTACTAGTGTAACACTCAACGTGAAATGCTAATCAGTTTCACTACTTCCAAAAAATATAGTTGATGCATGGCAACTGTAAAACAAGCAGATTCCAAAACGATCACTTCGATCACCTAGTTCTCTGAACCTTCTGATATTTCACAATTGCAGCAATTTATGTTTTAATAAGAAACTTACCGAAGCGCGGCTGCACTGTCAGGATGAGCGTTTATGTAAACATTTTTTCTTCCTTTGTAGCTGTCTTTCATCATTGTTTTCGTCACATACGGTGACTCCAGGTTGCCAACAGCAATATCAGCGTTTTTGATAGGTCCAGCTACTTTTACCAAGGTGTCATTGTAATAGTTGTAGCCATGATTGACATAGTACATGATGCAACTGCCAAAACTTACGTCACCGACAAATATGATAGAGACTGCATTGTCTTACAAGAATAAAGGGAAGTGAATAAAAGCTTTTTATTTTATAGGAAGTCGTTCATTTTGACTCTAGACTTACTGGGGGAGATCTAGTTCCAACTTCTTCTAATATATTGGGGTCGCTAACTCGTTAAATGGGTGGGACATGTGTTGAAATGAATGTCCATTTTTTTCAGTCACTTACACCACAGCAACGTATTCGTGTGGCCGCGTGGGGGGAGGGCTCCAAAGGATTTAGCTTCCTTGGGGGGGGGTTAATGTCTCTTAAAGATGACATAAATTTAAATTTGATATAACGTTATATAACTATGTAAAACAATAATAAAAGTATTTCCATTTGAAGTTTTGCATAAATGGATGATTTTGCACAATGTGTTATCGATCCATCACTTGGATTATTCTCTTCGATAGCAAAGATCGTCGCACATGTACGTGATGATCACAAATGACCCCGCGTGTTATATCAAATTTAAATTATGTCACCTGCTGTAAAAAAGTAACCGTTAAAATTAGATATAAATCGCGAAATATTTTTTCAATATAATGTTCCGTACCTAGCCAAGTTCGTTTGACTCAGAAACCCGAGATATCAAAAATATCACATTTATTATTCTACAGTTCACGCACGTTTTCAAAATCCCCTGAACTAATACCATTCTGCCCTTTTATACCCGTGTATATTAACATAAATTGTTAATTGTTGCTGCATACTATTGTCCAACACAACACTCTCCCCTTCTCAAGTCCAAACCCGTCTCTGTTGGACTATAACTTAGCTAATAAGTCATACAGTTATTCATAACAATCACCGTTTGTCTCTATTTTCCAACAGATTAATAGTCGATTCGGTTCCCTTCTTTTTCTCATACTTCTTCTGGGCATTATCTGCTGTACCTCTTCGGTTTGTATGCTCTCTTTGCTTGGGAGCACAGAACGTATATTCTCACCGACATACTTCATTAGTCTGTTTCGATGTCAGTGCTACTATGGGTTTGGTACGGTTTGATAGTTGTATCCTGTAAACTAGGTCATTTATTCGCTTCACTATACCACATAAGGACCCACCCAAGGCTTGGATAATTTAGGAGATATTTCTTTCTTCCTTCCGGGCTTATAAAGCCATGCAGGTGTTCCTACATCCAATTTTTTTGCTGTAGCGTCAACATTGTATCTCGTTTTCATTCTATCCGTTGTTATCTTCAAACGTTTTCGAGCAAATTGATGTGATCCCCATCATCAACTTTGCTGGTGTGAATCCCGTTGATTCATGGGTTGCTGTACGATACGCCATGAGTATAATAGAGGTATATGCTGGTCCCAATCTTTCTGGTTTTCATTAACAAAAATTGCCAGCTGATGTTCTAATGTCCGATTATAACGTTCTACCATTCCATCCGATTGCGGTGTAGAGGTGTTGTTCTAGTTTTCTTTATTCCCAGGAGCTTGCACATCTCAGCAAATACCCGCGATTCGAAGTTTCTCCCCTGATCGGAATGCAATTCGATGGGCACCCCAAAACGAGATACCAATTGATCAACTAACACCTTTGCTACTGTTTCTGCCTTCTGGTTTGGAAGTGGGTAGGCTTCCGGCCACTTGGTAAAGTAATCCATAGCAATGAGAATATGGCTTGTTACCATCTTCTGTAACTGGCAAGGGTCCTAATACATCTATCGCTACTCGCTCTAACGGTGATCCCACAACGTATGTAGCGCATGGGGCTTTTATCTTTCTTAAGGGACCTTTTCTTGCTGAACATAAATCACATTGAGCACACCACATTTTTATGTCATCTCTTAATTTCGGCCAATAGAATCTTTCTTTTATCTTACCAACTGTTTTGTTAATCCCAAAATTTCCTCCAGTTTTTGAATCGTGTAAGAAATCAAAAATTCTCTTTCGTAAAGTTTTAGGGACCAATCGCTGCAGTATTTCCGATTTACCGGTGGGGTCTTCCCAAACTCGACACCGAAATCCCTCGGCATAACGAAGACTGTCCCACTGTGCCAAAAGTTCCCCCCACTTCGGTCTGCTTTGACCATTTTTCAGTGCATCAATTAAAGTTTTGAGGTCTTCGTCTTCTCCTTGTGCTTTAATCCAATTTTCCCCGTCTACGGCGGATGTCTCTACCGGTTGACTCCTGGACTTTTCTCGATGATTTGCCTTTCTCGTCACTCTTTCCACCTTCAGCTGAAATCTCTCTTCATAACGTTTACATTGGCTGCAATTTCTCCATAACAAGGACGTCTAGACAAAGCGTCAGCATTCTGGTAACTAGATCCTGGTCGATGTGTCACGTTAAAATCGTACGTTTGAAGTTTCTCCAGCCATCGAGCTACTTGGCCTTGCGGATTGCGAAAACTCATGAACCACTGCAACGCTGAATGGTCTGTTCGCACTTGAAAACTCTGTCCATACAGATAATGATTAAAGTGTTCGATTGCTTTGACTACGGCTAAGAGTTCCTTTCTTGTCACGCAGTAATTCTTCTTCGATTGACTCAGTGTTTGGCTGAAGTAGGCTATCACTTTTTCCTCTCCATCTTGGTTCTGTGACAGGACAGCGCCAATAGCACAGTCAGATGCGTCTGTATCCAATCGAAATTCTCCGTGTATGTTAGGGTAGGCCAATATTGGCGTTGAAGTCAGCAATTGTTTTAGCTTTTCAAACGACTCTTGGCATTTTTCTGTGCACGCGAACTCACTATTCTTCTCCGTTAGCTGATGAAGGGGTCGGGCGACGTCAGCGAAATGAGGAACGAACTTCCGGTAATACGTGCATAATCCGGGAAAACTTCTGACTTCGGTCTTATTCTTGGGTTCTGGCCACGTATAGACAGCATCTGTTTTGTTAGGATCAACTGCAATACCTGCTTGACTAACGACATGTCCCAGGAATTGTACATTTCTCTGGAAAAGATCGCATTTCTTGGGGTTTAACTTCAGTCCAGCTGCTCGCAATCTCTGAAAAATAGGCACCCAAAGAGTGCATAAGGATTTGCAAAACGCATTTCAATGTTTTGTTTATTGCGAATGGCGATTGCATGAACATAGGCAGCCCAATGTTATGGTTGCCTGCGCACGGGCACATACGGCGTAGTGATAGTTATATAATAGTATATAAAACCAATTCCCGAACATTCAAAGCCATTTCCTCGACGTTTAACCTGTTTGTATTCTCCAGTTATATTAAAATTGCTAAACTAGCTAACGCTTTAACGAGGGCTCCAAAACTTTGTCTACGGTCGTTAGACAAATTTGCCAACACTTGTAAGGCACTTCCCTTCAAACTCGTTGCCAGAAATGCCGCTTTCTGCTCTTCATCCCGGCTATTATACAAAATTGGGCATAGTATGCTTCCCACGACGTTTGACCATCGTACAAGTTTGGCTTCCGAATGAGACTGCCATCCTTCATTGTTGAAGTCGCATTTCTCCCAAATGTATTTCAGTGCGGTAAACGGGCCGACTGGCCAATTATGAACACCGTCTTCTCGTGCTGGCTGTGGCATGGGGGTTGAAACACTCGGCTCCGGACATACCCAGGTTGGTTGTTTTGTTCTTTGGTCGGAACGAGTCACCAACGATGCTCTCAAACTCGCGGTTTCTTTTCCTAAACGTTCAATCTTAACCGAGAGTTCTTGGTTCTCGACTTCTCGTCCTCTAATCGCTGGACATAATCTTTGCTTCTGGCATCAACCAATTTAAGTTCTTCCGTAAAATATTGTCGCACACGAGTCGTTAGTTCTACTCGACTGGCTTGGACTTTATCCTCACAAGCTTTGCCCCGAACTTCGATCGCTTCAGCGCGTTTTCCTAACGCGACTATACTTTCGTTTAAGTTTTCTGCCGCCGTCATAACTTGCTCTTGCTTTTCTTCGATTCTCCCGATTCGTTCTTCATACTGTCCTATGATTTGATTAAATCGTTCCGTTTGCTGAATACGAAGCTCATTTTGTTGGCTTATGTTCCTCAGTTGCTGTTCGATCAGTTCGTACAACACGTTACCCGTTTGCGGTTGCTCATCCATAACCAGTTCACTTTCGTCTGTAAAATCTCTTGTTGTAGACCGAGTGTTCATTTTGGGTTTTGAATCCTGGCGGGGTCGCCAAAATGTTACGTTTACCTAGCCAAGTTCGTTCGACTCAGAAACCCGAGATATCAAAAATATCACATTTATTATTCTATAGTTCACGCACATTTACAAAATCCCCTGAACTAATACCGTTCTGCCCTTTTATACCCGTGTATATTTACATAAATTGTTCATTGTTGCTGCATGCATACCATTGTCCAACACAACAATAAATTTCGTACCGAGCGGTGCACTCCCCCCCCCTCCTTTATAACACAGCGAAATTATCATGCCATCACGCGGTTTAAAGCAGAGATGGATCATCTGTTTGGCAACCCTGACCCCAAAAAAATTATCGCATTATCAGTTTACGTAACGTTAATATAAAACCTGATTCACAATTTAAGTTTTTACTCTACCTTGAGTACCATTAAAGCCTTCCGTATGAACTGATCTCAACGTCAAATAAAAAAAACACGCAATCCATTTCATCCTAGGAAGAATTGTTTAGAGAATGTTAACACGACAAGTTATTGTGAATCGATAAACTTCTTCATATGCCGGGCTTCGGGCAACTTAACTGCCGTGAATAAACGTTGAATAAAATACCCGTAAAATTGTAAATATTTTATTGAACTAGTCACACTTCTGCCAACCACTCCGATAAAGCTTACTGACCGATCATTGCACTTTTTTAAAACGCTGAATTAAGGTAATTTACACACAGGAAATCTTGGAATATAGTGAATATTTTTTGAGGTATTGTTGACAATAATCTTTAGCAATGTAGATGTAATATAGGGGCCAGTTGTATCAAGCCTTAGCCCGACGGTGGATAAGTCAAAATTAAATAACACTCTTACATCTCTCTTGAATATTAATGAGTCAACTTGAATATTATGCACTTAATATGTAGTTGTAAACAGTATCTTTGTATTAAGATTAAAAACATTTAGTTTGCTTGTTGAATAAAACGGCAGACTTGCTTTCTATTTTGAACTTATCCACCGTTTAAGCTAAACGGGCTTGATACAACCGGCCCCTGATTTGTATTTTTCATTAATTTTTCACGCTTTTGAAATTATTAGTATATCAAATCAAATATGTTAAGATAAACATTAATATTCAGATGACGTCAGTCTATCTATGAACACGTTAGTTGTAGTTGACTCCAGCACATATAAGTTGTATAAGTTTTCTTTAATAAATATTGTTATATATAAGTCTTCCACCGTCGATCATGAGTTTAACAATACGCAATCAAATATGAAAATATTTCACAGACAGACAGGCCCGGCCAGGATGCCGGCGGAACCACGGGTGCAGTTGCGCCCGTCGCCTTTCGTTTTTACAACTTTACGGGTGCGCAATAACTAAGTACGATGTATGTGTTGTAGTGCGCAATATTCTTCTCATCTGTGACCCATTCCTGAAAAATATGCCCTTTTCATAAGAAACTGCACCCGTTGCCCTGCATGTATATATAACGTCCGGCATCCCTATTTTCACTGAAATAGATTTCCCGACGCTGATCAGGTCACCGACGTCGGTAACCCATTCACCTAACCACATGTAAAAGGCATGATAGATTAGATGTATACTTTATGATAGAAGTTAGAACGGCTTGCGTGGATATAATGTTCATTTTTGTACAGTCAAATGTTTTAGATACAAAAGGACAGAAAGAAACCCCCAACCTGAAAATATTAATGACAGCCAGACTGTTGCGTAATGACTGCACTTTAATGCACTTACCGATATCGAAACAAGGAAACATCTCCGCAAAATTTTGATTTATTCAACGGGCGATTCTTTCGCCTTGTCAGTATATTTACGCCGGACAACAAATCCAGTTAGTGCATATGCACTAATTTCGGATCAGTACATGGAACTATCATGATCAGTCCAAAGTGTTAATTAATTTATTCGCGTAAACTGATAAAAAGTTTTTTTGCAGACCAAACACATCACCAGATTTCAAATATTGCTTTTCGCCGCGCACGGTTGACGGTTGTTGCTTATATCACTAGCTATGCATAAACCGACTAGCAAGTTTTAAACGTTCATTATCGTTGTTCATAATTCCAATCCCAGTCTTATACTGATAACCTTGAATAGTAAAGGCGCTGTTATATACTATATATTATACTATGCAACTCTCCCTCCAACTTGCAAATGAATGCAAATCTACTTCTGAGTTTGCATCTAATGTTGATAAATACGAAGGTTTCGTTTTTTTGAGCATTTTGATTTTTAACACTCTTTTAAAGATACTGTACACGTAATACAAGTTAACATCCCTCAGGAAAGATGTTGTTTCCAAATGAATCTTGTGTCGGAAAGATTTTTGCCTATGGGAATTTCCTACGAATATTCATGTTTCATACCACTTTACGATGTCAATAGTCACGTTCAATAGTCACGTTCTGAAAAGATTCTTTAATTTCTTCGACCATTGTTCTTCTTCAAATCTCGCTTTTTTGACACTTTTTCTGTCATGCGCGTTCCCCGCCTCGCTGTCGCTCCGCGCGTGTTCTCCCGCGAGACAATGATTACGCAATGATTATAAAACACGCGCCGAGGACGAGACTGATAAATATGTGTAAATTTTCGAAAGTGTTACATTTCCGTATGTTACCAGTTCTACCAAATGAAGTTGAAATTTGGAAGAAAATTTAACATTCACTTATTGCATACTCATGCAGTGTCAAAGTTTCAACGCCACAACGAATGCACTCTCCAGTTTATTTCTGGTCAGTGTGCATTTCAATTACTTTGTTTCTTGTTTCGGTAAATACATGCATCAGCGCTCTAAATTAGTCAAACATACTAACATAGCCTTTTATTCGGGCTATTTGAGGAAAATATAGAAACGATAAAAATCGCAATATTGCGTCATTGCCTTTTTGCATATAACCATATTTTGTTTCCAATAAAGACTTGTCATACTATAAGTATGAGATATTGAAGTGCAGCCAAGGTGCTGAACCGCTCCTATATTTAATATATCCGCATAAATAATCGCATTGCCTTTGATAACTTCCGACATTTAGCTTTCGATTATCTTGATTTTGAAAGACTGCCAAATTCGTGGTTCTGTAGCTATCGAGATCCACAATAGGCATTGAAAAGCTCCTTGCTTTTGCATCAAAATGCAAAGCTCCCTGACGTAAACAGTCCATATATTCTACCGCAAGGACAGCGTATTGTGCCATGCGAGTTTGTTTGATTAGTATGCGATACTTGTTTGCAGTGGGCAGATGTTTTTCATTATTTCCCTCACACTGCGCATGCCCGCTTCCACGAGTTATTGCAAACAGTTTAGAGTCTGGCGCTTGCTTCGGAGAAGTATTGCGCTATGGAAAATCAGGAGAATGCCAAAGCTCTGTCTCCCTCGAGTGTGGTTGACTTAAATGTCGGTGGCCAGCTGTACACGACCACTCTAGGGACTTTAACGAAAGAACCTAGCAGCTTGCTGACTGCTATGTTTAACGGAAGTCAACGAACACCGAAAGATTCTCGAGGTCGCTATTTCATCGATAGAGACGGCGTTTTATTTCGCTACGTCTTGGACTTTTTAAGAAATCTTCGCCTTACCCTACCAGATGGCTTCAACGAGCTGGATCGTTTGTTAGCTGAGGCTGAATATTTCAAAATTAGTTCGATGCAAGAAGCACTCTCGAAGGATCTCAAAAGCCGTACGAGCGTCGAAAAAACAAAGAAAAAAGCCAGCGGGTATCTGTCTGTCTGCGTGCGAGGGACCTACGCGTTTGGACGTGATGGCGTCGCCGACGTGAAATTTCGCAAGCTACAGCGAATTTTGGTGTGTGGTAATGTCGCGTTAGCGCGTGATGTGTTCGGCGACTCTTTGAATGAGACCCGCGACCCAGCCCGGGAGGAAATAAGATATACAAATCGCTTTTATCTCAAATACAATCATCTAGAAAAAGCTTTCGATCAGTTGGCGGAAAAAGGTTTTCAAATGGTCACAAGTTGCGCTGGAGGAGCAGGTTATGATCCTGAGAGCGAGGAAACAAAATGGAACCATTTCAATGACTATATTTTCTACAAAGGGTGATACTTTATATTGATGAAATAATGCAACACTAGTCTAGAGATTTATTATATGTGGCAGCAAAGACTGTTCGGCCTCTTGCAAGCAGGTGGCATGCAAAAAGGCAAACGCCACCGTGGAGTGATCAGCTTAGTATTTATTTAATATTACTAACTGATGGCGATGTATATTTCTTAGTTATTAATTGAAGTAAAAGACTTGATATATTGACTGGGTGCATGGCTTTGTTATTTTAAGTGTGATGACAACTTCCGAAATTCGAGTGTTCTTCCGCGACAGCATGCAAGTCAAGTGATATATTTGCATATATACATATATATTATATGTATACGTGTATTTCAGTCCACTACAAAGGAGATCGTTAGATATTGTTTACGAAATTCGTACATGATTCATGCATCTCCTATACATCTTTCTCATTACAATTACTCTTATTCATTCTTGATTATTTATCAGTTGTCTCGGTGAATACTCATTATACTATGAATTTTTCGAGCGATATTTTCTCTCGATGTAAAAGGCAGTTTGAAGGCCTGGCTCAACAAGCTCATAACAGAGCATTAACGTTTAGTATGAGCCTTGGCTTCACGTAGTTGACCTGATTTATTTCAATTTTTTGCATAGTTTTTTATCATATTTATGGCGCGCAATACGCTGTATGATCTGATTTTGCGACAACAAAATCTAAAGCAGGTGGCGACAGACGGAACGCAGGTTGATTTGAGCCTGATCAGCACCGCATTTATTATATAATCTAACCAATGACGAATCCTAATGGCTAATAGTTATAGCAGAGACTTGATATATTGACTGAGAAGTTTTGATATTGTTCGTCTTGATGCGAACTTCCGAAATAAAGGAGTTGGTCAGGATTTTAGCCGCCTTAGCATTTGCATATAATATATGTCCTTAAAAAGTACATCATGTGAACATTGTTTACAAAAATCATGCATTATTTAGGTTTGCGCATCCCTCCCTCTGCATCCCTCCGCATAATTACTCAACTATCGTCTCTGGGAATCTGATTGGCTCTTAGTCAAAATCGCAACGCGATTTTAGTACAATTCACACTTCCCCGGTGGGCGACTCTGAAATTGCTCGTATCTTTCTGATCTGTAATCATTTGAATCCCAATAACGTTTTGGGTTGGGATAAAACGCGGATCCAGAATGCGGAATTGCGGAAACGGAATGCGGAATTGCGGAATGCTAGAATGTTAAATTTAATTTTAACACGTATAACAGAACTAGAAGTTGCAGTGACAACAGTGTCTACAGCACAACAATGTACTCGTGCAATCTTGTCAACCTTTATCGACGCCAATACCAATGCAATCACTACAACAGCTTATGCCTCATGTTTTGTACAGTCAAGTATAAGGTTACCTTCTTCAAATTCAACGCAATTTTATACCACCATTTGCAACCCATCCAGAAATATCGGCTCGTCCACTTGTTCCCGGCAGCCTGTCAACGTTACAAGATTCGACTGCAGGAGGTTCCATTGTTAGTCTTCAGCAGTTCTGTCCACCATTCGTTCGCGTCTGCTTAAAGCCCTGATCATCCGCACGATCTTACATATGGGGAATATACGATATAATTGCGTGTATTTTTTACACCAACATCAACTAAAACGTTGGTAAGCACAATAAATGTGCTTACACAATAAATTTATGACATTCGCTTGGTAGCCATATACACAGCCTAAAACATACAAATTGCAAGGTTGACAATTGGTTACTGCCTAGTTATGAAATGGCAAAACCTGTAGCGGTTCTTTTATATTTATCAACCTTGTAACAAGATGATAAATAGAGAACGATACATACTGCGCGGAAATATGGAATTTATTTCGAGTGGTTTGAAAGATATCGAACGACTGAGCGCAACACGAGAATTCCATATTTCAAGTTTTTTAAGGCTTTTCCACTGGTGATAATAATCGTACATGTGCGATTGTCATGAATAATTGCACATGTGTTATCATCGCTTTTCAAAACGGCCGATTGTTTTATATCAGTTCAGTTAACAAACTAGCAACAATGAACAAAGAATGTAAACTGACTAATTCACGATTTTCAAGTCATGATATTCCTGGCAAAAGTAAGAATTTTCCCTTATACAAGACAATCTGTGGCTCGGTTCTTTAATCACTCGTTATTCCCCGTGTGTTTCGTGAGGTTTTTCTATAAGCATTTATTCGATTTGCTTTAAAACATTTTTATTACTTTGCAGTTAATAGTTATTGTTGATAGTTTTGACTCCATCTTCACACGATCAAAGCCAAAGGGAAAATATGGTCAATATATTAATAATAATAATATTATGGTCAAAATATTATATTAATAATTATACGGTCAATACATTAATATAATTAAGTCAGTCCAACTTCTATGATGTACATTGGCAATGTTCACTACCGTTTTCGCGTGAAAAAAATAAATATAACGCTCGAATACAACCAGCGTTCTTAGCATACAGACGACCAGGGGCCGGTTGTTCGAAAAGCGTTTAGCTTAAACGGTGGATAAGCCAAAGTTTAAAAATACTCTCATACGTCTTGTGAATGACTGAACCTGTATCTTATGCATTAAATATGTGCTTCCATTGAAAATTAAACTATTTACATCGAAATAGTTGAGCTCAATTGTTCAATAAATAGATCATTTCGTTTTCAATTTTGAACTTATCCACCGTTTAAGCTAAACGCCTTTCGAACAACCGGCCCCAGAGCCATAGAATAAACTAGGGTTCGGTATTAATGAAAGGATTGATAAAATCTCCATGTTTAACAAAATATGCTCCGTTTTCGCATTCCGTTTCCGCAATTCCGGATCCGCGTTTTACCCCAATCCATAACGTTTTGTTGTGGTTTCAAAACTTCACAGGTCCATATACAAAACACGTAAAAATCACACAGGTGGTTTACAATGGACCTTTTCGGTAATTACGGACATCTAACAGGAACATGAGGAAATCATGCACGTATTTAAATTTTCAGAGCATCCACCATTCCACTAGTTTTTAAAGTCAGTTTAATTAAAATCACACTCGGTCTCTCAGACACGAAAAATTTATAGCGGCATTATTAATTAAGTTGATATTCTTAGGGACTAGCTCGCCTCGCCAGCTTGGTTTTATTACGCCACCGTGACACCGTCTCTGGTGGCATCAACTGGCCTTGGCTAATATGCCCACAACCTATCTGATTTTTCTCTTTCGTTATTCATATCATTTTGTTAAATCGGCCGAAATGTTCACTTTTAAAAACGCGACACGTTAGAGAGATAGTAGAGGCATCTACCTCGTAAATTGCCGGCTAAATCCATGAAAATACGCTTCCTGATAAAAGTAAGCTTCCTGATTGCTAGATCTTTTATACTAGCTATGTCTCGATTTCCTTGGATAGCAGCGCAGTCACATGAATTTGACAAACAAACCCCCAGCTTGTCGTAAAATTATAAAACTGAAAAGTGTAAAAAATGAAAATGCAAAATAAATGCAACTATGCAAACCTAATAAATGTAACTGAACCAAGGAAGGCAAAACTATTAAAGAAATGTAAAACTAAGAAATGTAAAACCATGCATAAGAATTGAAAACTAAGAAATGTAAAACTAAGAAATGTAAAAAGGTAAAAAGTTGTTTTAATAAATGTGTCGCGTCTGGGCTTCCGTATCTTCCTGTCAAATTTAGGGTTGCGTGTCAAGTGCTTCAGTACAACCCGTGTCTGTCACTCCAGTACATGAACACGTTCCTGCATGTTTGAATTGGTACCCGATAGCTTAGTGTGTCGTCCTTTTCGACAGACGTCATATGCCATAAAATATTCCATATTTTAACTAATGATAACAAGCCAACCACCCAAATTTTTAGATTTTCAAATAAGTTACTTTATTACATCATCATATCACATGCATACACAGACAAACAAGTATTATTTAAGAGGCATAAATATTACAAATACCATGCATGATTACTTATTGGTACATGGTAAACGTTAGCTATTAATTAGTCATTATCTGTCAGCACCTTTTTACTTTTACGATGACATCTTTAAGATGAATATTTTTAAGACAATAAAAGAAAGCGGTGGGTCGTGGAGTGTCTACAATCTCCTCTTAGCCACGATGGTGAAATCATTTGGTGGTAGAACAAGTTTTGGGTCCGATGGCATCAATATTGGTCTGGCTTCTCCTTCAGGAACTTCAATCCTAAAATGTTGCAACAAAGCAGACACGAAAAGGCACAACATAATTCTTGCCAAGGGTTGCCCGGGGCAGTCTCTACGACCGAGACCAAACGGGATAAATCCATGCTTCGCTGTCCAGCCAACAAATGAACCATCTTCTTTCAGAAATCGCTCAGGTTTGAAACTGTGTGGTTCTGGCCATTCTTTTTCGTCAAAGTGAATATGGTTGATATGAAGGGCGACATAGGTATCTTTGGGGATATGATATCCTCCAATGACCGTGTCTCGTATGGCGTTCGTACCATACACAGGAAGAACACGCGACAAACGCAACACTTCACAGATACTGGCCTGTAAGTACGGCAAGTTCTTCGTATCTTGCCACCGAGGTAAGCGACCTTTTCCGACCACTTCGTCGAGCTCTTCGTGGATCTTTGTTTGGACATCTGGGTGAAGCACTATATAAAGAATATACCATGCAAGCACGGACGAGGTCGTATCCGATCCTGCATACACTATATCAACCATCAAGCCTTTTATGTCATCAATGGAACCGATTTCGTCTCCTTTTTCTTTTCCAATTTCTTTTTCGAACGCGGCAAGAAAGCTGTCGGTAAGATCACGAGTCACTTCTGGTACAAACGTTTCCCGATGATATTTCAGTTCCGGTCCAAATAGCTGCTCCCTCATGCGAACGACTTCACTTAACTCGCGGTTGAATGTGGTTGGAAGATGGGAAACACCAGGGATCAACTGGGCTGGAGTAAATTGAGTCCAAAGCTTTGATATTTTGTCGTTGAATTCAACTATCAACTTCACCTTGGGGTGAAGCAGTGATAGTTTCTTTGATGTCACCCACTCCCAAATTTGGCACACTATTGCCCGCGAAAGGAGGTCCTTCGGAGAAAACGCCTGCTCATCCAGCGCTTCCATTTCATTGACAAAGTTCTGCACCGCATTGCTGACACGTTCTTCGGCTTTATCTATACCCTCCCCAAACACATGCAGGCCTAGAGAAAGGATTTTCTTGCGAAATACATGTCCTGGGCCATAGTCTGAACATATGACATCGCGCTCTCCGAAGATGACATCACCCGGGTACATCGTGCTTCTTATCTTTCCAGCGAGATCGTCCTTTCTTGTCAAGCGTGCTTCTCGCGCCAGTTTTGCGTTGTTTATCAACACGCAGCGTCTCAAAGGAAACGAGACGGATACGATCTCGCCATATTTCTCAATGATCTTCTTGAAAGGGTTTATCGGGTCGGATTCCATTTGCGGGAGATTGCCGATCAGGGGCCAAGGAAATGGACCCGGGGGCATTTTCCTTCTCTCGATGTAAGTCGTGATAACATACCATACGAACCACACAAGGAACAACGAGGCGGCAGACTCCAAATACATGATCTTGCTTTATATCTGTTTTAGAGTAAAAGGCAGGTGTTAAGTTGCATTTGGCATAAATTTAAGTCAAACTGTTCTCATTAAGTCAACTAACACTCAAAAGGCTGCACATAACATCATTCTCATTAACATGCTCATATCAAACGTTTGTTTTACAACAGACTACCGTGGTCGCAAAGGTTTATGCCAATCATTAGTAAATCACAACGTTTTATCGCGACTGTTTCATTGTGCCTTTGACCTGAGCTGAGTCAATTTATTACGCTTCCGTTCACAAAACGTCACATATTAAATGAATAAGATGGTGTGATGGATGCCATATTACTCGAAAATAATGTCATAATTTCTGTTCATATTCGTTGCTATTAACTTATTTGCCTTTTTCTGGCATTTTATGTACATTAGAGACAATGTTATAATTGACCCCAAATAAAGCATGCCTATAAGCAGGTGGTGTCCCACGTGCGCATATCATTTAGAAACATAGCTATATACATGTACATGTATACTTGATCAGTACTAACCGATAAACAATAGTATCTATCATATTGCTGGGTTTTGTGAGGAACAATGGTGGTCAAATTCATTCACATTTAAGGCCGACTATATATCTCTTGGAAACTATCCCTTGTTCTCGTTAGCGTTGCATCAATTCATGAACAAATTTTAACGTCATTTTTTATGCGACGATTGTACATATTATCCATCAGTAAAAAAAGTCTAAATCCATATGAAAGTATCAAGAGTTGAAAATATGAGAATATATTTCGTCTAAGCGCTAAATAATTATCGGAATTATATACGAAGGCCCTACTCAGACCTCAGTCAAAATTTTCCTTGACGAAGCCTACCACAAGCCCTTCAGTGACAAAGGGGGCGACAAAGAAACATGAACTGGGGAACAACATCGCCAGGGGTGTCACGTGCACGAAGGAACATCAATTGTGGGACAACAGAGACAGAGTGAGACCAACTTGAGGAGGACGTGAGGAGGGACACATGATGGAACCAATGTGCGGAGAAAAAGAACTCCTGGCATATAGGCTGTATATAGACAAGGGAAACACGGCGAGGTATATACGAAATCGTAGCTATATATAAAGTTTTAACGAGGACGGCCGACGATGTTGCGAGGGGGGAGAGGCAATTTGAAAGATTCGCGCATGTACGGCAAATAACCGCTGTATTTTGGTAATGCTCCGTATATAACCTTTAGTTTGGTTCAGCCTCGCAATAAAGGTAACATGATAAACATAAATATGTGGCATATATTCAGGGTTATATATAATATTTGGTCATATTTAGTTTTACGGCAACCATGGCAAATAAAAGAATAAACTGAATATATACAATACGCAAATTGACGCAAATACGTTGCAAAATTATCTCTATAACATTTCGTTCAACTGTCCTGACAAGTAATTCTAACCATTCATGCAGTTACCCACGGGTCTTGTTCAATCAAATCGGTGGTATAAAAATCAGCTATAGCCTATAGCTATATAGCTAGCTGCTAGCCGTCCCAAAGTAACATTCAAAGTAACTTACCACAAGGGTAGAATCTGTTCAGTCTTTTATGCGAGAGCAGGTAATATCATATACTCTTATATATATACTCTTCCTCGATTGTGCGTTAGCGGAACCAACAGATTGTGATGAATTGAATCAACGTCACTTATACGCAAATATAGCTAACTACACATCGTCATGGATTAAATCAATAAAGTAGCCAAAAATTAAAACATCCGCTTATGTGTTTTACCATACGTTGATAGCTAGGCTAAGTTCTAGATCTCTGTAAGTGTAAGCCAAAGAGGCTTAGAAGAGATTAAAGTTTTTAAAGCCCGTTTACACTATAATCAATATATTGTCGGCGGTACCTCTAAATTGGCAGCTCCCAAGTTTATCCGCGGGTGCTCGGATCTTATATATGTACCAATTTAAGTTAGGTGGAGCACGTTAGAAAGCGGCAGGTATATATATATATATTAAATCCTGAAAGCAAAATTTGGAAACTATCGACGCTAGAGCAGTCAAAATGTTTTATTGTTATGTAATCTACAAGAATATTATGATAATTTAAAATTTTTTCAATTTTGAAAACTTAAAAACTTTGAAAATTCGCGCCGCGTTGCCAATTCGGCCAATTCGCGTCTGGTCTGTGTGGGCCTTTAGGCCTATATATCGATTTTGGCGCCGTTCAAAGAACGATCGTGCATATCATAATAGGGATAGGAAAGTAATGACTATAGGCTACTAGCCATGCAAGAACCCATTACAACTACACGGTGCAATTTTTCTTGCAACTTGCAATGCAATTCTACTTTTAAGAGATGTCAATTAGTGATGAGTTCTCAAAATGTAAGTGTAAGAAACGCCATGGAGTGTAATAAAGACAAAAATTCGGTAGTAGCCAAATTTACATCTTTCAAAAGAAGAATTGCATTGCAAATTGCAAGAAAAATTGCACCGTGTAACAGGGCGGCCTTCACTATATATGACCCAGAACATGAAATGTTTCACTAACGCAGACGTGTTATTATATATATACGAGCGAATTTACGTCTGCGCGCAGATAAGAAAACCAAGCATACTCCGCTGAAAACAACCGATATCTTGCAAACTAAAGATATGATCGAGTTTTAAAAACAAGACAACAATTCTGCAGTGATATATTTCGATTTTTAGTTAAACTGAGTCATTCTCCATTAATAAACCAATAAAGAATTTAGATAGTTATGTACGGCCTCCGTGACATGCAGATATATGTAGCTAATTGCAGATATGTTATTATACGTAAGTCGTTTTTTAAAGGAATTTCTTGTACTGCATGCATGACAAGTATCTTTCCTAATGATTGAGTACTTTAAATTTCATTAAATCAGTTTGTCGTTTTAATGCGTGTGATAATAAGTGCATGCACGTAGCACTTAATTATGTCAATATATAAATTGTTTTTAGCTGCCCATGCAAGCCTAGCATGCACGATTAATTCTGATAAGCTATAATCATTTTAGTAGCTATAGCCAACATTCAATTTTCAATACCAGCCGACAATTTAAAAAAGTTTTAAATTAAATCTCCGGAGAAGTATATAGTTTAAATTTAGCTACCTTTCTATATATATATGTATATAGCTAAAACCTGTTAATATATATGGACTAGGGTCTAAGTTTATAAGTACATATTATTCCGAGCGAAAATTTTATAAATCTCGATAATCAGTTCATCTCACATAGTATATAGTAAAGATGTTTTTGAGTTATAACTTTTTCACGAGACGTTCAAGATTAACTGATTTATTTCGGATCCGTCCATGCATGCATCCCTAGTTTAAATTACCAAGCTAGCTCGGTCGCGAAAATTTTTACTGAGGGAGTTCTTTTGGCCTAGACTATATATATAGCACCTCGGGCGGAGCCGTGTCAACCTCGACCCACGAGGAACAACCCTGGGTACGTACGAGGTTGCTAAAGCTAAAGTGATCAAAAACGTATAATCTTTAATTCGGCAAATCCCAACTAGCTTTCTCTCTATAGAAAATCGACAATTCATTATAAACAATATGTAAAACTTAACTACAGTTAGTCAAGGTCCTATTCAAAAGACTTATAACACAAATTACAAGTTATGATCCATCATCTGAACATATCATGTGAAAAAAAATCCATGAAATTTCAATCAATATTTTTTCTATCGCTTCCAGCATTTCCAAGCACACAATGTTAAATCTAGTTCTAGAGATTTGGAAAAGCTGCTTATTACATTCAGAAAACATAACTGTCATCATTTTCCCATGCAGTGAATAGCGTTTTAGTTAAACGACGTCAGTAATTTGGCATGCATTTATGCCCCCGGTGCAAGGACAATCAAAATTCCAAGTAATTTATTGCGCTTCCGTAAACAAGAGTAAAATGTCGAGGTTATAAATACGCCGAACGTCCTGGTTTGAAAGTCGTATATCATGTATTTGTTTGTAGATCAGCATATGGCTGTTCGACGCATCAATTGAATCGACTTAGCTTGCGTGCTCGTTGAGTGCGTTAATCAGTAAAGACAGAATAAATTTGCCGACATTATCAGCTTTTTTATCATACCGCTGTACCTAAGCGTGTTTCGAGACACTCCATGCATGGAATGCATGCACACAATCGCTTTACGACATGTGCTTGACTCAACTCAGTTGTCGGATTAATGATATGTGTGTAGGCGTTCTAGTTCCGATCAACAACATACTTGGATTTTTAATACTTCTGATTGTGATTATTTAAGTATATAAATGCATGACGCTTTTTAAATTACTTTCAATGGTCGGCCATAAAGAACTCCCACGCCGAGATCTAGAGTTTCCAAACAGTGCCGCCAACCCAAGAAAGGAGAGATTTTTTTGTGAAAGCGCACTTCTCTATTGAAGCATACTAGATCTTAGAGAAAGAATGATCTCAACTTGACAGTACGTAGCATGTAAGATATATAGGGTTAGGGTTGGTTTCGTATAGTATTAATGATTAAATACTATATACTATATATATACGGTTAGGTTTAGGCAGCTCAAAAGTGAGTCAAAACCTTAGTTTGAAAATCACATTGATCGTACCTCCACTCTGTGCCGCTTTTACAAAGCACGTTTTACACGGCAAACCATTCAATTGTGCTAATATAGGAACTTGTAATCTGTGGCTGCATGGTAGTTCCATGCGCAAGTTATTCATAAAGGGGCACTGATTTGCGAGGGTCCCAGGAGGTAGTCGTGGTATATAAACTGCATTTAGGTGTACAGGTTGTTGAAAGTAGTATATGGCCTTTTTTCAAATTATATCAAAAACATGGAAATCGCATATTTCAATTTCAACGTTCTTTCGAAGGGTGTGCCTTCAGGCTGCAGCCCTAAACGGGTATTTCATTCCCCGAAAATCATCACCACTGAATTATGGAATACAAACTATGACACACCAACGGAAACGAGTTGTTCGGTCATTTCTTGTTTTCAGTTCGGCAAAACACCGATATCTAGACTGATCCATGTCGCCGGAAAATGGCGTATTCGACCATGGTCGAGTCCACCGGAAAATCAGTGAACAAATAGTATATATGTTTCTTTATATAATATGCAGTTAATGATCGAAGTTGGGTTTTCGCATCGGTTCCTAACAACGCTGGACCCGCAATCGGATTTGTCCAGACACAGGCTCTAGCTCATTTCCATTTCTAGCTATAGCCCAGCAATAATATGCAAGACGCAAGAAATTCGTCCTTTATCAAGAAATAAACGTTTAAAATCTAAACAAAGCGTTTTGTTTACATTACGACTGGACGTACATCACCTATAATACATCACTTTACAGTTTGGAGTTCAGCTCCCATTGCGATGTATCTACATTAATTATGCATGGGATATTCAATGACGGAACAATCAAGCATTTTTTATACGTGAAGTGTGGCTGGATTTAACACGAGTTCCGGCACATATGTCAGAAGCATCCATTCGTGAAGAATTAAATTAAAGCGAGCCAAATTTTGTTTGAATTTTTGATCGCGTTCCAGTTCTAATGACGTCTGTCAGTTAGCAATCTATCAAACATTATTGGGAATTTATTCGCTGCATGCCGCTGTGTCTAACATCCTAAGAATACGAAACATGGCCCAAACTATCTATAATATCTACGTAACCGTTAATTGGATAATAAAAAAGAGTGAAAACCAACAATTTCTAAAAAATTAGGAAATGTCTCCTTGGCTACCATCAATAAGAGTTCTCTCCATTACTGCTCCGACTTAAAACTGATCTTCGTTTTGTAATTGACTTCATGCAGTGAATTGTCTTGCCAGTCTTGGCCGAAACTGCAGTCTAATTAAGATGGTTTAAATTGTATATCTCGAACGTATATGTGCATACAATTGGCAGCTCAGCGTCGAGAAAAGCGTGTCGTGCTAAGATAGACAGACTGCCTTAAAATAGTTCTAAAATCAGTAGTCTCGAGCCATTTCTATTGCAATGAGTATAGAAACTAACTTCTTATAGCTTCCAGACGAAGCCCAAAAGCTCTTGAGTTTTAAGTTCTCGTTACATTTTTCAAATAGTTTATCAATTGAAACCAAGTAGTTTGGTATCCTGTAACCAAACTGTTTTAAACCTACCTATATAACTGTCAGCACTATTACATTTAAAATCTGAATTAACTAAAGTATGAACTAACCTTAGTGTTTGACCGTGTTTATGCTGAACGTCTTCCGTAACACACATCAAATACTAAACTGTTATTCATCTAAAAACAATGTTGATCTTCATCTGTGATATATGACACTAAACACGCGGAAATGGCACTCATCCGCATGCATACACACCTGTAGGGTTTCTATAGGTAACAGCATATGGTTTCGAGTGCAATTTCGAAAAACCATGCACGAGTGAGTTTTTCAAAGACCTCAAAATTTTTCAAAAGTCTTTGAAAAACTCACGAGTGCATGTTTTTCCAAATCGCACTCGAAACCATGCTATTACCTATTAATAATATACATAAAAATTAAGGGACACGTGCTACATAATTATATGATAAATAATTTATTCAATTAACCAAATTCATGCATGCGCAGTCGCATGTTGCCTTCAAATCGCGTCAAAATAGAACTGTTTCAACGTTTTTACACCAACTATTTAATTTATATTAAGACACAATAATTATAACACTCAAGAGCATTTTTAAAAACGTCTTAAAGAAATTAGTCTGGGATTTGGCCCATTTCTGACGTGTTAAGTGTTCGCTAACTTTTCTGTTCTCAATTTTCTTTTTCGTTTGGGTGTCGTCACCTAAACCCTGTGTGTCTAGAGATGATAAGGATATATATGCAAGGCAACAATTGAAACTGTAAAATGTTGATCGTAGATGCTGTTAATACTTTACATACTTGCCTTGCATGTGCATGTCTTTGCATACCTTTTTCATGCAACAGCAATACCTCAGAAGGTCGCCAGTGCATGCTGCTGGCGCAAATCAGGAAAAGCCGTTTTAACTGAAATCCGACGTTATCACTTCTCGGAAAAAACAATAACGGCAACTAAATATAAACTAACGGATGGATTAATACACGTGTAAATCAAGAACACTTGCATGGTCTTGGCAGCAAATATGCGCTGAAGAATACACTTTGGGAAAATAAATTATATGCAAAATCACGTTGTGCCAAATTGAACGTCAAGGTCAGTTAAAGAGGCTTCCTTCCGTCTTTGTTTGTAACTTTATATGTTCCTATATTTAACAAGTGACCTATGTAAGTGTGAACCAAGGTGAGACTGAAGTTATGTATACACATACTTAACATGTAACATATTCGGACATATCGTGGGTTTAAAGTCGTGATTCGTGGATAAGCCCAAAACTCCTCGTGAGAATTGCAGAGCAGATACATGATTTTGTACTTTTATATAGATCTTTTTCCAAATAGAAGAAGCGAATATTTATGAATTTTATTTCGCGGTTGCGTTTTTCAGTGGCGGCATCGAGGGTAAGTCTGGCTAATCATATTGCAACTACCTAACTTGCAATCATATTGGTTGATTTTTATGTAAAAGTATTCTTTAGAAATAAATAACCAATAGCGTTGTTATTAAGGTATATTTAATTTATTCGGTGTAATTTATTCTGACTTACTCTGAATCCGTCACTGGCGTTTTTTGATACAGTTATTCGATACACAGTAGTATGTATTATAATTCCTTTCTGCTATTGTATTGCAAATAATCGTAATCGCAAAAACTTTACATTTGATTTTTTCTAAAGATCGCGGCTCAAAGCACTCATTTCGAGGATTCGGAACAAAGTATCGTTGATCGTAATCAAATTAATTACAAAAGAAGAAAAACTATACTCTGAAAAATCTCTTCTCCACATGAAACAGCAAATTGGTTGCAGATACGGTGTTCTTGCACTATCAACAATTCAAATACTCTAGCTAATGTTATTAATATATCAAACTATCAATCTTTACCGACAACAACCAGATTACCAGAAACCGGCAATGCATGCATAGAGGCCATAACGATGATCACCACTGGCCTGAAATGTCCAATATTTCTTGGTTTTGGCTGTTTTCAAATAGATTACAACATGCCTTAGATGCATTGTTGCCTTAATGAGCTGAGACATTAATCAATTTACTATCGTCGCGTGGATTGTGAAGTAAATCCCTATAGCTTAAACCTTGACTCAATAACGTAAACATACCAAATTAGCGACGGTCAGACAGGTCGTTTTTGGACGACATACATTATATGAGGGTAAAATATCAGTTGCTATGAAGAAGCGTTGCAATAATGCGATTTTGTTTTTGTTCTTAGCTGTTTCTCTTCAGCTGGCACTAAATGTAGTAAAAGGTATGGAGGGTTAAATCATTCAGGGCCTCTGGTTCTCAATGAGATAGACTTGCTATCCCTGGAGTGGAAAACTGGGGCTCCCATCTAACATATTCGACTGTTTGGACAGGAAAGTTAGACTGGAAAGTTCGCCGGGACAAGAAAGTCGTCTTTGACCAAAATCACATCAGACTAGTTCCTGTTTATAGATAGGTTTTCTGACAGTGTTAGAGGAGGCTCCCGTCTCTAATATGAATTTAGCTATTATCATATTAAACAATGATCTTAACACCCGTAAAACCTCTGTTGTCACTATATTTCTCGATTTTGTTTGTTATCCATGTCCTCACTGTGTTTTTTTCCAGCAATTCCTAATAGAGGTACAGTCATCCCGCCAAAAGAAACTACGACTCCAAGTAAGTAAATATTACGAAGTAACACTTATAATATAGTAAGATGAGCATGTGTTAATCACGGTACTTCTACATTTCAGCCTTTCATGCTGATCAACTTGATTAATACTATCTACAAGTTTGCTGGAGACTATAATTTCTATTTCTGTTCATTTCTCTCACTGCAGTCGTCTATACAATCTTCTTTCCCACTTTATAGTTCATCTTGCGTGTTACTTCTGCAAGTATGGGACAAATATCATGGCAACATTTTGCAACAAAACTGTGAAGTTATGTGACGAGGAAAAACCCAACTGCTTAAGTTACAACTACTCTTACAGAAACAATACTCGTGTGTTTGGTAAGGGTTGTGGAAAAGATGATGATTGTAAGAATACAACAAAGACTTGTGAAGATTTTATGAAAAACACCAATGTCTCTACGTGTACCATATCGTGTTGTGGAGAACCTCGGTGTAATGAAGGATCGGTGCAATGTCATCATTTGCGCACTCTAATATTAGTATTCCTCTTTTTCTTGGCAGTATTTTGAACCACTAAATCGCATTAGACGATATATCACGCCGGACGCAACACAGTTCTAAGATATAGGCATTGTTTACTGTTTAGCATTTCATTTATCACTCCCCTAAGTTTTGGAATCTTTTGTTTATGCCATTGGTTAGGAGACGTTCTGCCAATTACACTCAAGTGTTAGGCAGTTCCACAATCTCGTAGCTTTTGGCGAGGATATATTATATAATTAATATATTATATTATCTATTCACATGAGGATTGGTTTACGCATTGTTTTTACTGTGGATCCACTTACAATTGGATTTTTTGTCCAAGCCTAGAGGCCAAAGCCCGTGCAAGAGATTTTAATTTAAAAACGATGATATACTGGTACATTGGTACATTGCAAGTTACCCTGAATAATGCGACACGCTAGTAGAGGAGCACGTAAAAATTAATAGTGATACTCAACACCAAAAATCAGGCAAAATATATCCCCCCCCCCATTTCCAGCCACCCCCCTCCAAAACTAGGTACACAACTTGTGAAAGTGATTGATTATGTTCCTTACTCGCTGGCTGCGGGTTCGGGAAAACGAGATACAAACGATATATGAAGTTTAATCCTAATATTCGCAGGCTCGCATTTAAATCCCACACGTGGTAAATACAGATTTACAATACCAGCTCAATTTTTCTATTAAAACAAATAATCATGTAGAAAAACATGTCTAATTATGCTATGAACGACCGACATATACTTGCTTCTCCCAACTGGTATAATAGTGCTATTTCTGACATCAGTGTCGACGGTATATTTGCATTTGGTGGCAAGAATACAGTATTTTTGTTAGACGTGACAGGACCAAATTGTTGTCGATACTTTGGACAGTTATGTGGTCACAAAGATAGAGTGACCTCTGTACAATTTTGTAAAACATCTTCATACTCACGATGTTGTGTCAGTACTTCGGAAGATATGTCTGTTGTGGTTTGGGATGTTGATGCTAAGGAATCGATATGCAAGCATGACAATCACCACGTGAGTATTTTGCATAGTTATAATGTCCACCTCCTGGACACTAACTATTAAAGACTGCTTTTCATTACTCTCACTTTTGTAAAGTGACTTTACTTGCACAGATGCATGCTGGCTTCTTTAGGAGATAAGTTGCGAAGTAAGACAAACAACTATACAGATATACCAGCCATTCCTACCTCTGTATAGTAATTGTTCTGTTACAAATTTGATTAAAACTTTTCTGTTATTTTATCCCAGCCCCCAAAATCAACTTCTAATATATATATATATATATATATATATATATATATATATATATATATATATATATATATACACACCCATTTGCAAAAATGTTAGCCGCAGATAGATATATAGATAGATACTCAAAATCTAATTAGAATTGCATATGTTGTGTAATATTATAGAAATCACATGCAAATGTAATCATATGCAATTCTAATTAGACTTCAAGTATCTATCTATCTATCTATCTGCGGCCAACGTTTTTATATATATATAATTATATATATATATATATATATATATATATTATATACACCCATTTGCAAAAACGTTGGCCGCAGATACACATATAGATAGATACTTGAGATCTAATTAGAATTGCATATGTTGTGTAATATGATTGAAATCCCATACAAATGTAATCATATGCAATTCTAATTACACTTTGAGTATCTATCTATCTATCCACGGCCAACGTTTTTGCAAATGGGTGTGTATATATATATATATATATATATATATATATAATATTATTATATATATATATATATATTATATATATATATATATATTTTTTTTTTTTTTTTTTTTTAACCAAGCACAAGGTCAAATAAATTAATGTACAAATAAATATCAAATTGCATTCAAAATTACTTTTATGTCATTCTTTGATGACTCTGTTAATTAGGTTTGGAGAAATCAACTACAGAAATATACAAAATTTAAAATGACTTTTTTCTTGATTGGCATTCTCCTGAATTTTTTTGGATTCCATGCCATTTGTGTTCGGAACTATGAAGCCAGTTAGAACAAAAACGATGCAGAACAACCAGTCATTGTCTATTTTTTAGTAGTTCTGAAGCCTTGAGAAGGAACCTCAAACACCATAAATGATTCTTCATAAGCAGGCCATTCCACCCATTGTTACTAGCAATTTTAGTTCAATAACCTCACATGCTGTTAGACTGGACCTGTTCTATTGAAAACTTTATAATTTTTTTATAGGCCCGTGTTACAGCTTGTTCTTGGTCCCAAACATCTGGTTTGATTTATTCAGGTATGCTATAATCCATGTTCACAAAATCCTAGTTAGGCCATGCATTATTAGCTTTTTTTTAATTGACTTTGCTATATTTTTTATTGCATTTTTTTGCATTGACATCAATAATTTTTTTACAGTATATATCATCTCCTTGAATGGCATATATATTTCACATACCCATTTGATAAAATATGTAGGTGGTGATAATAGATGTTTTATACATACTGTATGTATAGGTGATGAGAAGGGTCATCTTCTGTGCTGGGATCATCAACAGAATGAGGTAAATGGACATTTTCCTCTGACTGGTCAAATAACATGTATCTCCTGTGCACCAGATGAAGAAGGTGTGGTGGCTGTTGGGTAAGTTATAAACTGTATTCAATTCTAAGTTGTTCTCTGGAAAACGGATCGCATTTACAATCGCTAGTATTGTCTTTGAGAGTCACACTTTTTTAGTAAAAATACGCTACTCAAGATCTCCATAAGTTTACTTGAAATGTCCCTTCGCATACCCCCGCCCGAAACTCGTTAAACTAACGAAAGAGTTCAATGGTCAATTTAACAAGCTTTCCCGAAAGTTTTTTCAAACCTAAAAACATCCTGCCGGGAGCAAAGAATCTTTTCATTAAGGTCCTTCAGATCTGGAAATAAAAAATCGCAGTAGGTGCCAGACACTGTTTTTTTTAAAGATTTCAAAAATCCATATAAATTCCCGAGATTGTTCATTCAAAGTAAGTGGCAGAAACTGTTTTTTTAAAGATTTTAAAAATCCGTATAAATTCCCTTGATTGTTCATTCCTGATAGCATTAGTGTGTCACGTAGCTAGGAGTGCAAGCATGAAATGTTTATTAAAGGTTTTTAGTCATTCCAGTACGGTAACGTAAATTTGCTTATAATTCAAATGTGTATTTAATTTTAGTTATAAGAATGGTCAAATTGTAGTTTTGTTGGTGCGGAAAGATAAAATGGAAGTCGTGAACCTTTTGAAAGGTCACAACGACGAGGTTCATTGTCTAGTCTGGTCCCCAGTTCCCGCGGGGGAATTACCACCACGTAAGTATGAGAATTATGTTTAATATTGATCATTATTCTATGTACACATGACGCAAAATGATTTTTTATATTCAACCGAACCTAGTAGCTCAGTTGGAAGAGTAAAAACTGAAGGTCGTTGGTTTAATTTCTGTCGCGGTCAATTCACAATAGTTGGTTAGTTCACAATAGCACCGTTAAAATGTAATCATAATAATTGTGTGTATGACTCACGTGGATTAAGAGATGTTTACAGCTAGAGCCTAGACAAAAAAGCTCGCCTAACATTCGTATTTCACGATAAGACTAACTTGAAGCCCTTTTATACAATTAATCGGCTGAATCAACAAAAACAAACAAAAATACTTGGTCTACATATGTAGTATACAGTCATTGAAAAACCAATGAAATATTTCAACATTAAAATGAGTAATTTTGTTTTCTTCCACTGTATAAAATTATGTACTATTTTCATTGATCTGAGAAAAAATATAGCTACTGGATAAATCAGCTTTCCAATCAAAAACCAAGCCACAATTGTTGATCTTGTGGAAACCGAATTAAAATAAAGTCAATGATGAATGAAGAATTGAATCTCGTGTAACCGGGCTCGCGTAAACAGCATCTTAGAGAATGTTCACATAAAGGAATACTCAGATTGTGATTCACATCGTGATTACATGCACGTGAACAAAGTGTTTTTGTTCCTTTCAAGAGATTTTCGGTGAATCAAAACAGCAAGAAAGCGGTTTTGTCCTTGCATCAGGATCTCGTGACAAAACAATCCGTTTGTGGGACGTGTCACTCGGCCAGTTTATTGCTCTTGTTCATGTTCCTAACAAGTCATCGAAAGGAAAGGCATCTCGTGATGATTATCATATGAAATCTCGCTTGTGGAATACGCTTTGCTGGCCTCGCAGTGATCCAAGTTGTTTGCTATCCAGCGGCTTCAAGTAATACATAATTATTATAATTCTTACTGACATACCTAGCCTCGGTACCGTTCATGTCTCTCGTTTTTTCAAAACGAGCATGCATTTTTGATTGTTTATTTCGAGTAGGCTAAATTTTCCACTTCAGTCCGCAAAACGTTTCTGGAATTGCCAATTGATTATACATGTTTTCGAATTAATTATACATGTTTTCGAATTAATTATACATGTTTTGCCATTTCAAAATTGTTCTGTATTTACGGTTATGTGACATTTTTAGCGGGGATATTCTGACGTGGAATCTGTCGAAAACCTCAAAACAAAAATGGCAATTGTTCAATGAAGGCAAACATAGCCGTATTGTATTCAGCATTTGTCATTGTGTTACAAATGATGTCATTGTCAGCGTTTCGATGGATAGACAGGTGAGCGAAATCCTGGTGAAATGAACATATAATGCTGATTATGTACAGTTTTGACGATGTACAAAATATAATACTTGCTGTTATCATATTTTGCTCGAAGGAATGTAATTCGTCCCAAGACTTGCAGTTGAGAAAAAAATCACCCAACCCAATAACTTACCACGTGTTAACTGCATGACTTCACCTAATCGATTACCTTATCGTAGTCAACTAAACATTGATTCGAATGTGATAATAAAAAAAGAAATACATTATAGCTACTGTATCGACTCAATTGGGTCATTTCGTATTACACATACCCTAAGTTCTGGCGAGCTCAGGAAATTACTTGCTTAGTTTGAAAAGGCGAGGATTTGCTGCATGCAAGCGGAATATCCTGAATACTGTAGTTGCTTCGAAAGTGTGCAAGTTCGTAGGTGTGTTGGCATGTATGTACGTATGAAAGTATTAATTATTAATTATTCTACAAAGATACACATTTGGAACAGAAAAGACGCGACAGTAATTACCAGTCTCCCGTCGTGTGGAGGTTTTGTGTACAGTTTAGACGTGTCACTATTGGATCCATCGCGTTTCGCCGTTGGAGTCGGCGATAACATGATCCGTATTTGGGAGACAAGTCGACCTTCTTATAGCATTACTAATATTTGGCGTGGAATTGGAACCAAAGTCATGAAGGTACCACGAATAGCATGTACAATATAATGTAAACGCTCTAGTGCACTACAGTGCAGTTTCGCGACACGGACAACGGTCTAGTATATTGGATGTGAATGTGTGTAGTGTGGGAATTTGAAAATTATCGTCTTCAAAACGATGAATAGGAACGATTGTATGAAGCATAGAAACCATCGACTCGTGGACGACAGAGCGCTGAAATTAGTTCTTCCACCCCCAGAGCATATAATTAGTCTCGAAATATTACCGCAAAAGACAACGTATTTTAGATGGTGAACGCCATTTTCCGACGATTTGGCGTGGAGAGTCCAAATCATAATGTTTTAGACTATGATAGAACCTCGTGGTCTTGGTTGCCCTGGTACATCGATGTGTGCAGTATTGAAAATTCCTTAGAATACTATAGGCCTCGGAGAAGTAGTGAGTCAATCTTTTTTTCTGACCATTTGAATCAATTGCTGTCAGGTTCTTTGGCATCCAGTAAAGGAAGGTTTATTGGCATTTGGTACGGAGGAGGGAAAAGTTGGAATACATAACGTTCTCTCGCAAACGTAAGTATGCTGTATTTTTTCTACTTGTAGAAATCAGGGCGGTATTCACATGTTTTTTTGAATGTATTGTTTTGTGTTTTAAGGTGTAACGTTTCAAGAACGTTCCATAAGAAGTCGGTCTATTCCTTATCGTGGGGACCTCCGTCCGGCACCTCAGGTATTTTGTCGGGCTTAAATTTGATTATCATAATCAGTTTACATGTTGGTAATCACGGTGCACTATTGTCACACCAGCCTGTTCGATAATTAAACAATGCGTTTTTAGGACGAAATATGCAGCAACTATTCTACCGTGCTCATGTTTTACCAACTATTAATCCACTCATATCAAGTTCAAGCACATTGAGATGTATTACTTTTTAAAACGTTCGGATCCGATCGGGAGGGGCGTTTTTACCTCAAAAACAGGATATACCGTATAAAGATTATTTTCATGTTTTAGATGGCGAAGATGATAAAATTTGGCATTTGTACAGCTGTGGTGGAGAAGGGACAATTTATGAACATAAACCTGATCATCTTCATGATGAAGCTAAGAATGTTGATAAACTTATCAAAACAACAAATAAAATCCAGGTATATATATGTACTTCCTTATATAGAAATATTCTAATATTTTAAACTAACACAATTTCAATTCAAAAAATATCAAAGTACAGTAGATTTCAAAAGTTGTGATAAACGTTTTTGTTTCGTTTTTTTTTAAACTAAATGCATGCACCTATACGTCAAGTTTGGCTTAACTGCCTAAAATAGACAAAATATGATGCTCCTCTCTGCTGAACTCTCCTGACGAAGACCCTTAGGTCGAAAATTCGAAAAGTGTTTTTGTCTATTTTAGGCAGTTATTACTGTATATCACATTTGATGCGAAATATTTAAGTTCGCTCCTACGCTGCTCCCACAACATACTGTGCTACACTTGGTTCAGTACAACTCACATAAGTCATCGGATATAGATATCGTAAGCCGTAGGCAAATTTTGGAAATAAAACCTTTACTCTTCTTTATTGCCTAAAAGAACTCACATTCAGTGCATTCGTGAGTATAACAAAAAAATCCGGAGTATAACGAAAAAGAAAAAGTAGTAGGTTGATTGCATTGAGTAATCAATTCTCGCCCATTCCATAGCTAAACTTGCCCATGAATTGTTGTAAATCATGCAATGTTTTGGAAAAAGTAAAAATGCGGAACAGAAAAACAGGTGCGTTTTTGTATTTTCATAATTTAGCATAATCTTGAAGCACATTCCGAAGTGTCTTGCAAACACGACAGAAGCCTGATGGTAGTCGGTAACGATGACGGGTATGTTATATTCTCATTTATTAAGAGATCTTATTTCCCCTGCACCCTTCCCTTTTTCACAAATAACTGCCATGTTTACCAACAACATTCTGAACATCATTCACGCGAGTACAGATTTCAATGTAAAATGCATTTCACCATTATTCGTATCACAGTGAACGGCATTTAAATAGGGATAGACTTCACCGCCTAGTTTTGCTTTGTATATTTCTTATTCCGCCGCTGTGTATATATTTCTTATTCCACCCCTGTGTATATATTTCTTATTCTACCGCTGTGTATATATTTTTTTATTCCACCGCTGTGTGACTTCCAATTACGTGAATCCAAAAACTTAGTTTCCAGAGTGTCATTTATGAACCTAATATTCTTCTATATAGATCCATAAAGTTTTATCGTTTTCCGGACTTGAAGTTGTTATCAACGGTCAACATTCATAACAAGAGCATAACCTGCTTGGCATGGTGTCAAACTCGTTATCACGACGGTAGAGTCGTAATTTTTGCATTATTGCATGGTTTATAATAATTGCCTTCTTTGCTGGATTACTGGGGATGCAAGGGAGCTGCATCTACCGCTTATTATCTCCACTCTTGAAAGTATAAGTGTGATTATTTTTCGTGGAAATATTGTAGCTACTATACCGTATATACGTATATTTTGAGAGAAAGCTTCGGGGATTTTGTGCTGATTTTAAACAGTAATCTCCGTGGACAGTTATTCGAAGATTTGTACAACCATCTGAAAACTTGGAATCACCCATTATTTTTTGACCATTCATTTCCCTATTAAAGTATTTAATTTTATGTTGCCATGTGTTAAAAAAAGCAAGGGAAGTTTGTGAAAAGAACTACTGTCAGCAAATGGCGTGTAAATATTTTTTTCATAGCAATTTATTTTATCTATTAGACCCCAGCGCGGTGTTCCTTGCTTCCGGATCAAATGGTTTTGAAGTCCATATTCATGATTTGAAACGTATTACTGATGGTAAGTTTACGGAAAAGGGTGTAGAAGCTTCGTGTTTAGGGCTGGCGAAAGCAAACGATATTTAATATGTACGATCCTTGAAAGCGTAAATTGAAAGCGTAAATTGCCTGGGATTTAGTGTCCTCCTAACGTATCACGAACGGGTGGACGAAAATTGAAATTAAATTTTTATGATTAGGCTTTTGGAATTCCTTCGTTCATTCGGAATTTTTATCAGTAGTTTGAGTCCAACCAAGCACAGGTAAATTAAATGAAGACGTAACTAGTCTTGTTTTCGAGTTAGGTGCTATACAGGGAACCCAAAGGTAACAAGGCATCGATTCATGTCTCATCATTACTGGGCGGAATTTCGTAGAAATGGCAGAAAATATCTTTGTGAACTCTCACACACAATTGAAAAGAAAATCAAGCGAAAATTTTCATTTGGTCGAAAAATTCTCCCTAGTGGAAAATTCTTTTAACGCTGGATCCACAACTCCTAAGAACTGCTTCATTTATTGTGCAGCGTACATCCGATTTCTGGAGCAGTAATGGAACGGAACAGAACACTGTCGCATGAATGTTTGGAACTGTTCTGATAACTCCTACTTTTAAGTAGGGGCAGCTAGAACAGAACCTGTGAGACGTCCAATTTTCACGTGTTTGGAAATTGGAAGTGCTGATAACACTGATAATGTGCTTAACCGCGATGATGCGTTGGCCTTATTTCAAGACTTTATATCATCATTCGTAGACATTTATCTATCTATCTTTCGGGTATGTTCTGGTCATCTGAGGTTGGCCGCATATATAATAGACTGGACACAGTTCCAGAACAGTTTGTGCATGTCCGTAACACTTCTGGCGCAGTAAAATGCTGAACAATCCAGAAACGTAAATGGAGCGGCCCTCTAGAACGCATGCTTGATTATGCGAAGGACTAATTTATGTGTATTACCATATACGTATATAGAACTTGGTGATGAACCGAAAGTTATTACATGCAGCTACCGCTGTTTGATGGGACACTGTGGTCGTGTGACTGATGTGGTATGGAGTCCGCATTCGTCTTTAAAACTCGCTTCCTCTTCGTACGATGGAACAGTACAGGTAAATTATTTTTGAAATGTTATGATGATTAATATTTTGTTTCAAAGTCAGTTAACGTTTGACTGTAGTTTGTGCCAGAATTTACTTCTTGTAACTTAACTGCAATTCAGTGGCGTATGGGAAACGATAATTGGGGGGGGGGCACATATTCATGTATTCATGTTAACAGACCTGTAAAGACAATGGATTTGAAAATAAATTAATCTTGCGCAACATGAATATATGAATATGTGCCCCCCAATTATCGTGTCCCGTACACCACTGCTGCAATTTAACTATTTATAAAAATGTAGTGATGGTTTTTATACAACCATCCCTAACTATATAGTTCTATGTATCCGTTCACATGATCGAAATTTTTGATCCAGTTGATTCCTCATGTATCTATTACTATGTAAACAACTTCGTGCCGAGGCCAGCTTATTTATTTGGCACGCAGTCACGGAGGCCCTCGGCAGTACCGAGTACTTTCGATATACGAGGTTGATTACAAGCTGGTTTTTATTTTTAGGTATGGGACGTCGAGAGAGCAGAACCATTATCTAATTACAGAGGCCACAACGGACGCGTCATGACAGTAGCTTGGAGTTTAATGGATCCAGATATATTGTTCAGTGGTGGTGAAGATTTCACGGTTCGTTCTTGGAAAATATCACAGCAAGTCTTCAAAGAACCGCCAGAAGTTCAAGGTATGGATTAATACAAGGCTAAAAGCCCGTAAAGCCCGTGAAATCACATAAGTTCTTTGTATCTTTGTAGTACATTCAGGGGGTCACGTCCTCCTTCACGTCATTATGCAACTAAAAAACCTTGACGATCTGCGATCTTTATGTGTATTTTTGTCATGCTATACGAAATTTGGAACTTTTCACGTGGAATCATACTTTGAAAATGTATATTCGCTCTGTGATATTTTTCTGACAATCTGTGTGTAGCAAAGAAACATTCCAAATCAAAGAACAAGAAGAAAAAGAATAAGACTGACAGTCAAAAGGCAAATCCTGTTGTGTCAACGGCATATTCACTAGAGGAGAAGCAATCTCTGGGGGAAGACAAGATAGAACTTGATGAAAAGGAGCCCGTTAAAAGCGAAGTGGATGAGTTCGATGCCCAACATGCAGTAAAACCTGAGTGCGACATTAATCTTCTCGAAGGAAGAAGTTTGCAGCTTGAAAATTTAGCACCAGAAGAAAATGAAGGTAATAAAGGCGATGTTGGAGAAGAAAAACCGTTTGGTACGAAGGGTAAGTTTATAAAATTCTTGCAAGCACTGCGTATACCAGGACAGGGAAAAGCTGCAGTAACAGCTCTCACGAACACGGGGGAGAGCATGGTTTACATAATGTACTGTATCACATCTTTGTTTTATATATAGGCTAAAAAGCTTTATATACTTTAAAAAATATGATTAATTAAGTTAATTCACAATTTAACACAATCTTAAAGGAGCATCTGCTGACACAAAGAAAAAGAAGAAAAGAGGAAAGTCCATGTTTCCCTTATCTGCCTCTGCTGACAATAAACCCAGAAGTGTTACCTGTCAGGAATGTGTCGATATCGCGGAATTCTTAGCAAACGCGAAAGGTTAGTAACCAGGTGTGGTTGGTGCGTTCCATTTTTCTGCATGGTTGATCTACTGCAGATTTGCAAAGTAGTTCATAGTATACCAGATAAGGTCGTATAACAACTGTCTAAAATATTAAATCATTTGATGATTATTAGTTAGTAGTTTAGAATTTAATAATGTATTCCAGTGAGCAGTTCACTGGAGCATGATATTGTAAATCATAAACTCGACCTTCTCTCTTATTAAAATGACAACTTAGAAGGTTTGTTTTCAGTTAAGAAGCTCACTCAATTTACTTTTAACCTCTCAATAATCAGAAAGCGAGTATATTTAGTCACAATATCTTTTTTGAATATAGGTCACTCTGACACTATGCACATCTCTCGTGAAAATGTTAATCTCGGATTTTTTGCTGGCCGAAAATCTGCATTTGATATGCTTTCCGAAGAAGGTGAGACTTGTTAGAACCTGACAAGGAGAGTTGAGGGGCAGGGGTGTTGAAATTGATATTGAATGTAATATTTACACCCCACTCCAGGTATTCAACATGCAGAAAGTGGACACGTAGATTACCAGCTGCAACTGGAAGTCTGGAAAGGAAATATTGGGAAAGCGCTTGAGCTTGCAGTTGAGAAAAGGCAGCTTTCTGATTGGCTAGTTGCAATCAGCCATTTAGGTAAGCACCTGCATCAAACATGCTGACAAAATGATACACATGACAGTTAACTGGAATAACATACTGGAATCAATTTACCTTCCTACATCCTTCAAGCGACTGAGCTCCAGTCCTTATATATAGTTTCCTTAATTCACCTAATAGTTCTATTAATCTGTTAATGTATTGTATTAGTTATTACTAGATACTTTTAAACACACGGTCCATTGAAAATCACGTAAGTGAAAAGCTACCGTGTCTATATACTTTTAAATAATAATAATGATAATAATAATTTACTTCGTTTACACGATTTCCAGCAGCATTGCATTCAGGGGAAATTTTCAACGATGTTTCCCGATAAACATTGTTCTTTAACTGAACTCAACAGGGCTGTTGAAAGTGTTGCTTAAGGCTTGTTATAGAATATAATTATGTGTCTTTCTAGCTGGCGAACAGGCTCGTTTGGCTGTTACGGAAGCATTTGCTGAGCAACTTGTGAGTCAAGGCAACTTCCATAGAGCTGCTTTGTACTATCTTTCGTGTCACAAAGTATACGAGGCTATCTACATGTTTAAAACAGCAGGGATGTACAGGTATGAAAAAGACGACATTTAAAAGCTTTAGATATCAAATATGTTTAGCCTAATAGCGAAGGATATTTTTGGAGCCCTAACGAACAGAAACCAAATTCTATATGTTGAAAAGCAGTTTATATGCAATATTGTTGTGAACTAATATGCATTCGTCTTATACATTCAGCGGAAATCTTCCCGGCTCTATATATGTACACTACTTATTAGCACTAGTCCAACCACCTAAATGCCATTAGAAATTGCTGCTTTGCCAGTTGAAAGCTCGCGTAGAGTTAGACCCTGAGCACATCCTCAGCTCATATATATGGCGAAATTCAGAAGTGAATTTGTTTTCACAGGGAAGCTATTGCTTTAGCGAAAGTACGGCTTTTACCATCAGATCCATTATTACTTGATCTTTATTCATCTTGGGGTAGAAAGCTGGAGAGTGAGCACACATTAGAACAAGCTTCAAAATGGTAAGAGTATAAAAATTGACTCGATTAGAATCATTGCATTCATTTCACTTGCAAGTTAGTTTTTTATAGCTAAGTTGTTTCTATAAGTTGTTTTTTGTAAGTTACTTGTTTTTTGGTCATATTGTACTTTTTAGCTTTTACCTTTAGAGAAGTCAAAGCGTCGTAACGAACTTACGCAATTGTATCGAAAATTGGCTTAAAATCGACTATATTCCTTTAGTTATTTAGCATGTGATCTGCATGATGACGCCATTCGTGTTCTAACGAGACGTGGTGATGAAGTTGCTTTACATAGCGCTGCACAGGTACTTATAATACCACGTTTTTAGTTGAAATTCATACGTTTATTGGTAAACTAAACCATGGGCTCCATAATCCAAGCAAGTGTCCTTCAAGATGACAACCACGAGTGAGGGGGGGGGATGGGATATATTATAGGCATTCTTTTCAAACGTTTTTTGTTCTCTCTTTTGCATACGATTACTATCCCCTTATTGAGGACAATCGTACGTATTATGCAAATAAGTTGCGAAAGCCCTTAACAAAACATAATTAATGCTATAGTACATGTAAAAATGTCATCGGCTTCACGTTATTATAGCTCTAATGTAGAGAGAATTTGTAAATTTTGTATCAGAGTTCAATTTTGTACTGATTATAATTCATTTTTATTCTTGAAATTTGTGTGTTTTCACCCCCTTTTTTCCATTAAAAACATCGTAAAAGTGTGAAACACGGGAGACTACGTCATTTAAAGCCCCTGTTTCCAATTTTTAGATTGCTAAAATGACCAAGAAGTTAGACCTATCTCAATCGTTAATACTCCAGTGTGCATTAATGGCTACGAAAAAGGCGAAATGGAATGCTGCGTTGGGGATGGTTCATGATTATCCTGATATGCAGGTTCAAATTATTTTCAACTCGATCGATATATGCTTCTCAATAATAATATTTAAATGAGTAGGCGCTCGTAAAATCCAGATTCCAGAATCAACGGGAGTAACAATGGGATATCTTCAGGAGCGAGGAAGAATAAAAAATACTACTTTCCTCGAGGTCTATATAGGTTCCCATGTACCGAAACGGTCACCTAATCTGTCCTTGCTTGTGATTCTACTCGCGAGAATCTATAGTAATATCGGTATATATCGTATAGCATTTTTCAACTTGTGTGATGCACTTCCACTCAGGGCGGTCCATGCATCATTGCTTCTTTTTTTAGCCATTCCTTATGCTGATGTTCGTACATAAGACAATTCTAACCAGTTTGATGAAATCTGGAGTTTTTACTATCGAGGCTTTTCCAGAAATTCAAGACACACCATGCTGTGATCACGATGAGTCATTAAATCTCCCGGAATCGGTATTGAAATTTAAAGGTATAATATAATTGTTAAATTACTTGCATTTTGCTACTTTAGGAATACATGGGTTTTTTTATTTTGTCTCTGCAGCCCGAGTGGAAAGAAGATCGGTGGATTTCACGTCGCATTGGAAATCCACAACATCCAGTGATCCATTTTCTGTGGGTACAATTCTGGAGTGTTGGTGGTCAGATTGCGGTCTTCAGTTACACGAAACACGGCTACCTGGCTTCTATGTGCAGATTTCAACACTTGGAAGCAATCAGAATTACTCAGATAAAGAAGATATTGGAAATGTAGGTTACATAAATATATAATAATGGTAATATAGTAATGGCAGGGTAATTCATAGGCACATACGTACATAACTTCTATCTTACAATCAAGCCAGTTCAAGAAAGGTGCACCATAAGTAAAGATGTTACCCTTTAACCGTGAGAATTCTTGTATACCGTATATGTAGTGCAGTTTTACATTTGTGTTAGGGAGACGGTAACGGTGGCAATATTAATATTTACGATACTGGTATACAGATTTGCCTTACGTTAAGTCTCTTTTTAGGTGTTGATGATCATCTCAAAAAACATTTGCCTTGGCTTGGTTGCTGCGTTTCTCTCCAAACCTGATGTTTGTATGCAACATTTTCTTAATGTTATCACTCACTGTCACCACTCTAGGCAGCCAAGGCTTCTTTGTCATCTTGTTACGCTCCTGTTCCCTTTTGCACTTGAGTCGTGGCACATGATAAAATGTTTGTCGGGTGCAGCCGCGGAGAATAGATCACGTGTGATCGATCAGTCGTTTTTCAATGTGATGGCTTTCTACTATCGAGCCATGTTGGCTGACATTTTGAATTGTCACGAGTCGCAACAAAACTGCTTTAGCAAAGATTCAGTTGAAGAACCATCGGCAAATCAAACAATGGAACCTAAAACCGGGCTCGTTGATACAAACGGTGTTTATTCCGGTAAGAAGCAGAATCCCGAAAATGTTGGGCAGTCGAGTGAATGTTTTCTTGCGAGTTCTGGTGTTGGTACTATGCCTAAAGTGGATTTTGGTTCAAGTAAAATTGAGGATCCCGAAAAAGAAACAATCGACTTGAAAACTCCTGAAAATGTTGTGATAAAGAACATGTTCAAGGAGATTTATCAAATTGCCTCGGCTTGTTCTACGGTTCTTTTGTCAGACATTTACTCTCAATTCCAAAAAAATAACGAACATTTTGAAACAAACCTCTTTGGAGAAGGTGAACACCTTGAACACGGTAGAGAAAAAACTGGAGTCGTAAATTTTTTATCGGTAAGCAAGAGCTTTGTTCTTTAATGTATTTATTTCTAGTTTTGTTAAATGTACTTTACAATTGATATATTATTCATTATAAAATTTGGAACGTCTTCGATCAACTCCTCAGTCAAAAACTACCAAATGTTGTGGTAACCGCCTAAAATTTACCAACCTTTTGATGCTCCGACCTACAAGCCTCTGTCAAAACGGATGGTATAAAGAAAATTATGGAAAACAAATTAGAATACGCCTGCTCCTGACCAAAAATTTTCAGTCACGTGGTACATTTGAACACATCACGTGTTTTTCATGCTGCATAACGGGACCCTTTCAAAATGTGAGAGGTGTTCTTTGGCTAAGATTAAAAATTAGCCAGCATGCAAGTTGTCTATTCGTTTAAGAAAGATAGAAACATGACACGTCAAGTAACCGTAGGGGCTTTGCATACTAATACTGGCAAACATCGAGACGAGTAAGTTCCATTGTCCATCCGGCTTTTCTTTTAATTCTGTAATTTCTATTGTAGAAATTGCCATTTCCAAATGTAATTGAAAGCGCTGGTATGTTGGTGCATTTATTGAATTGTATCATTGTGTCGAAAGACGCGCCTAAAGACGACAAAGAAATGGCATTAGAACTTTCTGGGCAAGTCACCCAATGGGCCGCCGCTAGGAGATGTTATATAGAGCAAGGAGAGCTCTCATAAATTTCTGTAGCGGCATTGCTATTAAAGTTTTTTGGCGACGTTCGTCTGTTTGCATGCGTGAATTATGATAGTTTTCCAGCGCGAAGAATTTCATTTGCGTCAAGGATGACGTCAGAAACAGGAATAAACGAGAACAATGTTAACGCATCACGAATCTTATTTGGAAAACGTGAAATGTTTCTAAAAAATTTTTGTTTTTCTGCCAAGCAGAGAAACGTCCGCGTTGAACAAAACACAACGAATCACATTCCTGCAGCATACTTCCTACTTTATCCAGAGCCATATATTTTGTTTAGTCATTAGAAATGGCTAGTGCTTTTGCTTTTATGAGGCTAAAGAAACGAATATAGCCTCTAACAATTTTATGGTGATTCCTTTTGTTTGTAAGTTGCACTCTTGTTTAATTGTTATTTATATGCTTTACCTCAACCGTCTACATGTTTTTAAAACATCCTTTAAAACATATCATTCATTTATTTTCTTCACTTTATTTTATTCCCTATTTTGTTTAGTAATTGCTTTTTATTTCAATACAATGCACTAAGTACTGTGACTACTATAAAACGCGTGGATTAATCAACATTAGCTCACTAAAGATTACTTTGTGATTGCTGTAGCACCTGATTTTCTAACCTGTCTTTCGTATAATCATTTTATATTCTCTTTTAAAAATTCTACACTATTAAATTAACTTTCTGATTGAATGCAATAACAAATCAGCATTTGGCAGTGCCAATTTATGCCCAACAAGTTCCCAAAGCTCGTTTATCCTTTCAAATATTTCATCTTCTTTTCCTTGCATTTTACCCTCTTGAGGCGATCAATTTTACCAACCATTTCACAATCAGCATAATGTTGTAATTGCATTTTCTATGGTAGCATCGTCAGGATACTTAATCAGTTCTGGGCTCTGGTTCGCATTTATTGATTTGATTGATGGGCTTGCCACTTATCGCATTTCATTGCTGCTGCTGCTAGGAAGAAGCTCTCTGCTTTCACTTCGTATTTCTACAGCAGCTTGACACAACTGAGATTGCATGATCTCCATCATGATCATAGTGCTTGGCAATATGTCTTGAGAATTGGCATGCACTTGTCCTTGGCCTTCCCCATTGGATATGAACTTTTCGGCTTTTGGATTTTATATCTATATATATTGCAAAACACCAATGAATATATAGAGCAGCAAGCGAGCGTTCTGAGCCCACTCCTTGACCGAAAAGTTTTAATCACATGGTACATTTTGAACGCATCACATGGTGTTTTCAATGCCGACGAGGGGCGCTAAGGATCCACTAATTTCCGTAATGTTATTTTCGAGCCAAAGCCGCTGTGTCCATCGATCTGCGACTTGTATCTTGCGATCTGTACATCGATTAATCGATCATAATTATCGACAATTAAAAGTCAGGTTTTCTTGGTCCAGGCGTCGTTGCACGTTCTGCTGTTTACTCGGTAATCTGTAAAGAAACCAGTGTTGTTAGGTCTGACACCTGCTTTTAAAACTTGAACGTGCGCTGATGCTGTTTAATTACCTAATTTATTTCAGCAAGAATCCTTTGCGGAGTCCCATATAGCCTGTTTTAGATTTTTTCGATGTTTTTTTGCCGTTCGCCCTTGATCCAGATTGCTTCGAACTGGTGTTGCTGGCTCCAGCTTCGTTGCCGTTGACTTTCTTTCCAGCAGAAATTTGGACTAGTGACTCGTTCACATTCTCTGCCTGGGGCGAATTTGACTCAGTGTTTGTTGAACACTCTGCGTCATCAGTGTTCTTTTAGGAGAAGAATGTTCTGTTATTTCATGTTTAACAGAGAAATAAATTTGTTTTGACAATTGATTAGGCGAATGCTTACCTCTTTCGATTTAAAGTAATTCTTGTATAAGTAATACCCTAAAAATGCTGAATGTTCTTAAGGTGACCCATAATAACAAAGATTTTTTCAACTTTAGTAATCGCTTTTCTATCCACAAATAGTTTGTAACTTTCCTCTAGCGCGAGAAATGAAAGTTAATTAGGCATCTTATCATGACGTCATGTAATCAAGTGAATTAAAATTCTCGTGAATTTTCGTGAGGTAAATTATGGCAAGCCAAATTGAAGAAAGGGATATCGAGAAGTGTAAGCGTTAGACGAGAACTACATAAATGTACTGAGAAATGTATACCATAGTCCATGCAGCAAATTGTAAGCGACAGTCGAGAATTGTTAAAACCTCGTTTTATCGTGTTCTCTCTTTCTAAGAGGCGGGCGAGCCAAAGTTCCGGTTACAGCCAAGGGTCAATGAGTTCGATCAAGTACAAAGTACCAAGATACGGTACCAAGAATAATTCAAAAATACTTAGGAGGTACATTATATTTAATATTTATTCATTCTTTAATACTTTGTATACTACAACGTAACATTTCGTCGAATCAAAGCTTGTGTCCTCTTTATATTGCTTATATCCAACTACGTAATCCGCCAGATATTTTTTCACTTGCTGCCACTTCCCTTCGTTGATAAATTGTTGGAATTTTGCTGTATAGCCAAACTCGTCGTCGTCCATGGCATCCATACGTATGGTGAAGATAATAAACCCGCCTAAATCAAATCATTAAAATTATTGTAATCGCTTGTACGAAAAAGAGAAAGAAACGCGCTTGTAATTCCTTGTGTACTCGGCAGTCGAAAGGCGATGATACATGCATGCAACAGGGTCAGCATGGCTCCCAACCAATCAAATTTCACTCATTTCGTTCAGCTTTTCTTTTATCAAATAACCTGTTCGTGATGGAGAAACGACTTTACAAGCGAAATGTTGCATAAGTTTCTTTGTCATGTCGAGTATCTACAATCCATTTGAAAACAATTATATTCTACTTCAACAAAGTTGAAGTAGCTAGGAGAGCGGCTTACAATGCCTTCCTTGCGTATCGAAGTCCTGGGGAAATGACGGAGTGACACACAAGTCCACAGTCATGTCAATTACTTGAAATAGTCGAGTAACTCTGGCGACTCTACCTATAAGTCCTGTTAACTTCCGAAAGAAATGATCCTGAAAAGTCGTGCAAAATTCCCATCTCTCCTTTCTAGTGGATTCAGAAGTGATAACTGAGGTAGACCAAAATCCAATAAAGTTTGCCATGTAAACTAACCTGGCTTTGTTAAACGCAGAATTTCGTCAAATGCACTCGCCTTAATATAACCAGAGGTCACAGCTCCAACACTTAAAGCAACATCATAGGCTCCTGTAGGTATGTCCAGTCGTTTCTCTGTCACAGCTTCACAGATATATTTACGATAAGCGTCTTTCTCTTTAGCTTTCTTCAGCATTTCTTCGCACAAATCTAGGCCATCGATATTGGTGAAACCATGTTTCTTCAGCTCGACGGCAGCATAACCAGTACCAGCTCCCAGGTCAATAATTCGTATGTTTTTATCACTACTGCCAAGTACCTCCATGAACGTATCAACGATGCTAAGTAACGCGGGGTACGTTGACGTAGGGTCAATATCCTAGTGAAGAGATTACAGTAGTTGAATGAATAAAAAATCTGTGAAATGTATCAAGCAAATAGATGGACGCGATAGTTTGATGTTTATAGATTTCAATAGATTCTCTCGTTTTACGAGAGACGGTATACTTATTCGCTAAAATGCTTGCATCTTTCCATTTAATGCGATGATCATAAGTCCAGGCATAGTGAGCTACAGCAGACTTATCCAGTTTACCTTTGTCGCAGTTCGTCTTATGTTCTTTTAGACGTATTGAAAGATTTCTACCGGTCTCTCCAATGTAAACCAAACCAGGTTTCTGAAGTTCATCCTTGTGCTTGCAATTAATTAATTATTATTTTTATTTTTAGAATTAATTTTTACTTTTTATTAGTGTCCCAAACAATTAAACTGAACATTCACTTTTGTTCAAGGGTAATCATCTAACCAACTTTCCCTGTGACACCAATGCCAGGTTGACTTTTACGGTTTTCTCATACAGCTGAATGTGGAACATCCTATATTCCTATAGCTGTATCCATAACTAAGTTGCCTTATATAAAATAATTTTTTGTCATTAACAAATAACAATCATGCGTATGATATGATGACAAATGATGAAACTGGTACAAATCAACTTTAAAGACTGCTTGCCATGTTTCTTCAACATGATCTGACAGTACCTCAGAGTCTTAGCTAGGGTCAGTACAGTGGGGGCTGGAGAGCCTGCTTCCCTCTGGAAAAAATTTGGGGCCTTCCCTGAAAAAATAAATTCTGAAAAGAAGTGAATGCAGAAGTGTATTAGTGATTTTGCTCAACCAAAGTGTCCACCAACAATGCTGCAGAATCCCACACAGAATGCTTTGCATGAGCTTTGTCCTGAGTCACTCTGTCAGCCTGCCCCCACCTATAGGTTTTGCTGCCTTGTCAGCAGTGGCGTAGCCAGCCTGACGATTTTGTCCCGCTATGTAAATTTCGAGTCATTATAATTATTCATGTCTTTAGAAATTTATTGTTTTCACAGTCAGTGAACATTAAAATATTAGCATAGCGGGACAAATCGACAGGCTGGCTACGCTACTGCTTGTCAGCATAATTCAGCAGTAACTGTGACATGCACCAAGTAAACCAGTGAAATCACCCATAACAATTTAACCCATTACAATTTAATAGTTAGAGTTTGAATGCCTGAGAACACTGTTGGCCATGTTGGGACCCACTTGTAAGTGTATAAATGTTTGACATGAACATTTATTATCATGCATGATACTCGTAAAGTTTTTTTGTACCCACAAATGATTTTTATTACCAATAATTACACTTAATACAGATATGGATAACGATATTTTAACTTACAGCTCAAGCACCACCTGACCACCTGACATGCATGACCTTCAACATCCTTCTCTAGCAAGTTTTAAATTTTTGTAGGTCTGTTTAGCATTTTACAAGTTGGGTTAATCCCCAGGGACATAAATTCGAAAACAAGTTATTTAAATTTCAATTTAAAACAATAGATTATTTCAATAGTTTTGGGGGACTTTGGCACACCTTGTACCTTAGAGCCTTACACCCTGTACGTTAGGGCGCTTTTTATTAATATTTTGCATGTTTCTTTTGAATTTCGAACACTTGATTTGAATTTCGAACACAATTAGTTCTGTTTGATTGGCATGATTGCTCACAATTCAAAAGAAGCAGGCGAAATATTTCGCATTTCACTTGAAAGCTTCGCCCGTGGAACGACTGGAATTTATATAGCCTTTTTTTATTATAGGGCTTTATATGTGGATTAACACGTGGGAGTATAGCATAGCCATAGATATAGATTTGCTACAAGTCGACTCTTTAGTCTTTAAACCCACACGCGCGAGCTTGAGCGACCGAGCGTAGCGAATGGGTTTGAAGAGTCGACTTGTAGCAAGTCTACCATGGATATTGAGTATTGTATTACTAGCAGTCAATCTCGTACTGAATTGTAGCGATGCGTCGATGTTGGGTTAATATATGCATTATCGTCCCATGAGATAAACGTCCTTACGCCAGTCGACTTTTAACTTTCAAGAATATAGGAGCCTGAGGTTATATTAATTTCAATCAAAATCTCAAAATAAAAATACGTGCAAACAAACCTCATCATATGTTGCAGCAAAATCGTCGTATACTTGTCTAACCTCAGCTGGTTTTGCATCCTTGGGCATTACAAACTTAGGCTCTCCCTTATCCGACATGTTACAGCTACCGGTGTCGCTAGCTTAGCTTGTGTGAGCTGCGAAATGATCTTACTCACTTCTGCTCTGTGTCTATCAAAATGCAACATTAATCAGTAATCACGTGCTTCTCCAGGGATGCGAGGGCGAAGGGGGGGGGGAGCAGATGTTCGTGAAAGGGCACACTTTTGTAACGCAGCATACTAGAGAAGGTTTGCAAAAAACGTGGCCGATGAGCTACAAATATGCTTCCAACCGTCCTTGAAACATAGTTGACCGAATTCGAGTTTTCACTCTCTTAAGTGCTTAGAATGAGCGCTCAGCAGTGGCAGAACTGATTGGGATTGGAAATTGATAATTACGTTTTAATGTTCACAAGCAAATTCCGAATTTCTATACATGCAATCGCAAAATGGCTATGTTCAAAATAAAGCAATGCATTTGTACAAAGACAAAGTTATATAACTTGTCCGCGTTCTCTATTGACGATGTGTATTAATTCCCTGAAATGTATTAATCCCCTGAAAACCCCTCGCCCCCTGGCCCCCTGCCAGCACGCCACCGAGTAAGTGGATCCCCATTGACTGAAAAATAACGCGTGCGAATTCCATGCATCAATTAACTGCAAAAAAAACAGGACAAAGGAAACGAATAAAAAATGTAATCAATAACTAGTAAAAGACAAAACTAGGAGTACTAGTATATAGGTAATACTTATTATATTATAATACTATTGTTTTCTATTCTGTAATGTTTATTTATATAAACCAAAATTAACCAATCATTGTAATTGGTAGTTTTGTAATTCTTTCTGATCGCAGGGAATTCCGAATTTGTCCCACCAAGGGGTCCCGCACTGAAAAAATGTCACAAGCCTGCGAAAGGTTGATCCTGTCCTGCTAGTTGACTAACATAAATAATTAAAGTGGAAGTCCTCATCGGTTCTGCTCATGGCAATGTGAGGGCCCTCTGGCTGTGATGTAAAAGTTACCTCTTTCGAAATTTTCAGGACATATATCCAATTTATTTTAGAAGGGTAGCCGAGAGAAAATAGATTATTGTATTAATCCAGTGAAATCATTGGGCTGCATGGATTAAGTTCACGGTTTAGGCCATAGAATAATTGCTATTTTATAGTTTCCTTCCCCTTCGTATAACCAAAGTATAACAAATAATCATTATTACTAATTTTAGCCTTAATAATATTTCATGATTTATTAACTGGCAGTCCCGGCGGGGCAGCATCTAACAAGGCTTGCATGTGCGCGTTGGTTATTTTGTGGGGTTGACCAAATCTCCTTTCCAAAATTTCAACTACATTTCACGTAATTTGGCTTTGTGAGTGGTAAACCTTCGATTGATTGCGCTGCTTCGCCTGACACTTGAGCTTTCAGATATGAAATTTTTTTAATGTCGCTTAGGCTGTAGTTTTCTTGTATAGCGACTTTGTAGGAGCGGTCCCAAAAGGTCTGCCATTTTAGCGCGTTCCCGTTCAAATACTGGTAGGGTTAACTTCGGCAATCTATGACCATTTGCTTGACCATTTGTATTTTGCGATTGTGGCGTTGATAAAGCTTGCTCGTTCCGTGGCGTTGCAGCAGTACACGGTTGAATAGCGAAATGATCTCTGTCTCTAAGCTCTTTTCGTCTTGGGTTTGGTCTGATATAGTCCGGGTAATGTATCCGTACCCGTAGACTGTGTTACGGGAACATTTTATAATTTAAGAAAATGTATGTAACGGGTAAGAGGTGATAAAGGTATAGGGGAAAGGTAGTAATTAACTAATTAAGCAAAATAGATACAACGTTTTAGCTATTATTTTGTCGTTTATACACGACGTAGCAGCTAAATACTTCCTTTTTTTTTCGAAACAGCAGCATTAATATAGTAATAATCTGTTTATTAAAACCTACTTGTACTGAATTTAGTACGCTTTTAATGTACTATAATTGTACACAGCCAACGAAAGGTTGTTAGATATACGATAGATATTCTCCATTTTCCTCTTAAAACTGTCAAAACTCTCCAACATTTACCCGTATATTGCCTTACGTGTAGACCATGGTTTACAGCGGAGAAACAGGTATAGATACGGGTAAAAATGCTGACATCTGCAAAAATTCCAAAACAAGATGGCGCTACCCGTACCTGCCCGTACCCAGTGACGTACCCCACTGAAATTAAGCTTTCTTTTGTGTCCGGAGTCCAGGCTGCTAAGCATCGATACGCGGATAAATCCAATATGCCTAAATTTGTAACTTTTCTCATCATGTAAAGTATTAAACAATTATTGCATGGATGAGGTTTTGTGATATGCAGAGTTATCAAGGTCTCGGTAAGCGTTATCAGCCGAGCCGAAAAGGTCTCGGTAAGCGTTACAATTTGTTTATATTATACTGTGGGAGGCTGGGAGTGTTGTTACTATGCCTAAAGTGGATTTTGGTTGAAGTAAAAATGAGGATCTCGAAAAAGAAACAATAAACTTGAAAACTCCAGAAAATGTTGTGATAAAGAACATGTTTAAGGAGATTTATCAAATTGCCTTGGCTTGTTCTGCAGTTCTTTTGTCAGGCATTTACTCTCAATTGCAAAAAAAATAACGAACATTTTGAAACAAACGTCTTTGGAGAAGGTGAACACTTTGAACACGGTAGAGAAGAAACTGGAGTCGTAAACTTGTTATCGGTAAGCAAGAGCCTTGTTCTTAAATGTATTTATTTCTAGTTTTGCTAAATATACTTTACAATTGATATGTTATTCATTACACAATTTGGAACGTCTTCGATCAACTCCTCAGTCAAAAACTACCAAATGTTGTGAGTAACTGCCAAAAATTTATCAACCTTTTTAAGATCCGACCTACGGGCGTCTGTCAAAACGGATGGTACGAAAAAAATTATGGAAAAGCAAAATAGAATACGCCTACTCCTGACCAAAAATTTTCAATCACGTGGTACATTTGAACACATCACATGTTTTTCATGCTGCATGACGGGGCCCTTTCAAAATGTGAAAGGTGTTCTTTGGCTAAGATTAAAAATTAGCTAGCATGCAAGTTGTCTATATATTCGTTTAAGAAAGATAGAAACATGACACGTCACGCAACCGTTGGGGCTTTGCATACTAATACTGGCAAACATCGAGACGAGTAAGTTCCATTGTCCATCCGGCTTTTCTTTTAATTCTATAATTTCTATTGTAGAAATTGCCATTTCCAAATGTAATTGAAAGCGCTGGTATGTTGGTGCATTTATTGAATTGTATCATTGCGTCGAAAGACGCGCCTGAAGAGGACAAAGAAATAGCATTAGAACTTTCTGGGCAAGTCACCAAACGGGCCGCCGCTAGGAGATATCATATAGAGCAAGGAGAGCTCTCATAAATTTCTGTAGCGGCATTACTATTAAAGTTTTTTGGCGACGTTCGTCTGTTTGCATGCGTGAATTATGATAGTTTTCCAGCGCGAAGAATTTCATTTGCGTCAAGGATGACGTGAGAAACAGGTATAAACGAGAACAATGTTTACGCATCATAAATTTTATTTGGAAAACGTGAAATGTTTCTAAAATTTTTTTGTTTTTCTGCCAAACACGTCCACGTTGAACAAAACACAACGATTCACATTCCTGCAGCATATTTCCTATATATATATATATATAAATATATATATATATATATATATATATATATATATATATATATATATATATATATATATATATATATATATACACCCATTTGCAAAAACGTTGGCCGCAGATAGATAGATAGATAGATACTCGAAATCTAATTAGAATTGCGTATGTTGTGTAATATGATTGAAATCCCATGCAAATGTAATCATATGCAATTCTAATTAGACTTCGAGTATCTATCTATCTATCTATCTGCGGCCAACGTTTTTGCATATGTATGGTGTATATATATATAATATATATTAGTCATTAGAAATGGCTTGGGCTTTTGTTTTCGATTCCTTTTGCATGTAAGTTGCACTCTTGTTTAATTGTTATTCATATGCTTTACCTCAACAGTCTACATGTTTTTAAAGCATCCTTTAAAACAACATATCACTTATTTATTTTCTTCACTTTACATATTTTTCCGTATTTTGTTTAGTACTGTGACTACTATAAAACGCGTGGATTAATCAACATTAGCTAGCTCATTAAAGATTACAGATACTCTGCGTTGCTGTTGCTCCTGATTTTCTAACCCTGTCTTTCTTTCGCATAATCCATTCTATATTCTCTTATAAAAATTCTACACCATTAAATCATCTTTCTGATTGAATGCAAAAACAAATCAGCATTTGGCAGTGCCAATTTATGCCCAACAAGTTCCCAAAGCTCGTTTATCCTTTCAAATATTTCATCTTCTTTTTCTTGCATTTTACACTCTTGAGGCGATCAATTTTACCAACCATTTCACAATCAGCATAATGTTTCAAGGTGTATAATTGCATTTTCTATGGTAGTATATCGTCAGGATATTTAATCAGTTCAGGGCCTTGGTTCGTATTTATTGATTTGATTGATGGGCTTGCCACTTGTCGCATTTCATTGCTGCTGCTAGGAAGAAGTTCTCTGCTTTCACTTCGTGCTTCTACAGCAGCTTGACACAACTGAGATTGCATGATCTCCATCATGATCATAGTGCTTGGCAATATGTCTTGAGAATTGTCATGCACTTGTCCTTGGCCTTCCCCATTGGATATGGACTTGTAGGCTTTTGGATTTTATATCTAGTACTGCAAAACACCAATGAATATATAGAGCAGCAAGCGAGCGTTCTGAGCCCACTTCTTGACCGAAAAGTTTCAACCACGTGGTACATTTTGAACGCATCACATGGTGTTTTCAATGCCGACGAGGGGCGCTAAGGATCCACTAATTTCCGTAATGTTATTTTCGAGCCAAAGCCGCTGTGTCCATCGATCTGCGACTTGTATCGTGCGATCTGTACATCGATTAATCGATCATAATTATCGACAAAGTCAGGTTTTCTTGGTCCAGGCGTCGTTGCAATTTCTGCTGTTTACTCTGTAATCTGTAAAGAAACCAGTGTTGTTAGGTCACCAGCCTTTTTACACTTGAACATGCGCTAATGCTATTTAATTACCTAATTTATTTGAGCAAGAATCCTTTGCGGAGTCCCATATAGCCTGTTTTAGATTTTTTCGATATTTTTTTGCCGTTCGCCCTTGATCCAGATTGCCTCGAACTGGTATTGCTGGCTCCAGCTTCGTTGCCGTTGACTTTCTTTCCAGCAGAAATTCGGACAAGTGACTCGTTCACATCCTCTGCCTGGGGCGAATTTGACTCAGTGTTTGTTGAACACTCTGCGTCATCAGTGTTCTTTTAGGAGAAGAATGTTCTGTTATTTCATGTTTAACAGAGAAATAATTTGCTTTGACAATTGATTAGGTGAATCCTTACCTCTTTCGATTTAAAGTAATTCTTGTATAAGTAATACCCCAAAAATGCTGAACCAACAAGCGCAATGGTTCCAACACAAATGTTCTTAAGGTGACCCATGATAACAAATATTTTTTCAACTTTAGTAATCGCTTTTCTATCCACAAATAGTTTGTAACTTTCCTCTTTAACGCGAGAAATGAAAGTTAATTAGGGGTCTTATTATGACGTAATGTAATCAAGTCAATTAGAATTTTCGTGAGGAAAATTATGGCAAGCCAAACTGAAAAAAGGAATACCGAGAAGTGTACGCGCGCGTTAGACGGTCGAGAATTGTTATTGACTGCGCTAGCCCAGAATCTATAGTCTTCAAATGCGTCAATTTACCATTCCCATTCAGTACATTTTATTTATTCATTCTTCAATACTTTGTATATTGCTACGTAGCATTGGTTCAAATCTAAATGGTCATATCTCACGTAATCCGTGAGATATTTTTTTACTTCCTGCCACTTCCCTTCCTTAATAAACTGCTGAAATTTCGCCGAAAACCCATATTTATCGTCGTCCATAGGGCCCTTTCGTATAGTGAAGATAATGAACCCTCCTAAAATTATATTAATACAAATGAATAGTGAACATTGTAAAGGCCGGTTCACACAGTCACTAGCAAAGTTTTTGTGCGCACAGTATGCTTTAAACAAAGTGTGTGAAATGTAAACACCTTTCAAAGCCTTTGAGCGAAGACTTTGAAGGGCTTTGAACAATCTCGTACCCAGGCGCTTTAATGGTAAAATATATAACGTTGCATTTAGTTTTGTATAGAGGTCAGTTGAAAAAAGGCGAGCACGCGGGGGTGCTTGGGGTGGTTTTGACAAAGTTAGCCACCCCAAACACCCCCATGCGCCCGTCTTTTCAGCTGATCTCTATACAATAACTGAATGCAACATGATACATTTTACTGTGCTTTGACCTGTGACAATGTAAACGTCAACACTTCTGTTCAAACACATGACATCACCGCGCACAGAAACTTTGCTAGTGTAACTGGAAACAGGCCCCCATATAGAGACAGACCGCCATACACACTCCCGCATTAAAAAAATCTAGGAACAATCTGCTCACCCCATAGCAATTTATAAGTGATACACGTTTAGCTGAAAAGTACTGTCCGCGGTGATAATTGCTATGTAAACTAACCTGGCTTTGTCAAACGCAGAATTTCATCAAAGGCACTCGCTTTAATATAACCAGAGGTCACAGCTCCAACACTTAAAGCAACATCATACGCTCCTGTAGGTATGTCCAGTCGTTTCTCTGTCACAGCTTCACAGATATATTTACGATAAGCGTCTTTTTCTTTAGCTTTCTTCAGCATTTCTTCACACAAATCTAGGCCATCGATATTGGCGAAGCCATGTTTCTTCAGCTCGACGGCAGCAAGACCAGTACCAGCTCCCAGGTCAATAATTCGTATGTTTTTATCACTGTTGCCAAGGACCTCCATGAACGTATCAACGACGCTAAGTAACGCGGGGTACGTTGACTCAGGAAGAATTTCCTGGTGAACAAAATTTGCTATCATGTTTCAGTATATGTAAGCGTAATTCAACGGTACCTGTGACATAACCAAAAGTAAACTAAACTGATGAACGCTAAATTTTTGTGGCAATGATTGTAATCATAAAATAAGCATGTACGAATCGAGTCACTCGTATTATGTACTCCGGCGTCAGCGACGGACGTTGCCTGGGTTTTGTTTGTTTTTGGTTTTATTTTTTTTATTATCTTTTTTTATTATTTTTCGTCGTCGCAAGCTTGTTTTGGCGCGAAATGCAGGGCCGCCGAGAGAAATTGTGGGGCCCGGGGTATAATTTTTTCTGGGGCCCTATGACGTCAGGTTTGAACACGTCATGGCCGTATTCGACCATGGTCGAGTCTACCCGAAAACGGCGCATTCGACCATGGTCGAGTGTACCGGAAAAGGGCGTACTCAACCATGGTCGAGTGTACCGGAAAACGGCGTATTCGACCATGGTCGAGTCTACCCGAAAACGGCGCATTCGACCATGGTCGAGTGTACCGGAAAAGGGCGTACTCAACCATGGTCGAGTGTACCGGAAAACGGCGTATTCGACCATGGTCGAGTCAACCCGAAAACAGCGTATTCGATCATGGTCGAGTCTACCCTAAAACGGCGTATTCGACCATGGTCGAGTGTACCGGAAAAGGGCGTACTCAACCATGGTCGAGTGTACCGGAAAACGGCGCATTCGACCATGGTCGAGTGTACCGGAAAAGGGCGTATTCAACCATGGTCGAGTGTACCGGAAAACGGCGTATTCGACCATGGTCGAGTCAACCCGAAAACAGCGTATTCGATCATGGTCGAGTCTACCCTAAAACGGCGTATTCGACCATGGTCGAGTGTACCGGAAAAGGGCGTATTCGACCATGGTCGAGTGTACCGGAAAAGGGCGTATTCGACTATATATGGTCGAGTCCGCCGGAAAATGGTGTATTCGACCATGGTCGAGTCTACCCGAAAACGGCGTATCGGCGACCATGGTCGAGTGTACCGGAAAACGGCGTATCTAACCATGGTCGAGTGTACCGGAAAACGGCGTATTCGACCATGGTCGAGTCAACCCGAAAACGGCGTATTCGATCATGGTTGAGGGTACCCGAAAACGGCGTCTTCGACCATGGTCGAGTCCGCCGGAAAACGGCGTAAAATTTTTTTTTGGGACCCTGTGACGTCATGGTTTTAAATATCTGCGATGCATAAAGTACTTTAAAGCGTTGAAAAGTTTTACACACAAACTTTTTTACAAACGATATCAATGTATCTTTGAAATTAGAATGCGAAAAATACCAAAAAATAATTTTAGGTTCTTCTTAAGTCAGGGGCCCCTTCAGGTTTGGGGCCCGGGGCAAAATGCCCCCCTGCCCCCTCACCTCTCGGAGGCCCTGGCGAAATATCCTAGTATTTGAAAATTGTATATGACCGTATTTATCTACGTCACAGTTTTGTCTCCCAAGTTGTGGTGCACAGCTTTGGCTAATTTTCCGATGCGCGATTTGATTTCGCTCGCATGATACGGCAATTCCTCCAAGAGGAACAAATAAACCGTTCTTTTAGTTTAGATGCTGCTCGATTAAGTTTAGATTGAATTGGGGTAAGAGTATACTTAATACATGTAGATGGTCCTATTTTAATGATATCGCTGCTATTTCGCCGTTTAACAAGATGTGGTCGTGTATGGGCGCGTTGACACGTCTCAGTTTGCACAAGACTGAAGATTTGATATAACTATATAAGCGCGAATTCCAAAGGCAAAGTGTAAGACAAAGTGAACGTATCATGCGGTTTATTTACATTTTTGAACAATTCAACTTCTATACTTTTTAAAGTACGATGTGTTTCTGAATTTCGCGATCGAACAACATCTAGGTTCGCAAGGCATCTAAATGAGTATGAACTGTATTGTATATGTTCAGAAGCTTTATATTGAAGACTGGCACGTGCGCGGCATGCCGGAGTTAACGCCAGAACATGCGCCAGATGCGCCAGAACAGGCGTCTTGTTATTCTTACTTTCTTTACAACGATCAATGCGCAATTGCAAATTGACAATATTTACCTTGATAATAACAACTCCTAAGAGAAGTTCACAACATTTAATGCGCTGTCTATTGCAGTTTATGTTATACGTGATTGTGATAGTCAATCTTGTACTGAGTCGTAGCGAATCTAGCGATGTTGGCCTGTTGGGTTAATATATCATATATATGCATATTATAGTCCTATGAGATATGTCTGTCAGATATGTGAGATTATATCAATTTCAATCAAAATCACAAAATAAAAATATGTGCACCAAACCTCATCATATGTTGCAGCAAAATCGTCGTATAATTGTCGAACCTCGGCTGGTTTTGCATCCTTGGGCATTACAAGCATACGCTCTTCCTTATCCGACATATTGCAAGTTGCAACTGGGCTATTCGGTGTCGCTAGTCGCTACTCGCTTGTGTGATCTGTGAAATGATTCTGCTTATTCCATTTAATTGTAGTAACCTGTGGTCTAAGTGAATGCTCACGAAATGCAACATTAATCACGTGCCTCTCCAGGGATGGCGGCCGACGCGAGGGCAAAGGGGAGAGCAGTTTTTCGTGAAAGGGCACTTCTATAGCAGCGCATACGAGAGAAAGTTTGCAAACGATTGAAACGACGTTTGCATTTGTTGAACTTCGTTTCAAATAATTTCGGTATCTGGGAGTTTTTCACCAAACGATTGCGTTACATGGATTGAAACTCGTTGGTTGCACAACTTGCCCTTAATTATAAGACTACTAAGTCAATAATTTACAATAAAAACAGCATCATTGCCCTCTTGCCCTGGTGCTAAAAAGCAAGGTGTCTGCTCCCCCCCCCTGTTCCGGCGTCCCTGTGCATCTCTATTGCAACTGCGGCAAAATTTTGTCCCGAAATTATTCAAGTACAGCTATTATACAGGTTATACAGCTAGTAAATTGCTTTCATTCATACTTTTTTAAACTCATTTAATAAAATTGGAGGTACCCCAAAAACGTCATCGTGAAAAAGGCTAATTGGTACTACCTTTTTCATCAAACCATTCGTTATCACTCAGTATTGATATGAACTGTTATGAACTCGTTCTGAAGGATTGATTGTTCACAACTAGTGCATAAAAATCGTACGTACTCGCCAACCATGAAGTAATCTCTATTTATTCCACTGAGCTCCACTGAGGTCAATCTCGTTTCCCGAGCCCGCAAAGGAATCGCGCAGGGTTTACATCAAGGAGCCACCAGGAACCGGTTGTTCAAAGCTGGGTTAGCGTAACCCTAGGCTAACCAAAAATTCAAAGTAAATTCCTGACAGCTTGTCGGTAAATTTGGAATTATTTTTTCAGAGATTTTGTCTCGGTCCGTAGGAGTTTACTTCACTGAAGTTTTGAAATAAACAGACATGCAGAAATACACAAACTAAAACAGCAGGTTAAACTTAACCCTGGGTTAGCGTTAACCCACCTTTGAACAACCGGCCCCAGGGAGCTACCTTATGTAAATTAATTTTGTCTCCAGGCTGCTAAGCATCGATGCGCGGATAAATCCAATATGGCAAAATTTGTAACTTTTTTCATCATGTAATGGATCAGATGTATAATTTTTTTAACATAAGTTGAAATGGAGTTGTTTACGATAGAGCGTTATGAAGGGGATTCATTTTCAACAGAAGAAAACACTGATCAAGAATCTCAACATCTTGCACAACTGATTGAACAAGCACGTGGAAGAAAACGTTCAAGAGAAAAGTCAAATTTGTATAAACGAGAGGATGAATGTACGAAGAAAACTGGTTCACTAATAGACGACGCCTCGCCAAAAGTGGCTAAAAACAGAAAATTAGAACGTAACGCTTGTACTAAACTCCCTAAAAGCAAAGAACAGTTTATTGAAAAGGATAATAATAATAGAACGTGTGATCACTGTGATGCGTTTGAAAAGGGTTAGTCATGTTACTCATGTATAATCGTGGAGTTGAAAATACACACACTTTACATTGTAACAAACACCCATCTGAATAACTCTTGATATACAAAAGTGTCAAAAACTATCAAGAGCCTAAAAAGCAATTTCACAAAGTCTATGAATATCACAATAATGCTACAATAAGTTAGTATTTTGACCTTAGGGTACTAGAATTTCATCCAGATAAGGAAACCTATGGTGAGCAAATGAAATATTTGCACTAATAGGGTTGCAAGTGCAGCTATATATAAATGCATCAATTGCAAGTGCAGCGCTATATCAAAATTTAGAGAGGTGTGACAAGTATATACATAAGTCAACCCATGCTAAGTAAGTTAGTGCTCTCTGCTGATTGTTTATGGAATATCTTTTGTGAATAGGACTCATAACTAATTTGTATTAATAAGTTTTTTATGTTCAGAAGAGGAAACTTTCCCAGATGTTGAGTCAGCTGGCAACAACTGTTCGAATACAGACAAATATTTTCATGATGGAAAAGATCTTGATCACTCAAAAAACACTGACAAAGAGGATCTCAGTGATAAGACTGAAACAGAGAAGACACATGTACTAAGTGAAAGTAAAGAGCCTCAAATTGAAATGACAGTCATCGGCGGAGAAAGCAAAAAGAAATCACCAAAAACTGTGCGGAGAGCCTTACCTAAATGGCTTGCTAATCCTTCTTTTTTTTCCTGTGATGTGAATAAAAATCTCCAGCCAGTAACAGATATTAATGGGCTTCATTCAGCATTAATTCAGAAACTTCATAAACAAGGTGTTGAACATTTTTTCCCAGTTCAAGTATCAGTAATTCCTGCAGTTCTATCATCTTGGGAGAGGGACAGTCCTTATGGAAGGGGCGGTTTTATGCCACAGGATATTTGTGTGTGTGCCCCAACAGGAAGTGGCAAAACATTAACATATGTGTTGCCAGTTATTGAACTACTCAGAAAAAATGTCCTGCAAAGACTTGAGGCTTTAGTGATTGTTCCTACCAAGGATTTGGGAACTCAAGTTTGGAATGTTTTTAACATGTATGCTCAGAGCACTGGACTCAGTGTCGGTCTTGCTAATGGTCTTAAAAGTTTACAAAAAGAGAAAGAGCTACTTGGTTCAAATAGGTAGGTTAAGATTGCGACTTAATTTAAATATTTATCTCATATATCAAGGACGTGGGAAGATTATTAGGTGGGGGGGGGGTATTCATATATTCATATTAGCAGACTGTAAAAACAACCAATTTCAAAAGAAACCAATTATGCTGAATGTGAATATATGAATATAACCCCCCCCCCCCACTTAAGGAGCTTCTGCCATCCTTGTATATGGATAGAAAAGGATGTGAATAATATCAAAAATTGATTTCAGTGATACCGATACTTAGCAGCATCAAATGTGGTATAACATAATGATATTACTTTAGGACATTCTTGAAAATATAGAATATAATGTCATGGTTTCATAGTCGTCTTTTTAGCAGTAGATTCTGCACCTACTGCATGTTTAACCACTTTATTTATTTTAGTTGTCTTGGTTACTCAAGTAATGTGAACATACTGGTGGCCACTCCTGGAAGACTGGTTGAGCATATTTCCAATACAGATGGCTTCTCTTTGCGATTTCTAAGATTCTTTATCATTGATGAAGCTGACAGACTCTTGGCCGAACCATACTTTGGCTGGCTTGACAAAGTCTATGGTTCTGTTTACTCGACTGGAAATACGCAAGGACTAAGGTTCGACATGATAATCTGTATTCACGCCGCAGGGTATTTTGCGAGCTATATGATAGGTTAAATTGCATAAGATATGATACCTAAAGGTTTTTTCCACTCATCGCAAAAACCCCGTCGCACTGTAAAAAGTTAAAAATCAACAGTCTGAAATTGCACGGAAAATGTTGTCATAGTATTGTCTGTTTATTATTTTACCATTTCATTGTTCTTTATACCGCGTTGAAGTTTGCGCAAACATGAAACAAAAGGATGTCCTTATGGCTGTGTACTGAACATGTTTTCTCTCTCTTACATATCAGTCAATTATTACTCTGCAGGTCATCTTCGGGTATATTAACGCCATTGAAGACTGAACGGATTCAGCGACCGCTTCAGAAATTGTTGTTCTCGGCCACGCTTACACAGAACCCTGAGAAACTTGCTCTTCTTCGACTTTACATGCCCAGGTTTTTCACTGTGGCGAAGTCTGAAAGTAGCGATGTTGGAACCGAGGGTGAGAAACGTACTTTACATAAGGCCTGTTTACACTTTGCCCGTTTGGCGATTTTCTTCCCTTGACAGTACGTAATTCCACATTACTAAAATGGGTAAGGCTACCCAAACGAATCTATAGGCTTGTTTACACTTGCGATTTTCTTCTTTTGATAGATGTAAACGAGTAATTAGTTACGAATGCTCTGATGTGTTTATTGATCGAGCTCCTATTTGAACATCCATAACTGATTCACTCGTTCACATCTGTATGTAAAATTTGTAGCTAAATGTTATTTCGCGCTTGAGCACGGTATGTGATTTCCGGACTGTCATTTTTGGTTCTGCCATAGTTTATGCTTCGAAACCTGAATGTGTTTACAGTATCTCAGCATCAGTTATTTTACACACTAGCTGTAGTTGTTAGGTCACGCTTGCACTTCTCATTTCTCTAACTAATTTTTTGCAGAGATTAATAACGATGAAGATAAAGCGTTCGATACGCATTTGAGAACACCGTTCACTTTAGAAGAGTCAATGTACATTTGCAACCGCGGCGGGAAGCCTCTGGTTTTGTTACATCTGCTGACTGAGCAACAATTGGACGGTGTTCTTTGTTTCACTTCGTCGATTGAATCGACACATAGGCAAGTGCCAGATTATAAGTTGTATTTTATTTTCGTATTATATTTGTGTTTGTATTCAAGTTTTGTGAAGAGGCTATCCATTGTGAACAGGCTATGCTTGCCCTGCTGATTGGTTTTCATGAGGTTGGGGGGGGGGAGCGTCTATGTAAACTATTTGAGAGAACACACACAACACTATATTATGCGACCCACGATGCCGTATCATTTAACCACAGAGAATAATGATATATGTTTTTGAAACTATTTCATGTTCAAATACAGTAGTAATAAGTCTTGAAAAAAAAAATCGGGAATTTCCCGCCAGAAAGACTTCACCTCCACAGCACCTGTTCCTAAAACGTCTCTCAAGAAACTCCTTCTTAAGTGTCAAAATTTAAAAGTTTACCAATTTACAATGTGTTTATATTATACCATACGCTGTGTTTTAAGGCTTTACCTTTTGATCAAACATTTTGGAGAAATTGGAGTGCAAGAATTTTCCTCCAACCTGACGGCAGCGCGAAGGCAGACCATACTGAATGACTTCAAATGTGGACAAACGCAAATCATCATTTGTTCCGATGCCATGGCGCGTGGTCTGGATGTCCCTGCCGTAAAGTACGTTGTCAGTTATGATCCTCCTGTATCATCTAAGACCTACGTTCATCGTGTTGGCCGAACAGCTCGGGCCGGGAAAACTGGTAAGCTATAGTTTTACTGCATTGTACGTAGTTAATAAACGTGTTCAGGTGTCTAGCATATGAATAGAAGAGAAAGAGAGCTACAGATACAGCACAATCAGGCGCTTGAGGCATCAATGTAGATGAAAATGCATACTAGTACATTACTAATGTCCTATATAGTGGCTTTTTAAAAGACACTCGGAGAGGAGCATCATTGTGCTTAAGATTCAGTGTTCTTGTTTGCTGGTTGGGTAACTAATTTATATATAAACCAGCAAAAGTATGCAAAAGCACAATTACCTGTCGTCTTTATACTCCTAATTCACTAGCTAGATTCGCGGAACGAGGATCGTTCATCGTTGGTTGGAAGGGTTCGCAGAGTTATACTGCATGTATATCAACTTCTCGAAGGTTGTTCTGTACAAGAGCTTCTTCTTTTGATAATACAGGAATCGATTATCATGTAGTTCGGCAAATTATCTTAAGTTAAAGGAATTGCGGAAGTCTAAAACTACCATAGTTAGCTTGAATTTTATAATCGTGATAAGAAGTGAAATATTAATGATGAAAACATGAAGTTACTTTGATTTAGTTACCTGTGAACTGAACTAAAACTATTACAATTTTACGTGTTTGATGGGCTATAAACAAGAATTGCCTCAATAATCTGAGGAAAATTGTCCTTTTCTACTGCATATGAGCGAAAAAAAACGAAATACTTGCAGTGGATTAGGGAACTGAAGTGGATTGGATTTCTGGATTTAAAAAAATTACCGAATCTTTTCATTCATAATACAGAACAATAGCGGTACCCAATGAATCGCTTTGGGGGCTCGGAGATGCATGACTCTAATAAAAAATGTCGTTGTATTCTCTCTTCTTTATATTACTTTTTCAGTGCGAAACTATCATGTTCATTTATGCAAATAATGTTTCCTCATTCGCCCACATGCATTCAGGAAGCGTGAGTATGGGCGCAGTAATATATGTATCCTGTGCCAAGTACAGGATCATGTTTGCTGTAAGATCTCTAAGAAATCTTCGCTCAATTTTTCCTGGTAGGGCGGTATACATAAATATTGCTACTTTTCCTGTAGGGCGTAAATACCCGTTACTTAGCGTCGGTCGCTGTTTCGCGTCGTGAGAGCCTGGAGCACGTTCAGTTTGTTCCCATGGTTCTAGATACGAAAACCGTTTCCAGCTGATAATTTCAGCAACTAAAATCTAGATATATTGTAAAATCTTATCTCCCGAAGATGATTCCGATTTGATTCGAAATATAGGGTTTAAAATTAGTTGTGTATTTGTCAAAATTTTTTATTTACACAATTAATCTATTCGGAATATATAACCTTTAATTTATTCTACATACAAATCGCCTTTTTCTGTTTGTAGGAACTGCGATAACACTTTTACACGATAATGAGGTATTCCATTTCAAGAAAATGTTAAAGTCACTGAAGAAAGGTAAAATAGGTAAGCACTCTGTAAAAGATCATGATCTTGAGTGTTTAATGGACAAATACGAGGCCGCTTTGGAACAACTGAAGACAGAAGTTACATCTTCGAAAGGGCAGACAAAACGCTTGCGTAGATAATTTTGAATGCGCTCGTATCAATATGCTTCCTGGGGAACAAATCTAAAATTTTACTAATTTATCTGAATGATAAAGAAGTATCGGAAAATATGAATTATTCACAAAAACTATGAATGTTATACTTGAACCTTTACCACGTGCAACTGTCTTTGATATTCTTCCACCTCGTGACTCCAACGAAGATTTTTAGAAAGTAACGAAAAAATATGAAATATTGTTTCAAAAATAATTTAAATGATAATATGTAAAATATTCTGAGCCTCCATTGCATGCCTGTTCGAGCTGTCTTCATTTGAATTATGCTTAGTAAAATGCTTTCATGCATGTCCATGCATGGGACTGTGCAAGAGAGATTTCTTAGAGATTCTTGTTTACAGAGTAAAGCAACAACTTTACTAGAGGCATTCACAAAACGGCTGGCTAGTGGAAGTGGATAAGAACTAACAATTCTTTATCTTGTTCTGTTAATCCTGGTATAGCTGCATAATTACATATTTATTAAAATTTATTTTAAATCAAAACGAGCGTGCTTTACATTTCCGTGACGTCACCGAATGAAACACTCTCTGGAGTTCGCCTGCGCATTAATGAATCGCCTCTACCAAGGAACATATAAGAGGCCTAGGGACTAGGCTGCTATTGGCTGCTATTAACTGTGAGGTAAAAGACCCTAGATTTAAATACATGGTTGCTCCACAGTTAACAACCCCGTACCCGATCAATACCGACATATGGATATATAAGAGAACGCATATTCAATAATCTACCACGCGCCAAACATTGTCGAAATATTCCCGGTATTCTTGCGAGTTGCGAACCACCGAATAACTGAGTTGCAAGTACTCTTGAGTCTGACAACATTAATCACAATTTGCGTGCGTGCGTGCGTCACAACTGCTATATTGAACCGTACTTCAGAGTTTAGGATCAGGCTTACCAACGCCTAATTTTCTACATCAGGGCTACCTGAGGTGTCTACTATCATTCCACACCGCAGGAATGCCCGGGTCACAACTGCTCAAAAAATGCCATTTTCTTTAAAGTTAATTTTCAATAGGCTACCGGTGCTACCAAACCCTTAATGCTATGGCAATGCCAATATGTCAATACCGCGGCTTACCGCCCTTTGCCTTGGCTTTGGCTAACAGGACTTGGAGTAACGGGCTAAAATTCTGAAAAGGGAAAAAGTTGGTATTCCTGACTGTCTTGTGGACTATTTTGTGCAGTTTTCCTAGTCTGAGCTAGCCAGAGTTGTGTGTATGTGATAATTTTTTTATTTTACATTCGGTGACCCGTACATTATTATGAATATTTGTTTCGATTATACTAATGATATACAAGAACAGAGATAAAAATTAAAAATTCAAAAGGGTCAAGGGTCGCTCATCTCTGATTGGTCAAATTGACATAACGTGATGTCTGCAGATTTTTGAACAACTCCAATTGGATTTCCTGAGACAAGCAAATCCTTCCGATTTTGGTAACAAAAGTGCTCTTACCTAGAATGCTTCATCCACAGAGAGCGTCCGAAAATTAGAATTCGTACGAAAAGATGGTGTTATCTAATGCAGAATGAGTAATACTGTAAGTAAACGTGTAAATATGTTATATTTAGTTTTCCTTCGATGTATTATGACAGTCCCGGTCCAAGCTAAGTCTACCCTTGGACTTTGTACAATCACGCGGGTACAAATAACAATATATTCCCCGTGTATGCCATTAATGCATGAATAAAGAAAACGTTCCTTAATTCAGCTCACTTCCTGCCTTTGGCTACAATTAATGCTAGGGCTCTTGCATGGTAGAACGTATTAACTATAAGAATACTCAAGTCTCTGTGACTGTATTTTCGTTTGTCGCATAACCTTTCTTTCATGGAAAGCTCTTTGTTCTGGCGCTTAGCTGTTGCTGTTTCTTGAAACGAATTTATACATTGCTTCCCGCGTCGTGAAATATATTAAATGTTACCTGTTGAAAACATTTTTTCTGACACCAATTAAATTGCCTAGGTGGCACGGGTCTGGTCCATTGTTCGAAGACACGGAGGCATGAGATGGCGCTATCCACCATGAGTGCTATGCACGTTCTTTTAAGTTATTAAGAACGGACTTACAATCTTGAAATATAGTTACAGCTACAACTGAGTCAATTCCTACACGATTTCCACGGCTTTTCATGCATGCATGCAACAGGCATTATTAACACGCGTACCCTGTAGCCCTACATTTTTGGAAATCATGAAAACTTGTTTAGAAGTACTGTGTACATGCAAATTCTGAGAATTCGAAAGTAGCTACATGTGAATAAGAATATAGTCAGACTTACAAGTTACGAAAATGTTGACATACATGACGCTGTATTTCAAGGAGCTTTCGAGAGCAGAATGTTCAATTTTCTTCCAAGTCAATGATTGCATCATTGCAAAATACGCCTTAATTATAAGTGATATGTAATATTTTAAAGAATTTCCTTCTATATTTTATAGGCAGTTTGTTAATCAATCTAGATGATTATTAATTGGATTTATATATTATAGTGGCCGAATTCATATAATCATATTAAAGAAGGGAAACTCACCTTAGGCGGGAAAGATGATGGTAAAAACCCGTCTAAATATGAGTAGGAATGGATAAATTTATACGTGTGATGGGTCGGGTAATGCTAAAAAGGGTATCGTAATTATTACAATAAAAATTTTGTTTGTTTTCTCTTAGCCTTGTTCCGTCCTTGACTGTGTTAATGTTTCAGAAACTCGTCTCATTAGTCCATATAGGATCCGTCTAAATGCGAATTTAAGACGAGTTTCTCGTCTCTAATATGAATTCGGCTAGCATCTAATGGAAAACGAAGTATTGAAATTTAACAACTGTGAACGCGTTAGCTGTTATATTTCTCTAAGGCTGTAATTTATTTGATCACAAATTTCAAATTTCGGTATCTTTAGTTTCAAACGCTCGAATCAGTTGCGGATGAAATTACTGTGGAGTGTGAGATCGATGAGGCTTTGTCTATCACACGGAGATGGATAAGCTGACATGGTATTCGGAGGGATAGACCATAATCTTTTTCGTAAATGGTTAAGATGACAAGTAACAGCAGGTCAGTGGTTGACACTTTTAAAAATAAAAAAAAAACATTGGTTTTCGATTTAGCTTTTAGACTTAGCTTAAACTTAGACTTATAGACCAACAGGTAGAGTCTGGTAGACCATGGATCGATGAGCAGTTTACTTGGCTCCCTATATAACCTGCACAAAAGGCGTTTCCCGCATATAGTAATATAGGCCGGATCGCAATTTTAACTCGCACTCCACTGGGCACTGCTTTATTGGAGATATCGCCTCGATAAGGATTGATATGAAAAGTTATTTTTATTTGCAGTCCCTCTTAGTTGTATTTTTCCCCCATCGATTCTATATGTTTAATTTATTTGCTGTTATCACACGCCGAAGAAAGAATTCATTCACGTAGCCTATAATATATTATGGAACTAGAGATAAAGATTTTAGTGATTTTCAACAATGCACTTGCCTTACCATTTGAGCAGTCATTCGCCTGATCCAAATGGTTATATTAAATTACTAACATAATTTTATAAAGTATAAAATATAGCTATCTATAAACTTTCGGCACCCATATATACATCCGACCCTAAGCATGCAAGCTCAGTCTGACAACCTCGTGCCAACAACCTCGTACCACGCACGTTTAAAGTGTAGTGTTCTACTAAAGTACGCACAGTAAACTTTTAGCACCTAATATACATACAAGAAATTCAGACAAATGGACGTCTAATACAGTTGAACGCAGGAGAGTCAAGAAGATACCGGAATAAATAACCAACTGCAAGCATCCAGGCCTTTTTTGTTGCGCTCTGGTGTTATACCAGCGCGGTAGGAAAGGTCTGGAGGGTTGACTTTAGTATATACATTATCTGGATGGAAAAACTCCTGAAACCCAACACTGGGACGATCAAAGATTATTTTTGGTTAACGATTAAAGAAGTGCTGCTCTGAAAAATGACTGAATGGAATCTCGAATGGAATAATGAAGGTACTCAATGACTATAGTAAGGAAGGATGCAAGTGCCGGGTCGGGTTAACTGCATGGTTTTCCACTGGCACTGCTGAAGATTCAAGTGCTGTGCACGCTGGCTTGCCATCTCAGAAACTTCAGAAAAAATCAGAGGCGGAAGTTTCGTTTTAGTCTGCCAAAATCATTGTCCAGATACTGCATGCCGAATGCATGATTTTTAGTTCACTAACTAAAGCCCCGTTCACACTACGCGCGATATTTGGAACGGCGCTATGTTTATTGTTTCAAAACCTCACTTTTTATTGATTCATTGGAATGCAAGACTGTCACATTACCTCGCCCGCATGCTTGGCTTCACGACATGTTATTTCAAAACCTCACTCTTTACTGTTTCATTGGAATGCATAGTCTAAATATAATTCGGAAATTATTATAAGTGACGTTTACATGTCAAACGCCTAAAAACCTATCAATGTATAGTTTACAGACAGTCTATCAATATATAGTTTACCCGGACGGGAAATTCAACTAAGGATGCTGGTATGCATCCGATTTTTTTCTTTGAAATCTCTTGCGATTCCGAGAAATTACTTGGTCTAGTTGGTAAATCTGATATCATGTTACAGTATTGCCACGTGTTGCATGTTTTAAAGTTCAACGAAATTCTACAAGTTTCTAACATTAATCGGCTAGTATCAGCAAGAACTTGACATGAAGTAGCCATGAATTGCCTAAGCCTCTGTGTCTTCTTCCATCTTGTTGATTGTTGAACTGAAGCGAATGATGACCACTATAGCTGCTGCTAGAACACGCTTAAAGCACAGGTATTTATCATGGTATTTATCGGTGTTTATCATGTTATCGCCTTGCGAAGACTGATATAAATAAATCAAGCAGAAGGAAGTAAATAACATCAAGATAAAGAATTTCGACCATCATATGTATTTTAAATACTCAGTAGACACTAGACAGTAGCTCCGGCATTCATTCGACATTGGTCCGCTTCAAAAAGAAGTCGACCAGATAATTGCATGCGCCAGGGACGATCAAAATATGGCGTGATACCGATCGCCTGATGTGACGTAATCACTAATGAATATTTAATCTACCATCATACGATATCATCTGACTCAATTTTTACAATGAGTGAAATATTTGCAAGGTCCTATGGCAAGTAATGGTGTGTAAAGAGACAAAAATAGACTGCGTATCGCTGAACTGAGCAAAAATTCTAGTTATCAATGTAGCAATTGTCAAAATTTTGCTCGAATGGAAAATTTTCACCTCAGCAATTTGACATTAATGATTAGAAATTAAATAATTCATATTGCATTAGACTTTACATTAATATAATGGATTAAGAGGTTTCGCGAATGCATGAAGTAGCTGCATTGGTAATCCCATGAATGCAAACAATTATAATGTAAAAGCGTGTTTTAGTAAAATTACAAAGAGTGCTTGCGACCTCATGTAGAGCAAATACGACCATACCGTGTCAAACAGACTGTAACGGACGTTTGGGTGAAGATTATAAGTGAAGACTTAATTATAGCGTGGAATTTATTAATTATAGAGTTTACAAACCACAAATTGTAACAATAAGCTTGAATCGGGCGTCATTGTGCAGCCCTATACAGTATACACTTACTACACATAGAACTTCTTTTAATCTTCACGGTAACAGCTAGTGGTAGACGACATCTGTGATGGAACTTAAGGACAAAACATCAGTTCGTTTTAGTCAGAAATTGATAGCGAAATAGTGAGAATCACAATAGTCGAAATTTGTGAAAAATAAACTCCTGCAAAAATGATGCAAAAATCAATCCTATTGATAACGATGTATGATTCATATCATGTTAAGACATGATGCTCTAAATCCGTCATTTTGTGCTTGTTCAAAAAAAATGACTTCTTTATTCAAAAAATACAACATAACGGACACATAAGCTCAGTCTTGTATCGACAGAAAAGATCGCGTGATGCATGCACAAATGAGTGTAGGAATCAGAGAAGAAGTCGCGACCATATATCCGCTTATTTGGTTGACCACTGGTTTCTATATGATAGCTTTATGCGATTTATACGTTTTAAAAGAATGATACCAGTGTAACTCCTTAATTATTTTTCAAAGTTTGCATCATACCAATAAAGCTCCTTTACCAATGACTATAACAATTACGTTTAAATCTAAATATATAATTCTATAGAAATATTTGCAAAGTCATCAAGAACTTTTTGTATCTTTGTAATTGCACCACTTAATGGAGATAAGTTATCAGTGCAGCAAAACATGATTGACGCAAGGTATGCTCTAATAGGCGGAAATTGAGTTGTGTGCACATATTGAATTAGACTTCCTGGGATACCAACGTCTTTGTTCAACGCTCACTATTAAGGTTACTGCACGGCAAACTGGTGGGATAATTAAAATACTACACCTTTAAATAATATAAGCTGCAATGCTTCATATACATTTAAGAATTACGTCATGATAAACTACCTCATTCAGAAAACTCAAACGTTTTAGCTATAATGACTGTAGATTGTAGCGCAAATGTGTAATATTTATTTCAGCGTTTGTATATCTCAGCGTCTCATCCCATTATAGTCGACGGTTATAAATATAGCCTTAGCCTTTCCACTTTTGGAAAATTCAATCTAAAATCAATGTCACGAGAGTTGACAGGGATTACATTAACATGAACTTGCCAGCCGTTATATGGTCTTAAATCATTTTGTACATAGTCCTAGAAGCATTAAACTGTGTCTGTGTTTGATAATGTTTATAATCTTTATATCGGCGTGGGCGATTCGTATTGATTCAAAGGTGACAGCACAACCATTGGCTAATCGTAGTTCAGAGGCACTGCGGAAGCCAACCTACACAAAGACCAGTTTAAGATTACCTGGAATTATGACTCTGAGATGCAAATTTCAATCTCGCTCCGTATGTATGTGCGTATAGCATGCATCCGTGGCATTAATGTGTTTGTTTTTCCAATCCGGTGATGTTCATGCATACGCCGACTATAGAGTATAGACAATATTGTACAGTACGTGTCGTTTACCGAGTAAGGTAGGTTGAACTTTGAACATTCCGTTATCACGCGATGTGTAGGTTATATGCGAACGTGTAGAATTCATCAATAGGACCTTCCAATGGCAATGGAAGCCTATAGCCATAGCCATTTTGTTATGGCGGGCTGTGGCTTGTAATAACCGTAGATATTCAAGATTAATTGGTGGCCCGCCGAGGTTAAGCGAAGTCACTCATAAGATATGTCATAACGAAAGACAGTTGACAGGAATGTCAAATATTTCATGCATATTTCTGACCGCAGCAGCAAACCAAGACTGACACCAGCTCATGGGTTATAAGATGAAAAAGAAATTTCGAATATTGAAAAGGAAAAGCCGCAGCTTGCAAGATGTTTTGCCCCTTCGTCAACATATCATAAGGTAGGATGTCGACAGAGTATTGGAGTAGTTTTAGGTAGTGGCACACTGGCACTGACCGCTTACAGTCATTGCTGGCTTGCTGCAATGACTTCAGAGTAAGATGCATTATTGTGAAGTATAGTTCACAATACAAAAACTAGCGTACAACACATCTTTGATGTACGTCCACCTCCAGAAAAAGGTGCATCATATAAAGACTATAAAATGCTTGTTAAAGTGTTAGCTTTGTGGTATGAATATATCAATAACACTTAAATTTGTATAATCCTATAGTCATAGACATAACTTTGCGGGTATGAAGCATTGAAAGTTTAGAATACATGCAGGAATGCAGGCATACATAATCCTCAACACGACCACACCATTAATGCAGGATGCATATATTCATGCATCAACTGTTGTTTTGACTTTTCACTAGATATTAATCTAGGAGTACGATTTCATAGCGTGCTCTTTTTATAGTAAATATGACTGACAATTAAACGATGTGAAAACAGTGATCTTTTAAAATTCAGTTAAATGTTGTTGAAGAATCAATGTTGTTTTTTAAATATTTAAGATAAAACTAGCTAATCTATTGGAATTGTTGATTCCTGACATTCACGTAGGCTTGTCAGCGGCATCATACATGGATACACGCAAACATTTTATTAAAGCTGACCTCAATACTGACAATACTATATACGTCTATATATAGTCTATAGTAAATAAATTGGCAATGCACTCTGATAATTTGGCCTGAAAGCCTCGCTCTTAGTCTTATGGTTCGTCAGTCAATCGATTTAGGCGTAAGTTAAAAGCGAGATTGATAATGCTTAATTCACCATGTTTACTGACAACCTTCCTTCGCTGTTCAGCAGCCCCGTGATGCATTGTCCATCTCACAATCAGAATTTTATTATGTCCGAGATACATGTACATCACACCTTTTCATCTCCCATAGTTGGCCACCTGATGTACACAGGCTATTCCCAGACTATATTTATAGAGTAGATTGGTTTGTATTAATCAACCCACAGATCAACCCTTCGGCAACCTCGTGATCATTGGCGCTATTCAGCCCTTCATTATTTCGTTGTGATTTAATAACGTAAAATATAATAAAATGTCTATAAATTTACATCCAAAAATGATACATTCATGACTGCACTTCGTGGTAGCTGACTCGCCTGACAACTGATCTTCCGAAATCAATATAATGCGATCGATTACGATTAATTACGTTAGGCAGGAAAAAGGGCAATTAAAATTTTTTGCGTTCGTATTAAATCAATGCCAATGGACGAATCGAATATCTAAAGAATAAATTATATTTTAACGTATGTCTGAACTATAACGTTTTATCATTTTCACTTACATAACGTCATAGAATTATCGTCAGGCGTTTGTCATGAATTATTCTCCCACGCCTCTTTGCCACTCCGCTTTTAAGTGTGCCTTTAGTGACAAAGAATATTTCTGGCAAAGAATCAATTGAATGGTAGTGCAAATATATATATAGTCAATATAGCCATAATTCTATCTTATGTTCATGTATTCTTACCTCTTAAGGAGTTAAGGACCTTAGTCTTAAAGAGCTTAAGACCTATAGAATAGTCAATACAACGAACGCCAAACAGCTATTTTCAAGTGATTTTAAGGAAGTTTTTTTGCCTTCAGAAACCTCGCATTTGTTTTGAAAATTCGAATTTTGCCGTTTGCAGCCGCAGGTGTGTCGTAAACACCAAAGTAGAATTATCTGTCATATAGTCTGAGATGTTCCTGACACAAATTATATATTGCGAAAAGTTGTTTCTCGCATTGATATATGGAGAAACAAATTTACATTAAGTAAAATGACCTAAGAAATTAAAGAACGTCCGGCGATTCATATATTGGTACCCGCGGCACTTTATATATATAGCTTGGCTGCTCCGCAACAATATAATATCACTAGTAGACTTGAAATACTTGCGATCATCATCATCATCACTGACACTGATCAATTTAAGCAATCGCACTGAACGTGCGTTGCCTGATGATTGCTTAAATGCATGAAACTTAAAGCAGCAACTTCGGGACGATTTTATTATTCACTCGATATGAATTAAACCGATTATATTTAGGTTTCAAAGTTCATTTAGTTTTTGATTTTGATGTACGGAGTAAAAGAGATTCAAGTGTTGATTTTAAAACATTGGCCTATGCATCTTGCCACAATGTACAAAGATACGAGCAAAGATACTGTAATATATGCGCTGAATGGTAAACACTGTAAAGGGCTAATGCTGTTGCGTAAAATTTTTTCATGAAATTGTCGAACTCTGACAATTCATATGTACTTCGGGCTTTCTGAATAGAGACGTTGCGCATCTGAATGGCCAGTATCCTACAAGTCTACGACCAAGGAAAGTGGTCAGCCTTGAGGCATGCTCCAGATAATTCATTTCCCTTTTATCCAATGGCCAGAATGCAATGTAGAATATTCATGCTTCAGAGGCGTGCATCACGTATCAGCACATCTCTAAAGTCGTATTTTTCATGTATTTCAGAATTTGCGTCATTCTTTAAGAGCAGTTTACGGCATCGATGAGCACCACTGATAATTTTTATCGGCTTTTTAACACATCATCAGGAATTATTAAGCTTCTTCAACTGAGCAAACTAGATTTGCATGTCGTTGTGCCCATGACGATAAGCACCCTTGCGGATGTGCGTAAATCTACTCAACTGAAGGCTTTTGTCTCTTCCTTTTGACACAATGACATCACTCTCGGGATACCTGCTGTGTATTTTGCTTATACAATCCATACACTATTCATCGTTCAATATATTTGACAGTCGCGTAGGGAAATGACCTTCGTGTGGGCATCAATGGACATAGTCGTAGTCGTGATAAATTGAACAAACGAAAAACACTGGTTAGGTCACATATTCATATATTTCTCAGCCAAGCAACGGGTGGAAGGCGACTATTACAATATCAAAGTTATATAATCGAACGATAATACTTTCCTCTTAGCTTTGGTATAAGGAATACATATTATATATCATAGCAGCAGATGTCAAAAGTGGAAATTCGATATTTTAAAAAACCATCTATTAAATGTCTAGCGAGGCTGTGGCGCCACTTTCACACGCTACACCAAATGAATCTATATTTAACGGCAACCAAAGAGCAAAGTCTCTTCCGACGGTGGTTTTTCGCATGAACTCAAGCGGCTCCGCAAGCTTTAACTTAGATGATGAGGAGTTGAACAAACCTCAGGAATTAAACGCAAACGATTCCGAGCAGGAAGATGCGGAATCGTTCGAAACATTGGAAATTCACTTGAATCATTTTAATGGCAATACAGCAGGGTAAGCCTATCGTGTCGTATAACGTAATACCTATATTATAAAGCGAATTTGGCTCCTTTCAGTATTCTGTTTTGAAATGAGATCTAGATCAGATGCCTTGACCTGCTCAGTTCTGGAGTTGAGCGTGTTGTAGCCACTGTTTCGTAAGCCAAAGGGCAGTCTATGGACCATGCCCGCGTTGATCAGCCGATTTATGTAGCAAATCAGCAGGCGCTTTGAGAATAATTTGTGATAATAATTCTGTTTGTTTGTTTCAACATGCTAGATACGAGTGGTCACGAATAGTGCCACCAGCTGTGTAATATGGCAATTTGTTCAGCAATTTTTACTATCAGATTTGTAGATTTATAAACATTTTGGGTCAGAAACAGACATTTGCTAAAACGCAATATAACAGCCGACTTATAGCCGGCTTGATCATACTGAAGTAGTAATGTCGGGAATTAGGCTATCTTACTTTAGCTTGTTCTGGGTTAAGATTTTTAACCTTGAATCAAGCAAGTGGTATGATTAAAGTATTTGTTCTAGTAAGTTAAAAAAATACGAGTAAAGAAACTTAAACCGGCCATACTACGCAGATTCGTTTATTAGACCCCACATTTGTTTGGCAAGAAAGCGACAGAGTTGTTACAATTCAAAAGGAGTAATATTTTAAATCGATGGCACTGGTCTTGAAATATTACTAATGTGTTATAATGTACCTAAAAATCCAGTGTGGTCTGTTTGGAGCCTTTGATCTCTATGTTAGGCCTGCGCGGTCTCCTAGTTTTTCGTAGTTTTGGAGGATCGACGGAGGTAACGCATCCGGCTTCTTGAGTAATATATAATTATTTAAGTGATATAATATGATCTTAAAAACCATTATTACAAATTTTACTGAACTCAAAGACAACTTTATAAGAAGCACACATGCACCTTAACAGTTTACAATAAACTTATATACAGATAAATACGATTATAAAACGTGGAGTAGTATGTAGTCAGAAAGGAAAGACTGTATATAGCAACTATCTTTGCATCGAAAAGTCGTGCAATGACTTTTTTAAATGAATCTCATTCCTCAACTCGGAATTCGCAAGGGGGGCACAATTCGTGCGCACTGTGAAAACCATGATGTAAAGCTGGGGCCGGTTGTATCGCCTCTCTTACATCTCTCTTGAATGAGTCAACTTCAATATTATGCACTATCGTTGAATAAAAACGATAGACTTGCTTTTAATTTTGAACTTAACCACCGTTTAAGCTAAACAGGCTTGATACAACCGGCCCCAGACGAGTAAATAAATTGAAAATAGGAGGATAACATCATTCCTGCGAAGAAAAACCTCCTCGAAAAGAGCCATGGCCTGATGACGTATATCCTATATATCAGTGGCCGGTGGTTCCAGTGGGTGGTTCTGACTTCCTGTGTTGTTTCGTAACTTTCGCGCAGCGTAGTGGGATATGTGATGTTTAGTATTTAGCAAATGGCGGTAGAGCTTCTGCGAAGACTGCTGTTGTTCCAAATATCCTGCGTAAAATGTCTACGGCTGCAGAGGGAAAATACAACGATGCCCTATCAGAAAACGAAGTTCTACCGCCAATGGCAGAAAAAAATTGTATAGATGATGATTCTGACACTTCGCCGCCACCGGAACGACCGACAAGTTTGTTCGTCGGATCAAAGTACGATACAATCAGCGTTGATGAAAGTTTAGAGAATGAAAGGTACTTTTGCACCAAAACAACTAAAGCGGTGCTTTGTGACAAGTTTATCCTCCCGATGTATTTTCATGGTCGGGTATAGCCTTCTATTTTCAATAACGATGATGAGAGATTTATAAGAAATTTTTGATCGTTTATTCTTGTGTTTGTAATAATATATTCGGTCATATGCTGGGCTTGTGGGCGGTTTGAGGTCTAGTTGCACCTGTTCGTTCATAATTAACAAACTTTTTCGTACCTTTGACTTTTTTGCTTTTCTGTGGAGTTTTATTGTGTTGATACTGTACTTGGGAGAACGTAATATATGCCCTAGGTATAATCTTTATATTTTGTCCTTGACTTTGGAATGCCCAACTTCAGTTTTGTTTTTCAATATTCACATTGAAATCCATGCAAAGGTCATCAAGTATATACGTACATATACTTATTAATCAGCCGAGAATTCTAATGATATGAAAAGAGGTTGATGTTGATGACCTGAAATAAACTGAAACCTTAGATATGTTATACTGTAGTCAAAATGGCATGATGTCACTCAAAATGACATGATGTCATTTTCTTGTGACTAAATAATATCTTAAGCTTTGCATTTAAAATGCCCTGATCCTAACCCAGAGTTATGAGATCTTGGACATATTGATACATGTGCTCAAAAATAGTTTTCAAAACTGTAGATTTCATGATGCTATGTCATTTTGGTGGTTGTAAACAAGTGATGACTGTATAGGTCACCACTAACATACCAAGGCAAGACTTTCTACTACCACTGTATAATCCAGGGTCTGCAAGCCTGAGATCTCCAACAGTAGGATATAACCTACATAAGAGTGAGACATATTGCTATAACAAAGTGCTTCACATTGTATGTATAGTTGTGAGTTGCATGGTCATATGTAAGTTCTTGGTATGAATGATTTGAAGAGGCTAGGAAGTATACCAACAGCCTAACATTCACTGTAGCAACTGCCCATCAAAAAATAGCTACTCTTTAACAATTATCTCTTTAAAAAAAGGGTTAATATTGGAAAACATACTGAATATACTTGTAGTTTTCAAACATTTTGTAGCAATTGATTTTAGATGATATAAAAATAAAAAGTTGTTAAAGAGATAATTCTTCTGTGCATCAGTTCTTCTCATAAAAAATAGGAGTCTTGTTATAGTTTTACTAATATATAAAATCTGCATGTTTCACATTTTTTGTTCATAAACTTTGGTTTATATTCATTTAGGGAATAGCTAGCCAATATTGTGTTAGATATCCAGACAGTGTATAATATTTTAAAAAATATACCTAGCAGCTTATATTGTAAACAACACATTGATATGCCACTTTCACATTTTACCATATTTTTATAATTTTATTGGAATAGAATCTTTGTAGTGTATATACATTACTGTTAACTACTGCAGCATTCATATATAAAAAAAAACAATTTACCTTATGTGATTTGATGGAAGGAGAACTATGCAAATTACAATGCAAAACACTTAAATTTAGATAATGGTGTGCTCAATATTTTTTTATCTCAAGGTCACTGCCTAGGTTCTGAGATATGGTGTTAGCAGTGCATAATATCTACAGGTGCATCTACGTAGGTCTTCTGTAGTTTATTTCATTGAAGTATAATTGTGTATTATATTTTTAAAAATGTACAGTATCATTGTTTATTAGAATTAACATACTAATTTATCTAGAAGTTATGCTGCAAATGGAAAATAATGGTTTAGTATTAAAAAGATTAAAAAAATCTTTCACTTTGCAATGATACTGCAGACTAGTTAAATGGTAAATAATTAGACAGTGAGGAAGTGCAGGTGTGAACATGTAGCAGCGATGAATGATGTGTTTATTTTGTTTCCTTGCCGATTGTGTCTTGCACCCCTTGTTTTGCAAGTGTCAAAAGTGTTCATTCTATTGTAATATTTGTTCATTTTTCTTATTAGCATTAATGCTGAGGAATCATCCCTACCAAGATCTGCAAGGTAAAGCAAGAGTGTTCAGATCATTATTAATAGAACGTATTCTAGATTTTGGTAAATATATATTTAAATTTGTATGTTTCAGTGCTGTGGAAGGAAACAGTAAGTTTCGTCTTCGTGACATCAGCCCATCGAGATTGAGAGAAAGGCGTAAAAAACATGATAGGAAAAAATCTGATAAAGATTCAAAACTATCACCATCACAATCAGGAAGAAAAAACATTGTGAGTTTTAATTGGAATTATAACTAATCAACCACAAAGCATTTGCAGGATATCGCTCAGTTTCTAAGTCTCAGTACATGAAGCTTAAAAGCTATCACTATCCATTCATCCTGCTATAATTATGTATGTGAACAAAAGTATCGGAAAGTTTAGGGTACAGTACATTGCTGTTTCCTCTGGCTTCATATTTTGCATGTACCTGTAACTAAAAAAATAGCAGTATGTGCGTCAGCAGAAAAAAATCACTTTTTAACTTATCAGATCAAAAACTATCATTGGTTATTTCTAACTCTGCAATATCTGTGTTCTTTAGCGTTCATCGTCATCATGGCTACCAGCCTCATTTCAACAGGTATACTCTTGGCAGTAATTCTTGTGGTTATATGTTTTTGATGCAGTGGCTCAATTTGAACAATCAGCAGGTGCATTTGAGAAACATTGTTTTGTAATTTTGTTATCAATTTTAGATGTTCCCCTCATACAAATCTAAAACAGGAGATTTCAGAAGACTATTTAAAGACATTCCAGAAAGTGAAAGATTAATTACAGGTTAGTTGTAATTTCTGGTTAAAAAGTTAGCATTACCATATGCAACAGATTTACACATGTGTTATTTCTCTAATCTAATCCATTACTAACTGGTAGATAGTTCTTCCTTATTACTGGTAATGCGAAAATGCAGATTTAATTTTTAATACATAGGTTTGCAATGAATTCTTCACCTGTACTTTTACTGTTTGATGGACTAATGCTTATACATCACACTAATTTATCATGTATTACTTTAGATTATTCTTGTGCATTACAAAGAGATATTCTAGTTCATGGTAGATTATATGTATCACAGAGCTGGCTCTGCTTTTATGCTAACATATTTGGTTGGGAAACTTTGGTAAGTTGAAATTTCATAAATAAGCATATGTACAAAGCTATGTACGGTGTACATATACTCTATGGCAGTGCAATGTACAGTAATTGGTTTTAGTTCTTGTTAAATTATTTTATACCCCAATTATGATTAACTGGTTTTTTAGGTAACAATCAACTTGAAACATGTTACATCACTGACCAAAGAAAAAACCGCTTTAGTAATTCCAAATGCTATTCAAGTTTGGAGTGAGTCAGAAAAGGTACACACATGTATACATTATTACTTGAAATTACCGTAGTTTATAATTTTTTTCCTCCCCAGTGGCCAGTACCTTTCTGTTCTTTATAATTTGCTGAGTGGATTATTTTCGGGATTGATTATTTTATTGTGGTGCATATGATAAATAAAAGCATACTCAGTCTCAACTGAACATTGTAGTGTACCCAGGTGCATTAAAATAGGCGACTACAGTTACCTGCGCGCTCTTACTGATATTATTTATACAAAAGTTGGAATTATAAAAACCACATGTAAAGCAAAAGACGCCTGGGTACAAGACTGGCGGTGTACTTATTTCTTGGTCGACTATTTAGCTACAGGAAATCACAAATATACTTTTTCACCTGCAATAGAAATTTCAAACGTCGTTTACAAATGTTGATCCTATATTGCTCTCTCGTGACTTGAATTTTTAATAAATAATTTCATTGGGCGTGCCAGACATAAATTTGTCTATAATACATATATCGGTACGCGATAGACCGATATTGGAAATGCCCGCAAGACTACTATGTAATATATATTTAAGACACCCACTTTTATTCTGTTTAGTATTTTTTCACATCATTCGTATCAAGAGATTCAACTTATCGTAGTTTAACACGAATATGGAGGAACATTCTTTCGGATGAACCTGAGGATATTCCAACTTTAATGAAAGCTGTAGGAAAATATATAGACATTGATTCCGAGGATGTTGATAACAGCAGCCGAGGTAGTAACGATGACTTGCCGTCAGAGTGCGATGATGACATCATTGTTGTTGACGATGATGACGATTCAGTTGTTGATTCGGAGGAACACAACTCTGGAGAAAGGAATAGTCTCACTAGCAAGACAGAAGGTGATGACAAGGTAATAATAATGTTTTATTCCGTGATAAAGGGTCTCTCAAGATTTCTATATAGGTAAACAATGTCTTTTGCCCTTGATGTGTATATATAAACGATTTTGCAAGACTATTGTTGTTGACTCTGAGATTACTGCATCCAATAAGCATCGTTCAATACTCTAATCGAAAATTCACTGCATGAATCTTGTTTATTTGGATTGCTTAGTCACTAGAAGACAGAGAATCATTAGCACCTACCGTCCCTGATATCGCCGTATCTCCAGCTTCACCAACCGAAAAAGTAACTCGTGATCGAACTTCAAAGATCTCCAATGGAACTGTTCCGCGGCGGAAATCCCCCGAAACGAGGAGAAGGTTTCCATTTCCCTTCAAGAGAGAGTTTAGTCCATTAATGAGAAGGAAAAATCAGAGGCCAAACAAGAAACATGGCAGCATCGAGGACGAAAATGGTAGTCTACATCGGGATAGTTTGATTGAGGATGGAAGTGTCAGTGAATCAAATGAAGACGAAGAAGGTACTGAATGATTGTGAATGCATGACTGTGTTTTAAAAAACGTTTAAAATCAACAATCTGTCATTTTAATAAACGGGATGTAGACAATTGGCATGAGGCCGAGATTACTCCGACAAATTATCTTTCAAAAATTCGCGTGGCAAAAGTATATTTGAACATTTGAACGTACATGTACATTTTGAGAGGAAATTTGTGCTCAATTTATCACAACAAATGAATGTTAAATCGGATGAAATGCAAACTGTGCTTGTTTGAAAAGGGATTGAGAACGACCTATGCAAAATAAGTATCTGTTCCTAAATTGTGTGCAACGAATGTCTCTATATACCCTTGCATGCATACCAATTCATATCCATTGATTTTTTTTTATTTTGGCAAAAGTGTATTTCTTGAGTGCATTCCTCCATACAGTACATACAGTAAACACCACGGCACAGTAAACAGGATACCGTAACTAATTCATTCATATTAACTCCTGCAGTACCCGTCTTATGTCCTTGCGAAAGTCATCTCAATCTTGAATGTCTAAATGAGGTAAATTATTATCGTACTATATAATATATTATTTATGTCGTTGAAGCGTCTTTAATGCACGAACTGTTTTGAGTTTTTCATTTGCTATATACAAAGTTTCTGTTGACTCGAATGTTACACGGTTAAATAATTTACTTAATAGTCAACTCTTTGCTAAGCATAGGTTTTAGCTTTGCTTTTTAGTGTGCAAAATGTGTAAACAACTACACGTTAATAGGGATATTGAAATGAAAATGTCATATGTGAAATCCTACGTATATTGATGTGATTTCTGAATTTGTCAATTGAGAAACATTTAAAAATCGTCAAATGCAGTCACGACTATTATAGAACGACTAACAAATGAAATATATCGTGGTTTAGGAATATGCTATCTCTGTGGATAGGCTGTACGAGTATCTATTTACCGACTGCGATTTCTATCGGAGCATTCGCTCAGAAAGGAAACATTTCGGTAGGTTTTACAATGTACATTGTTTGAAAATTTCTGTACTATGGTGAACAGACTTAAATGACGCCCTGTAGCTACCACAGTTGTTAAGTTATTCTAAGTTTAAACACAGTATAAAGATTATACAGGGACCTCGCTCAGGTAAAGGTCCTTTGGATTTGTGTCCGTAGATATATCGCATTACGCATCGTTGTGCGCCATTATTAGCCTGGCCTGTCGTTGACATGTGATTTACCCTTTCTGGCCAATGAACACGCACAGAAGAGAAGTTAACGATATTTACATGTATTTGTTCATTATTTAAACCATAAACCAACTCGCGTATCACATTGAGAAACACAGGCCTGCTGGGAAGAGGGTGAATGTGGTGTCGTCTATGAAATAAGAACGAGTGATTATTGTCATTAATTTTTTAAAGATCTTGATATCGAGCCCTGGGTAGAAGAGGACGATAAGAAGAAACGCGCTGTTAGATACACAATAAATCTTGGATTGACCATAGGTCCAAAAACTTCTAGAATTCAAGAAAATCAGGTTGGTGCAAATTATAGCTTTAAAAATATCATAACTGCGTGTTTTGTATACGTATGTAAAAATAAACACATGAAACGGAGGAGGGGAGGAGGTGACAGATAAATTTTTTGGAGTTTCACGGAAGAAAAATTCTATCGATAGATTATATATAATCGTGTTCCCCAAATTATAAAGGAAATTCCAAATTGCCTATAGGCATACATATTTCGCACAACATGCAGGAACAAAAATTATACACTTATACATAGCTGGTTCCTAACGCTAGCACGGCTATTGTCATGTCACCTCCTCGTCTTAGATTTAGTGCATCTTAAATTCGCCCAATGCATGGGATTTGTAAGTCTTTACCAACAATGTTCATTTTCTCTTCAGCAACTAGAATCGAGTGAACCTGGGCAATTCTATGTGGTAGAAACAAGTGTAAGGATACCATTTTCCTTATATATCGTATCCTGCTTGACCCCTTCTTGTTCTCGCATAGTTTTGATTTTAAATTCTGTGTAAATTTTAGGTAGCAAATGAAGGTGTTCCTTACGCAGATAGCTTCGTCGTCATTCACAGATATTGTCTCTCAAGAGTAAACCCGTATATGTCCCGACTGAGGTACGTTCATGGTGTCGCCATAATTGCTGATTGTGCACTGAATGTAACATGCTTTCTCGTCTTTTTAATACTTCAGGGTAACGGCTTTGGTGAAGTACGTTCGGCCTGTCTGGGGATTCGTAAAAAGTGAGTAGAATTCAAATCAATAATTAAGAACACTGTGGTTGCAGCGGGGGCAATTTTTTAGCTTCTCCTAATTTGTCTCTGAACCGCTTGCAAATGAAAAAAAGAAATTCGCGCCAAGCTGTTTCGGATGATTTATTTTAGTATATATGAAAACCATAACGCGCATCAGGAGTGTAAAAATAGAAATAAAAACAAATTTCAATTTCAAACGTGTGATATCGGCTGTATTCCGCCGCATTGTTTATGCATGGGTGTAACAACTGAATATAAATCTCTTCAGTAAAATATATGTAAGCGCTTTCATCTTGCCTGTGTAATGATGGACTAAAATAAGAAGCATATACACTTTATGCCAACAATCGTATCTTACAAGTCGGCCCTTCAATATACTCTTTCTTTCGTACAATATAGATATGATAACAAAAAATTCTACGGAAGCATTGGCAACGTTTTTTGATTTCTTAAGTAAGTACAACTCTATATAGATTATTACATGTATAGTATTCTTTACCTCCTGTAATGTGATCTTTTCCTAAAATAAAGGCAGCTTATACGAACTGTAATTTTGTAAAAACTTTAGTTTTGACACCACGTGAATTTAGTTTTTCTATTTGTGGTGTCTCCACAAACAAACGTGCAGAATTATTATGTATCGTCATGCAAACATTCAAAGATTTTAAGAACTACTGTATTCTCTTCCTATCTATCGTATAGCTAGTAATTAACTGGACAGAAGTAGGGTCTCTATGTATGTATAGTTCATCAGGACACTGCGAAACACCTTACACTTGCCCAGCATTGAAACAACCAATACATATAATCAACGTGCATGTGTTTCTCTCTGTCCTTTTTTCATGCAACGTTGTGTCATAATACCGGTTTTTCGAAAGAGCATTTTAAAAATACGAAATACTATTTCCTTGCACTGCACCGTATCTACGTACAAATCTACTTTGTGATCACAATTCCTTTATGTACATGTACCTTTAGAGGATTTTATAAGGACGGTAGAAGACGAATCCGTTCTAAACTTGAAAAGAAAATTCACGTCATCAAAAAAACGTTCACGACTGAAAACGCACGAGGACGAGATACAAGGAGATGAAATGGAGGAGACAGGTAGAGTTTTGATTGCAGAAGCCATGCCCGTTGCATGCTTGAGTACTCGTGTGTTGTGTGTATGAACATGAATTTTTCCGTCGCAGGTGAATCTGTTGCTATTTCCTCTGAGAACATTAGTGGGCGATTTTCGTCGTTTGTAAACTACATTAGGAGGTACGTGTACTGTATTGGCATATGTGGGAGGGTGGATGGGATAGGGATTCGCATTCCTATTCTGAATATATCTGCGGCTCGGTTACATTGCTCTACGATTGTGGGGTATTTATGTAATCATTACTATTGTATACGCTTTGTCTGGTCATCCAGAGTTCTTCCTGAATGTACACATGTTGAATATCCCTAATACATGTGCAACTGCATTCAAACCAGTTCTCTCCTGTTATCATGCTGTTTATTAGAGCCAAATTTAATTTATATTTTTCATGTTTTTACAGAGACAACAATATGTTCTTTAGTGCCTTTATAGTTTTGTAAGTTTCTAAAGATATGCTTTCTTATATATACTGTATATATTTATATATATGCAGTAAGCAACAGAGAAAAGAATATCATGTTTTCGAGTGGATAAACTCCTGGTATATTTATATGTAAAGGTGATTTGTATTCATTCTATAGGCTAGTGGTTTTAATCCTTTTAAACGGTTATCTCAGCTACAGAGTTATATCACTCGAATATTCAACAAAATCATGGGAGATTTTATCACCGTCAATAAAGTAAGTTTATACTTTATCAGTATGAAGTAAAATGTTTTTGTCGTTACTTGATATCGTATAATTTTTCTTCGCTGCGTACATGATTGTCAATCTAAAGGTACCAGGAGTAGATTTTGGTCACCATTTTTTGTTGATGGCAGCATGTTTAACTACCTTTTCCTTTTTACTCGGATCACATGCAATAGACCTTTTTCATAATGACGTCAAGCGCGGAAAGACTGATCTTACACGAAGTTTAATTGGCTCGATAATTTTGTGGAGCCAATCAAATTTCATGTAACATCAGACTTTCCGCGTTTGACGTCATTATAAGAAAGGTCTATTACGGTTACCTGCTCATTTATATTATATAAAATCGGGGATCTAAACTCATCTTTTATGTGCGAAAGTCTGAAAGACAGAAAGAGTAAAAGATAGTGTAATAAAAATGTAAAACGGTTTTCGTCTTTTTCTAGTGATCTGCCAACCAATATGGATGAGTTGCGTAGTCTACTATACAAACAACAATATATTCAAAACATTCAGTTTAAAAGGTAAGATTTTGCTTCAAATAAAGAAATATTAAATTCACTTTCAGTCATTCGCAAAACAGGGAAAATGTCCATGGTGGAAAAATTAAAGCCTCTTCAAAATACCTTATACAGTATAAATGCATGAATATTTCTCACATAGCTTGTTCATTGTTACATTTAATCTGATATAATAACGAGAATGATGTACAGTAAGTTATAAGACAGGGAAAATGTTCAGTACAAACATGAAATTACCTTGGCTGTCCCATGCATATATAATTGCTAAACAAAAGTGGAATATTTTATTAAAAGACCAATCACACAAATCTGTAGATGGATTTTGTAAAATGCTTTACATTGAAGGCGGTATTTGGCTGTGGTAATAAATTGAAAGTAATCAATAATATTGAAGAATTGTTGCTTCTCTGTTGTTTATGTAGGTGGCAACATGTTCTTTCGACATCTATGCAATTCTTACAACAGGTTAGTTTGTAGCTGTAGTACAGTCTATACGTTGTCTTTATTTCATTGCTGACAGTTCTCTCGCGGCGTAAACCGAGGCCTGGCGTTCTTCGCGTGCCTGGAATATTTACTGAACTGAGCTCTTTACTTTTGTAAGAAACATTCAAAAACTGGTAATTGAATTGCGTGTCCGCCCCTGGACTTAGTGCGAATTAAGTCCGCCCCTGGTGTTTTTCAACTTCATTTTACAATGTTCCAGTTGTTATCACAAATCGACGTTATGCAACACAAGTTCTTAACATAAGATTTATTTTGCATACAGGTGCAAGACTCATTAAGTGAATTACAAAAAGAAGTGGAGAAACCATTAAATACGTAGCGATACCCAGACATGTGGATGAAATTAGCTCCTTGGCGTACAATGCTGACAAGATTTAGGGGGCGTCCACGATATCGTTCATTTTCGCCAAAACACGTGGACTCTTTCTGCCCTGCAGCACTTAAAATCCTGTCACGCAGACAAACTAGTTGCAGTCTGATGATGTTGGCATTCCTTGGATAGATTCGGGATTCTAAAGATCAATCTTGCTGGTTCGAGATTCTTCAATCATCAGCCCTGTGCCATTTGTCTGTGTGCAATATATACAATACGTAGAAATATTCCATCCTTAATTTATGCAATATTAACTTTAATGATTTAAAAATTCTAGTTAAATTATTATATTACGAAGTGGGAATAATAAATTGTTTATCGTTGACGTTTTCTTCGTAGTTTGGACATAAACTTTCCTCTGTCCTCTTTCCATAAGGCTGCTTTCCACTGGCGCGTTTTTTGTACGTACGTTTACGCACGTAATCGTATTTAATACTTACATATGAAATCAACGATTGAATATATGCATAGGATTGGATTCTGTTGACGATTTGATGTGTTCTTTCTGGCATAAAATTAATTATACAACAACCTAGATGGTTTTGCGCTTTTACGCGCGTTTACGTACATGCAAAAAACAATATAGCTTTAAAACCGTTTAAAGACTCCTCGGCCTTTGCGAAAGACTGTGAATTCAAAAGAAATTGAAATAAAAAAAACTGAAAAAAATTTCTCGTGTTCAAAAGTACCTGAAAATTGAAAAAAAGAAGCACAAATAAAGAAGTTTTAAAAACACGCGTCGTCTAAAGAGACTTAAAATTAAGAAAGTCAGAAAAAAAAATTGCTACTGTTCTTTATTTCACCTATAATCCTTTTCGATGAATTTTAAATTAAATAGTAATTTCGATAGAAAAATCGAACTTTTCACATGGAGGAGATCGAACCTACGCTTACAACCCGGTAGGCTGGTAGGCCGTAGTTAACCACTGGGCCATCGGGCTGTATGTTGATAGCAACCTGAGAATATATATGTTATTTCGGTGGCCCAGTGGTTAAGGCTACGGCCTACGTGGTTGTAAGCGTAGGTTCGAATCCTGCATGGGAAAGGTTCGATTTTTTCCACCGAAATTGCTATTTAATTTAAAATTCAACGAAAAGCATTATATTAGGTCAAATAAAGAACAATAGCTTTCGACAAATGATGCGGTGGTCTAGTGGTAAGACGTTCGTCTCTCAATTCGAAGCAGACGTTTCAACTCCTGGCAATGCAAAAAAATTAGCCTCAAAATTTTCGGTGTGATCGAAGCTTTAAAGCCGTTAAAAGACTCCTCGGCCTTTGCCGAAAGACAGTAAATTGAAAAAAATTGAAGTAAAAAAACTTAAAAAAAGGTTCTCGCGTTCAAAAGTACCCAGAAAATTAAAAAATAGCACAAGTTAAAACTGGCAATGCAACAAAATTAGCATGAAAATTTCGGTGTGATTTACTGAAGATTTACAAATCTCACCCTTTGCGAAAGACTGTAAATTGACAAAAAATTTGAAATGAAAAAAACTGAAAACAAATTATCGTGTTCAAAAGTACCTGAAAATTGAAAGAAAAGCACAAGTAAAAAAAGTTTTAAAGACACGTGTCTTCTAAAAGACTTAAAATTAAGAAAGTCAGAAAAAAAAATTTAAAAATTTCCCGCTTTTAAAGAATTCATGTTTACTTACCTTAATTTTTTTTCACGAAAATTTGACAGGGTGATTTTCTCGAGACTGAAAAAATTTAATTTTTTTCACTTTTTTGAAATCCTCTTAGATTTTTTTTTGACGAAGAAGTATTTTGTCTTGGGCTACCTGTGTCAAGCCAGACACAGGTAGCCCAAGACAGACACAGGTGGCCCAAGACAAAATACTTCTTCGTCAAAAAAAAATCTAAGAGAATTTCAAAAAAGTGAAAAAAATTAAATTTTTTCAGTCTCGAGAAAATCACCCTGTCAAATTTTCGTGAAAAAAAATTAAGGTAAGTAAAGTTAGTAAACATGATTTTTTTAAAAGCGGGAAATTTTCAATTTTTTTTCCGTCTGACTTTCTTCATCTTCAGGCTTTTTAGAAGACACATGTTTTTAAAACTTTTTTTACTTGTGCTTTTCTTTCAATTTTCAGGTACTTTTGAACGCGATAATTTGTTTTCAGTTTTTTTATTTCGAATTTTTTGTCAATTTACAGTCTTTCGCAAAGGCTGAGATTTGTAAATCTTCAGTAAATCACACCGAAATTTTCATGCTAATTTTGTTGCATTGCCAGGAGTTGAAACGTTTGTCTTCGGATTGAGAGACGAACGTCTTCACCACTAGACCACCGGGTCATTTGTCGAAAGCTATTGTTCTCTATTTGACCTCATCCTTTTCGATGAATTTTAAATTAAATAGTAATTTCTGTGGGAAAAATCGAACCTTTCCCATGCAGGATTCGAACCTGGGCTTACAACCTGGTAGGCCGTGGCCTTAACCACTGGGTTACCGCAATGACATATATATTAAGAAGGTAGCTATCAACATACAATCCGATGGCCCAGTGGTTAAGGCTACGGCCTACCAGGTTGTAAGGGTAGGTTCGAATCCTGCATGGGAAAGGTTCGATTTTTCAAACCGAAATTACTATTTAATTTAAAATTCATCGAAAAGGATGAGGTCAAATAGAGAACAATAGCTTTCGACAAATGACCCGGTGGTCTAGTGGTGAAGACGTTCGTCTCTCAATCCGAAGACAAACGTTTCAACTCCTGGCAATGCAACAAAATTAGCATGAAAATTTCGGTGTGATTTACTGAAGATTTACAAATCTCAGTCTTTGCGAAAGGCTGTAAATTGACAAAAAATTTGAAATAGAAAAAACTGAAAACAAATTATCGCGTTCAAAAGTACCTGAAAATTGAAAGAAAAGCACAAGTAAAAAAGTTTTAAAAACATGTATCTTCTAAAAAGCCTGAAGATGAAGAAAGTCAGACGGAGAAAAACTTGAAAATTTCCCGCTTTTAAAAAAATCATGTTTACTAACTTTACTTACCTTAATTTTTTTTCACGAAAATTTGACAGGGTGATTTTCTCGAGACTGAAAAAATTTAATTTTTTTCACTTTTTTGAAATTCTCTTAGATTTTTTTTTGACGAAGAAGTATTTTGTCTTGGGCCACCTGTGTCTGTCTTGGGCTACCTGTGTCTGGCTTGACACAGGTAGCCCAAGACAAAATACTTCTTCGTCAAAAAAAAATCTAAGAGGATTTCAAAAAAGTGAAAAAAATTAAATTTTTTCAGTCTCGAGAAAATCACCCTGTCAAATTTTCGTGAAAAAAAATTAAGGTAAGTAAAGTTAGTAAACATGATTTTTTTAAAAGCGGGAAATTTTCAAGTTTTTCTCCGTCTGACTTTCTTCATCTTCAGGCTTTTTAGAAGATACATGTTTTTAAAACTTTTTTACTTGTGCTTTTCTTTCAATTTTCAGGTACTTTTGAACGCGATAATTTGTTTTCAGTTTTTTTTATTTCAATTTTTTTTCAATTTACAGTCTTTCGCAAAGACCGAGAAATCTTTAAATCGTTTAAAAGCTTCCAAATCACACCGAAAATTTTCAGCTAATCTTGTTGCATTGGCAGGAGTTGAAACGTTTATCCCCGGAGTGAGAGACGAACGTCTTCACCACTAGACCACCGGGTCATTTGTCGAAAGCTATTGTTCTCTATTTCACCTCATCCTTTTCGATGAATTTTAAATTAAATAGTAATTTCGGTTTGAAAAATCGAACCTTTGCCATGCAGGATTCGAACCTACCCTTACAACCTGGTAGGCCGTAGCCTTAACCACTGGGCCATCGGATTGTATGTTGATAGCTACCTTTTTAATATATATGTCATTGCGGTAACCCAGTGGTTAAGGCCACGGCCTACCAGGTTGTAAGCCTAGGTTCGAATCCTGCATGGGAAAGGTTCGATTTTTCCCACAGAAATTACTATTTAATTTAAAATTCATCGAAAAGGATGAGGTCAAATAGAGAACAATAGCTTTCGACAAATGACCCGGTGGTCTAGTGGTGAAGACGTTCGTCTCTCAATCCGAAGACAAACGTTTCAACTCCTGGCAATGGAACAAAATTAGCATGAAAATTTCGGTGAGATTTACTGAAGATTTACAAATCTCAGCCTTTGCGAAAGACTGTAAATTGACAAAAAATTTGAAATAAAAAAAACTGAAAACAAATTATCGCGTTCAAAAGTACCTGAAAATTGAAAGAAAAGTACAAGTAAAAAAGATTTAAAAACATGTATCTTCTAAAAAGCCTGAAGATGAAGAAAGTCAGACGGAGAAAAATTGAAAATTTCCCGCTTTTAAAAAATTCATGTTTACTTACCTTAATTTTTTTTCACGAAAATTGGACAGGGTGATTTTCTCGAGACTGAAAAAATTTAATTTTTTTCACTTTTTTGAAATTCTCTTAGATTTTTTTTTTATGAAGAAGTATTTTGTCTTGGGCTACCTGTGTCAAGCTAGACATAGGTAGCCCAAGACAGACACAGGTGGCCCAGGACAAAATACTTCTTCGTAAAAAAAAAATCTAAGAGAATTTCAAAAAAGTGAAAAAAATTAAATTTTTTCAGTCTCGAGAAAATCACCCTGTCAAATTTTCGTGAAAAAAAATTAAGGTAAGTAAAGTTAGTAAACATGATTTTTTTAAAAGCGGGAAATTTTCAAATTTTTTTTCCGTCTGACTTTCTTCATTTTCAGGCTTTTTAGAAGACACATGTTTTTAAAACTTTTTTTAATTGTGCTTTTCTTCCAAATTTCACGTACTTTTGAACGCGATAATTTTTTTGGTTTTTTCATTTCAAATTTTTTTCATTTTACAGTCTTTCGCAAAGACCGAGAAATCTTTGAACCGTTTAAAAGCTTCCAAATCACACCGAAAATTTTCAGCTAATCTTGTTGCATTGCCAGGAGTTGAAACGTTTATCCCCGGAGTGAGAGACGAACGTCTTAACCACTAGACCACCGCATCATTTGTCGAAAGCTATTGTTCTTTGTTTTTGCCTAATGCTTTTCGAAGAATTTTAAATTAAATAGGAATTTCGGTTGGAAAAATCGAACCTTTCCCATGCAGGATTCGAACCTACCCCCTTACAACCTTGTAGGCCGTAGCCTTAACCACTGGGCCATCGGATTATATGTTGACAGGCACCTTAGAATACATATCTTATTCAAGCCAGGCAGTGTAGCCCAAGACAAAATACTTCTTCGTCAAAGAAATATACTCGGAGAATTTCAAAAAAGTGAAAAAGTGTAAATATTTTAAGTCTCGAGAAAATCACGGTGTCAAATTTTCGTGAGGTAACTAAAGGTAACTA